AAGGAGATCAGAGAGCTTCAGTTGCATGTCACCAGCAGGCCGTAATCTATCTGGGTTTTCTTACCTTTCCCTGTATTAAATTGTTAAAGAATACTTGCACCATTTACATGTATTAAGCTTTCTATTTCACCGATCAAAATGCACGAAAAACCTAATCGTGACTTCCTCGCTCTTGTTTTTCCACGATCAGCGTTACGAGTTCTTACCTTGATTTCTTCTTAACTAATTTTGAATCTTTTTCTGTTCCGATAAGCCTCTGTGATTTGTTTGCTCTCTTAAACTCTAACGAAAAGATCCCGTCAGCATTTTCGATAAGAAGTGTTAATTTTTTCCATAACAAGAGTCCTGAGCATGCAACTATTGACAAAAATTGTGCAATTAATACAGAGACCATATCATTTTATAAGTGGCTGAAAACGGTTTCCCTCGGCTACCTTTTAGGCGTAAATGTCGATTTTTAGACAACTGTTGATAAAAAATCTTCTCTTTACACCCTAACGGGCAGATTAACAAAGAAAATATAAAACAGTATAAGAAATTTCTTACATCAAAGCAATACATCAGATTATATACAAACTAATTTACGTTTTTAAGCGCCATGTGACCATATCCACCGTTGATAAAAGTTGCTATGAGTAACGCCGCTGTACCTGTAGAGTCGTTATATAGGAAACGCAACAGTGACCTCAAAAGTCTTTCCCGGACGGTTTTCCGGAGTTTTCAACCTGATAATTTATATCTACAACAAGAAGAAATAGATTGAATCGTTACAAATGAACATAACAAAGGAATACCTCTATCCGTTGTGAAAATCACCAGAAGCCGATTGATGTGTTCGAGTTAAGAGGTGAATAAAATCATTTCAGTCAACCAGCTTCGGCGGAAGCGGACCTGCTTTAAAGTTTATGGAAGATTTTGCCTTGCAGCCTTTGCTGCTGTTTCAACTAGCGATAAAAAGGGCGAAGAATGACTTCAACCCTTGAATTCTTTTCTGACAGATCCCCTTCGATTGCCGCTGTAAGCCCGACTTCCGAGACGCGAACCTGGAGTGTGTTTCAAATCTTGTCGGGAGCTGCGTTTGATAGCATCCTACGTTAGCTCATCTCCCAGGCACGGCAGGAAATTATTTATGCGCGTTACCTCATAACGAAAACATGGCGCCCGGCTGGGATGAGGTCATGACAGCACGCTTGAAGGACCGTGCACTGCTGACAAGTGAACGGACGTTTTGATTGGCTTTTGTCGAGCTCAAACAATAATTCCCTTCAATAGGTTCGTATCGGACGCCGGATCCTGTCAAGCGGCCGTAAATTAGTCAATTTTCTGGCTCGTTGAAGGCTCTTCAGGCCTATGGAAAGTTCAAAACGATTGGGACCCCTCTTTGTTTTACGTGGCGCGTTTTCCAGTGCCCAAGGAAAAGTTTATTGCCTTGTTTGAGGAGGAAAAAGTTTCAAGTTCTGAAGAAGGATTCGCTTTGATCGAAGACGTTCGAAGATCAGAACAGACAGGAATCCCAAGTTCTGGGACGAACAAAAGTGAGGAAATTATGTGTAACGAAGAATAGGTCTCGCATTTAATCAGAAAGTCACTCGATTATCCGAATGTCTTTGGTGGCTTTCTTTGGTGGCTTTAATTGCGTTGCACCAGCGACTTGATAAATCGATCTATTTTTTACGTTATTGGTCCACTCTATAACAACATAATTATTTTTAAAGTTTGTGCTGCATGAGCAGGAAACTTGTGATTATTGAAAGGATAACAATCTTCTTTTGAGGCTAAGAGGACCCATTTAAAGACAGGTTAAAAACGACGACTAAAGCTCAAGCTGATACTTGAACCACTTTTCACAAGAGAGTAAAGAGCCTGTTTGTTTCGCTTTATTTTGAAGTCTCAAAGGAGTATGTAGAAATTTTTGAATACTTCCAAAAATTAAATTATTCTCGATTACCCTGTAAAGTACTCATGCCTTAATCTCTACATTTGCGTTTGATCCTTTTATTCAGTGCTTTGAGAGAATTTTAGCGTATAATTAAATGAGAACAGTTGCGTTATATTACTAATCTGACATCAGCAAGTTATAATTCGAATCAATCGAGAAACGAAACTATTACACAGTTTTCAAGTCCTGGAAAAATATCTCCGACCAGCTAATCAAATATTATCTGGAAGCGTCAAAATGTTTTGAAATCAGTTTACTTTTCTGAGATATTGTTTATTTTCATCAAAGCAATCTTTTTGGTGGTCTATTGTTAAAAGTTAATCAGATGAACGATCTTTAGTTACTGTGGTTTGAAGACACGCTGATAGAGCGGCTCTTCAGTGATTGATACTGGATACTGCTTTTGAATAGGATATGTAATCGAAAAACTGTCTAAAGTCGTGTCAGGTTTCACTTAAGGCGACAGATTCTTTGTTACCGTAGTAAAATTCGATCCTGTGAACTGTGTGTTATCCTAAGAAGTACCTGCAACAGGTACCAGATCTATTTACTTGTTTCGAAGTAAATATGTCCAAAATGTCAGCATGTCCTTGAGGGTCTGTTATAAAAAGAAGGAGGGGGAGGGGGAGCAATATGGCATCCACCTGCCTCCTTTTCATCCATATTATCACGCTCTCTTTACTAGCTGAGTGCGTGGGATAGACTAGCAGAATATTGTAAGATCTCTGAGCAAGAGCAAAATTTAATTTGATTCTCTTAGTTAAACAACCGTGCCATTGACATATTACAAGCGAAAACCCCAAATAGTCCAACGATTGTAAAGTCCCCTCCGCTTTGATTTTATTTGAATGGCAAACACTCCATTTTTCCTCCACTGCGAAAAGGACTATTTCAATCAGGTATTTTAATCAGGTATTTTGTATTTAAGTTTTAAGCGGAGATCATATTAACTTTACTTAACAAAATTGTTGAGACTTAAATTTTCTTTTTTAATTTGCAGATCTTAACGACAATGCAAAGGCAAACAGTATTGACACTCTTGTGGTTCTTGTTGACTGTAATGATCCAAGCAGCGCATGCTCGTCATAATATTACCGCTGCTTTGGTTGCTTTGGCGCCCGTCTCAGACACTGATATTGAAACTTCGCTGAATGTCGCTGACAAAGATGGGAACACCGGCTCAATTGCAAACGTCAATTGGATTTTGATATCAAGCGCCTTAATTTTACAGCTTCTTGCCTTTCTCTTTCGCTGAGTTTGGGAGAAAGAAAAACTGTTATTGAGCTGTTTTATTGCCTATCCTGAACAAACTCCCTACCAGAAAGATAGCTTAGGAAACTATTTGTTTAAAACACAGTTCCCATGTACATTGGACCTGTTTTTCTATAAAAATGTTGCAGGGTTTTGAAGTCACCCTTAAAGTCTGAAGTCTGTGGACACTGATTTCCCTTTTTCTTTATGGCGAACATCTCGGAGATCGACCACTGACAAAGGCGTCTAAACGCGCTTGCCTCACGTTGATTAAGCAAGTTGGAATCTTTTATATGAACATGGTGCGTTAAACAGCACCTATAAAAATTTACTTAAAGTTGACTTCTAGAAAACCGTAAAATGAAAGTTGTAATACAAAGAAATGTTAGATCTTCGCGTGCGAGGTAACATATTAAGGCTTTGCAGAACATCCAGCTGACAAAAAAATATTTTTCAATTCGGAATGGGTTTCGCAAAAAGATGCCCTCGCTACTTCTTCGATCAAAAGTATTGATACATCAGAGAGAGGCCTACGGGAACATTGTGTGGGCTGAGAATTTTCCTGATCAGAAAAATCAGAAGAGTTGTGGAATGAATAATATGCATCCTAACATGATGACGTCAGACGTGACACTGCCTGAAAGGTTCGCTCATTGTTTTTGTTTCCAGCCTCGTGACTGCCTAAATCACATATACGACATATCAAACCCTATGATGAGGTTGATATTGGAAAATGTGGTCAAATATTGGAATTAGCCTTAGAACTGACCAGACAGATGTTCCCGAATGAAGTATTGGTGCTGACAGGTTGCCCTCTCACAGTGCAAAGAGAAGAATAATTATCAGATTGACGGTTGGTCCGGAGCTGCAATTAAACGTGTACATTAAATCTCTTTTCGCCAACTCTTCGCATGCCTGAAAAGGGTGAACTGCTAATAGCGACACATGAATGATTTTAGTATTCTCTTCTTAAATTAGAACTCATGTCATTTGTATATAGTACATCTAAATGTTAAAATTTTGATAAATAAAAATCTTCATGCCTTCCGTTTTCTCAACATTGATGCATTCAATTCACTGATCTCCTTCTTCGTGTTTCCCTCAACACCCTTGTTTCCTGGGTTCAAATTCCGTACGAGCCTGAATTTTTCTTTTCAGGCCTTATTTTCACCATTACGTAAGAAGTTTTCATAACTGCGAGGATTGCTTCCTTATTCGATCCTTGTTTCCTGCTTCTTCCTTGTACCTCCCTTTAGTTACATGTTCCACTCACAAAATTCTATGGCTTTAATTATGCAGGGGTTATATTATACTGTGGAAATCAGTATAAACAACATGCATTTATCTCGTTCTCTCCATGATACATGAGTACTCATATCGAATCAGCTTGTTTATCCTGATTAAAGGTATTCATGGTAGACATGCGCTTTAAAGCAAAAAGTTAGAAGTTTTTGTGTCCCCCGGCTACAGACGATACGACGAGGTAGTAGCTTTCCCTCTCTCATTTCCCTCTGTGTTCTCGATTCCCTTTGTCGTTTCGAAGTTAATCATCTGCTCAGCTCATTGCTTATCCCAAGTGGCTGAGGTTAGTCTGAAACATGCATCAAAGGAAAAAGCTAGGAAAGTGTACGGCGGTGTTCAAAACACTGGTTTTTACAACGCACTCGGGGTCTGAAAACAGTGTGACCACACTTTGTACTCAAGGCCTCTATGGTTTTATTATTAATTCATATTTAACTAAGATGAAAAAAATGAAAAATACGCGAAGCTAAAAAAATTGCAACGTCTACATATGCGTTGGTCTCTCAATAGTTTCCACTTATCCTCTTTGGAATCACTTCCGAATCGCATGCAAAACTGGTTTAAACTATTGGTACTTTTCATTTCGACCAATGAAGTGACGCTTGGATATCCTTTAATTGAATAATAAACTGCTTACTATTTCTCCTAAGAGGCCTCTCGAGCACATTTATCAAAAGGCCCTTCTCATAATTAGGAATTTGCTTTTCTAGAACTCAGTTTGACTCACTAATGCTTCACAAGCCATCGAAAGAAAACTTTTACCGTGACACGAGAGTTATTGCAGAAAACGATCTGGAATTTTGAATTGCTCCTTTGTTTCTCTAATCCAGTGTTGAATAAGAAAAAAAACATAAATGTTCGGGAAAATTTCTACCGAGAATCAATGTCTCTCAGTTGGTCTACCATAAACTACATATTTCCGCGGAGTGCGTTTGACGTATGTTTTAGAATACCTGAGGCCATCGCAAACTTGTGGAAGCTAAAAAGTAAGACAGGATGGATAATGGTGCATTATCAATGTGCTGATCATGTTTTAACGAAGGTGCTAGTTTTCGCTTCAAATGATTTTCTCTTCTCAGTGGTAGGTTTCTGTCACTTGCAGCTTATGAGCCGTCTTCGTCATTTGTCAAGGTGGGGATGTTGTAGTATGATGAAACGGATTCATCGTGCTTGCTGAAGTCGATGTAAGGGGTGTCTTTTGAGATAATCAGTTCTAGTTTTTCAACTAGCTGGGAGAAACTGGGCCGAGTTGCTGGTTCTTCCTTCCAGCATTCGGACATCAGTTCATATCTGTTGGAAAAAACAGAGGTTGGACGAGTTCTTATTTCAGAACATACATCCTTCTCTCTCTACTCATTTGCAGATGGACATTAACTCAAAATGGCTATTAAGTTTGATTGGAAGTTTATTGACTTGGAACGAACAAGGGAAGTTTCACGTAGTTCTGCAAATCCATGAATTTCGGAGTAAATTTGTCTGTGCAAAAAGTATTGGCGCCAAAGTGTTTGGAGTCCTGGATGCACTAACAACTTAACCAAATTAAAAAAAAAAGCAATTATCAGAGTGTGGCTGCCCTAAAAGCTTCAACAAGCTTTTCCAGACTACTCAAAAGGTGAAGCTTTAGCTCTCAAGCTCTAACGGTATCAAAACTACTGCTCTAGCCGATGTGCAATTACTTGCAAATAACTTAAAAGAACTAAGTTTTGTACGCGAGTAGATGTGAGGTTGATTCAGTTACTCACACTTCATCAGAGCACATGTCTGGCCTCTCCATCCTATAGCCAGTCTTCAAAAGTCTGCATACTTCTGAATTAGTCAGCGTTGGGTAAGGAACACCACCTGATTGCAAAGCAAAAGGTAGGTGTTAAACCATAAGTAGCCGTTACATTAAAATTTATGAAAAAATAGCTAACTGCTAAAAAATTTGTAATGAATAACAGTCTCAACTTTCTTGGAGACATACCCATGGTGACCATTTCCCAAAGAAGAATCCCATACGACCAACTTTGTGCAAAAAGAAATAAATAAAAGAAAAAATATTAGTGAAAATGAACCTGCTCGAACAACACAAAAGTTACATGATTGTCATAAGTCATCATAGCTCAAGAAATGGCTTTTGTTCCAAACGTTGCAAGTACGAATTTAATGGGTAAATTAATTTTTCGTTCAAGAAAGGAAATGTATTTTCATGTCATGAATGTGGAACAAAACTGCGAACAAATGTCTAGTTAGATAGCTAAAGCCAGTTGCGAAATTGTTGAAACACTTCAGCAAAAAGTGCATTCACCGACTTTATCAGATGGCCAAGGAGAAATCAAGTGCAAAAAAATCGAAAGCTGCCCTCCTTTCCCGATTCAACTTTTTTCATCAACGTTTTGTACACGATACTGCTTAGCTGGCAATATTGCAAAGGGATCACATGATAACAATTATTTCTTGCCGTAGTAACATGTCTCAACTATTTTGAAACTAGTTGTAGTTTGTTATATACTTAGTTCATCAATTATTTTTTTTGAACGTATTCTCATTAAATGCCTCCATGACAACGGTACAAAATTTAAAGCCTGAGAAATGTCCCAAAGTATCGTGAAACTCTATACTCACACGTCGCTTTTGGTTGAAAAAATACTGTCAAAAATAGATTCGGGGGCCATCCACTTCACTGGTAGTTTTTTTGTTTTCTTCAGGCTGTACACGTCTTCGTAGACCTGGCGCATTAATCCAAAGTCTGAAACCTTCACTCGTCCGTCTCGACCAACGAGGATATTACGAGCTGCAAGGTCACGATGAACGAAGTCTTTCTCTGCAAGGTGATTCTAGCAAAAAGTGTCAAAAAAAGCGGACTGATGAAAGAACGTTGCACCTACCAATTTTATAGAAAACACCGATGCAGCCAGAGATAGTATTTCATTCTTTTCCGAAATAGGTTATTGCGAACTCAAGGCAAGTTTTTCCTCCTTAAGTTCCGCTTGTTTCCATCCTTTTTGCATTTGTAAGTAAGTTTTTGTTGCTCTGTTAATTGATTGTGTATGCAAAATACACTGAGGATTTGAGACGTCTTCCTTGGTGGTAGTTTAGTAACTTAACGCATGCAACCAACTTCCTTGATCAAGAACTGCATTTAGTAATACATTACCATTCCTTGTGCTATTTGCCAAGCAAACGAAAAGAGTTTGTCAGCCGTGAAGCTGTTGCTGTCTGTCTCGTCATCATCGTCATAACCAAGATTTTCAGTCGAGGTGTCGGCAGCGTTGCAGTTTTTTTGGAGGTTCGGTGGTATCGTTTGCAGTTCTATATGCTCCTGGTGCTGAGAACTCTGGAAATCCTGCTGCGTAAAGAGGTATATCATCGATGACGTTAAGCTTTAACAACTGTCTACTTCATAGAAAATATGACACTGCACCGAGAAAATGCACAAAGACTCAATTCAGCCTCTCTAGGATTTGTAATGTTTCTAGAGAATATGGCTGTTTAATCAGAAATTTTCTCTTTTTTTTTCGGTAATTACTATTCCTGTATTATTATCCCTCTGTGAAATCCTAGCTGTATTTTCAAATCAAAAGTACTCCTGGACACCCACGCTGGAACTCGTCGAATCGCATCAACGCTGAGATGCGAAAAGTGAAGAATGAAATATGTCAAGCAGGACAAATTCAACTTGAAGGAACTTACCTGTCCAGACTCGTTGGTCTGTTTTAGGGAAATGCAAATTTCTTTGTCTTCATATTCTTTCTCTTTTCCATCAGTAACTTGATTTTGGCTGACCTGTACAATATAAGGTTACGGAGCAGTCATTGTTTATCACCTGGAGGGGAGGGCTCGGACTGTTTTGATAGGAATCACATTGTTTTTAGGAGGAACGGATCTGTCGTTGCTAAGAGTATAAAGAAGGGACAATATGAAATTGACTACCCACAAGGGAGGGTCATCAGAATACTTCAGAGCCTTTGGAGTGATCAGGTAAATTTCATTGTGTCACAACCAAAATTCCCCACCCCCACCACAGAGGCGATAAATCGCGACCTGCTCCTTTGCTTGGTAAATGGACCCCTTCATGTTCATTAGCGATGAGATCTTACCGAGCCTCTAAGACTCTACAGGAGTTAGAATATCTTCATTGTTAAGTCTGACAAAGCGCTCTTTTTCCTGCGTTAAGCAATACAGTTTAAAACTAGAAATGAGTAAAAATTAATTAATTAATCTGATCCCCTTCTCAAAATTGGGAATTTTTGTACATGGATATACTGGACTGAAATAAACAAAGAATAGAACAAACCCAATCCACATCTGTCACCAACTCCGGGATTTCGCGCTAAGCCACAGAAATAAATAAGGTTTCTCATCGCTACACAAGATTCGATGATTATAATTAATTTAATTCTTAAGAAAAATTAAACTTTACAGCAGGTTAATTGAGTGATGAGAGTGAAGTGAAATCTCTTACCAATCGCCGATTTCTGCGTAACCATTGCAAAAGGTCACCATACGGAACATACTCTATCACCAGAAACTTGGTGTCTTGCAGTGTGCAGCATCCGACCAAGGATACGATGCTGGGGTGTGATCCCAACAGTTTCATTTGCGATATCTCATGCAAAAAAGCTTGTTTCTGCTCTTCGCGAGGATTATCTGTAACAGACATAGAATTTGAGATTGGATCCCTGGGTGTGCCTAATTTTTCACCTCAAATGTTTTAGCACGTGTCTTCCACAGCTTTGTGAAAGCAACGACATACTTTGAACTTCATGTCGCTGTTTTTTTTTGCCATGGCTTGTTGGTGCAGTCAATCCCACACAAAAATTAACGACTCGGACCTTTTCTTTTTCTTGATCTTACAAGTGCAAGGGACATTCTCACTTATGAGCCTTTTAGATGGCATAAACATTCGCTAAGGAATTTTATTAAGCTCAGTTCGCAAAGAATTCAAGCACGGCAAGTGAATGTCTGGGTTCCATTTCTTGTTGGGAGAGGGAGACTCTTTGAAAATACAAGCTTACTTCTCAGTACTGATGAATATTTCATGTTATTCTATTGCGGTATTTCGTAATAAAGATTTGTAAAAGCTATTGTCGTGACAGGGTCTCTCTTTTAGTTAGATTAAAAACAATTATTCATCGGTGGCAATTAACGAACAATCTGAATTTTCTGCGGTGTTTAATTAAACGATAACCTGATTAATATCCATCGTCTAAAATTTGAACGTTTTAGTGGAGGTTAAAACAGCATCTCATGAAGTGGAGACAGTTTGAAAATCATATGTTTTGTTAGGAGCCCATTACGTAATGGGCTTCTGGTTTTAATCAAAAGTGCATCATATTTTATTGAAAAGACAGATTCAGTGCATAACAAACCTGGTAAAACCTTTACAGCGACCTCCTGTGAGGCCTCTTTTGGCGTGGATTTCTTACCAGTCAGAAACACATCTATCCCAGCTCTTTTTCTCAGAGTTCCTTTATAAACAATACCAAAAGCTCCTCGCCCTAACTCTTCTTTGTATTCTATCTGTTCAGGAAGAATCTCCCACTTGTCTAGGATGACGATTTTGCGAAGAGAAAGAGCGGATCTGTCGAATCGAGAAGATATGGGTAAAAGTAATAACTGACAATAATGAGCTCTTGGGCCAAAATGTTAGTCGCTGTAGCGTGGCGTTACTAACATTGTTAACCCAACTTTACACAAGCACCAAAATTCCCCAACACGAGTTATTTTTTCTTTGGGATCTTATTTTCTGAAGCAAGAAATAAATATTAGGACACCGATAACCAATTCTGAAATCGAGGCCGAGTTGAAATCCACTGCAGTTTTGTGCGCACAACAGGATAGCTGTGTGAAGAAGGACAATTTGAGAAACGCATCATCACGATGCACCACTCACAACTGTTGGAAACGAACCAACCACAGCGGGGCGGTATGGCGCTTTATGGGATGGCATGCGCAAACCTGAAGAACTAAAGAAGACTTAACACCGCGAACCACATAGGAAGTGACTTCATGGTGAGACAAATTATAATTCGTTACATATATATATATATATGTCAAAGCAATGAAATTTCCTAATAGGCTCTTTTTTGCTATGTCTCATTTTTGTCTAAAGTTAACATTTATTTTCGTGGGGCCAGTTAAGAAAAGTAAGTTACCTTCTACTTATCTTTCGTTGTTTGAATTTGTAATACCAGCAGCTAAGAGCCAAACACAGCAACAGAAACAAACTAGAGGCAACACCAGCAACGATATATATGATCATGATGGAACTTGAAGACGTTGCATTCACTTGAGACGGATCAACTTTTATTTCTATTGCTGTGGACGGAAGACTTATGGTTCTCTGTGTTGATTCTGTCTTGGGGACTATCGTGGTCTCTAAGGAAAGGTCGAAAAACTGATCAGCTAGCAATCAACCACCTGATACGTTTCTACACAGCTTGTCACTGTGTAGCATCTTTGTATGATAGTTCATTGCTCTCGTTTGCTTGTTTGTTTGTTTTTTGAGCTTTGAAAAAGCTAGAGGCTTACTGACTTGAAATGTCATCGATATTCGCATCTTCTTGAGCATTGATTACTTACCTAAAAGTGGTAAAGTTGAGAAATGAATCCAAAATCCTCGTCTTTGAATATCACTGTCTGAGTGGAATATTATCAGAGCATAGCTTCCATTTACAATAACTTTCTCTCCACTTTTTTGCCCGCAGTACACACCGAATACCCGGTTCGCTTCATTGGTAATAGTTAAGAAGTCCCGGCTGAAAAAACAGATCATAAACACTCTAAGCTGTAACTATGGCGAAGTTTCGAGTTTTTGCTCATTCAAGTAACTTTTGACAAGAACCAAATGCCAGTTATTGCGCGCTTCGCAAAGCGAGCCGATTTGATTCAAACCGACTTTCGTAATCTAATATTCGGACTTGAAATGAAGTTTTTAAGACTTTCAAGAGTGCTTTGTCCATTCAATATCATCTTAAATGTTCACATATCTTAGAAACTGGCTTTAGTTTCATGATACAGAAACAGAAAGTACACAAGATAGTGAGTCTTTACAGAAATCAATCCGACAGTACGACCTCTGTCCTGTGGAACTCATAAATAGAACATGAATAAAAAAAACAAACAACAACAACAACAACAACAACAAAACACGGACAAAAACATAACCAAAACATAAAAAAGCAAGGCAGAAGAGAAATAAGCGTTAAAGGCCAGGATGAGAAGAAATGAAATGCATGGTATTTAGAAACACTCTATCCTTACATCGCTACTTACGCGCACAACTGACTATCCTCAAGCTCAAACTGGCTAAGATAAATTTCCATCTCCTGGCCCTGTGGGATTGGAACTGCTGACGTACAGTCCATGTTGGCCGGGTAGTTTTCAGGATAACCAGGACTTTTCAGCGTATCATTTACAACTGGTCCACAACCTGATCCGATAAAAGAAGGGCAACATTTTAGGGAATACCTTGGAAGGCTAAGATAAGACAGAATTTTGACTATCTGAAAAATTGCAAGTAGTTCGTTTAATCTTACTACAGAGACAACTCAAATTTTACCGAGAAAATATAGATGCCACACCCTGGAATAAATTAAGTTTGGGTTAAAGAGACCTTTGAAAAGGTTTTTCATTTGCACGGCTTCTGTTTCCTTCAATTCATGTTCTTAAGTGAAATTGAATTCTTCAATCCATTATTGTGGTCAACTATTATTTTGTAATATAGATAGAAAATGTTTTGTCTCAAAGATTGTTTTCATTTACCTTTCACTACGAACTCAGCTGTGTCAGTGCCATACTTGCTTGATGCCATACAGCTGTAGTTGCCTTCCTCATATAATCTGATAATGGCTGAGTCTGTGGTGTTTATCAGTACTGCAGAAGTCTGCTTATGAACTATCGACGTGTAAATGGGCGGGGTTCCAATGGCTAAACACGACACCTGGTTGTTTGGAGTTATGGGCACTTTAAGATCTAATGACGTTATCCTTGGTTGAACTAGAATGCAGCAGAATTAGTAACTGTAATCAGCGAGCTTGACAGTGTAAGCTAAAACGATGTTTAATCGATCGCTCATCACAAGACATGTAAGAGACAGAAAATAAACGTTATATGGTGTGGTCTTCGGTGACCGCACGCAAAATATCGCGGGCGCTCTTTCCCACGAAAAGCACATGTTTTGTTATGGAGTTATACTGTCGTTTCGTTAGGAAAAGTTTTCCTTTCTATTTAGAAGGCACAATAACTTGTAAGTACGCAGTATTTCGGTTATTCGGTCAATATTATCTTTGTAATAGTCGCGTTGTCGTTATTTCAGCGAATCTTTCTCTTTCACGTGCAATTTGTGAATGAAATGAATACAAGTTATGTGCAGATTAGAAACGAACTAGCAAGTGAACAACTGATTAAAGTACAGTTTCAAGTAGCTATGAGTGGACGCTACAAGACACGTCCGTGCTGATACTTGGTGAAGCGGTAAAAAATGTGAATGAATGAGTAGCGTATGAAAACCCTTAAGAACCTCACACGAACATGTACGAAAGGAAGCTCGAGCTCATCAAATTTTTAAAAGCAGCCAGATTAGATCGCGACCTTTTCAATGAACACTCAACTATTTTCTCGGATCTTGATAGCATTTATCAATATAGCATGTTTTCAAATTTGCTGAAAAAGACTGATTTAAGTTCTGGAGAGTATATTTTTTTTTAGCTCAGCTTTCAAGTAGTATCTTTAAAAATTAACTATTCACTGCATTTTGGGATTCCGAACGGTAGCCTGACCGTTTAGGAATTGTCTTCGAATGGGCTTGAAATTCGAATTTGGTCACCGCCACTTTGTAAATACGTCAGTAACCTGGCCTCATATCCATCACTCGACATGATCCATTGACTGAGATAAAATCATGTTGAGCAAACTTTACTTTATTAGTAAATACTGATTCTCTACGTACCAAATGGAACAGCAGTAAATATTATATGGAATCCTCTCTCTTCTCGATTGTAGTCTGAGTGGAAGGTTATCGAGAAGAATTCTCCAGTCAACAATAATATCTTGCCTGTTTGTCCGCCACAGAACTTTCCAACAACCGTTCCTTCGTCATCAATAATCTTTACGTAATCAAAGCTGTTTAATTTAGGAAAGACATTTAATAAAAAACGTGCACAACAGCGGAAATTGCTTTTTTGCTGAAAATTTTACCCTTGTGTTGTTTAGGCACAAAGGCATGACACATTTTCTATATAAAATCAATGATCTCTCTGTAATATCCCAGGCCAGTGGTATCTCACTAACAAAGGTATATCCGCACGAAAGCGACTTATATTGTAATTTGAGTTTTTTTTTGTTGTTGTCCTTTTATCGTGCAACGACATTTATATTCACTTCTGGTTAAAATGACTAACAATAAAGAGTTAAGAGTACCCCCATCCTCCTCCCCTCATCTCGTCCCCAGGCCACAATGATAAGGTTTAGAAAAAAGTCCAAAGTTATTTCAACGTATTAGATAGGTTTGTAACAAGACGGCGTCAGTTTTTACAGCTCAAATAGAATTATTGACCTTTCAATTTTTGGCTATGTATGGGTAAAATTTTTATTTGCGACATCTTAGGGCAGTTATTTAGCTTCTAGCCTATTTTGCTTTTTGTCATAGTTACCTGCATTCTGAACTTTCCTCTAATTTAAAATCGATGAAGGTAATATTCATCGTCATCTCTTGTGGAATATAAACCAGATAATCACAGTCTGTATTATTTGGGTAGTATTTGGGATATCCAGGGCTTTTCAGTCTATTTTTCACTACTGAACCACATTCTGCAAAAAGATAAGAAGTAAGCTGGCAAAAAGACATGATACAGAATGCCTCCTAGTATTAACATTGTGGGATATACTGGTCAAGTATTGCAAATTGAGTTTAGACTTCGAGTCACTGAAATGATCTGCAGTCTTAGACCTATTATACAAATAAAATGGGACATACATAAATTTACGTTATCAATCAATAACTGGCTTTCATTACATGGCAGAGACTGAAGTTAGCTTATGCTGGGTTGCAGACAGGGGCGGATCCAGGAAAGTCTGAAAGGGTTGGGGGGGGGGGCGGAGGAAGGGGCTCTACACCTTAGTAACTTTCAACGCCATTAGCGTGGAAGGCGAGTGCCGCTGGTGCAAGCTTCTATGGGGATCCGGGACCACGCCCGCCCCCTTCCGAAAGTGTGAAAGAATGATTTGTTAACCTTATTTCTTAGCCAGAAAACTAATCAAAGTGCTCTGTGAGCAAACTCGTGAATTGACACATGATCTTTAGGATTATGTTTAATGTTATCTGGTTTAGGGAATTTTGTGGTTGATTGTCATATCTAGAGTACGAGCAGTAGTTCAGTGTTCGCTAATGTAGCAAAGAAACAAAGTAACGTCTGGATAAGAAGGCATTACAATTGAAATGATCATGCTATTGCATTTGACAAGGGTGGATGATGTCATGTGTTTTAAACGTATATCATTTCTGTTTCTGGTTCAAAAGAAAAGGTTGGAAGTAAATGTGGGTGAAAAGTGAGATTTACTGTCTATCATTGTGAATATTAGAAAATCAAGGCAATACTTTCTTAATGAAAACATTAACGATGAGACAAACGGGAACGAGTTTTGAGTGATATAACTAAGCTAAGACTGCTACCGTCATTTTGGATCTCCGCCTGGGTAGATTTTAGTCACGTGCTAGGCAACGTATAATCAATAACAAGATAGAATTTCATTTCAGGCCTATTTATCAATTTTGTGGTGTATAACTTTCGCATTTTAGTACGTAATATGTATTTTGACTCTTCAAATTGTCTTGAAACTTAAAAGAAAATTTTTCTTTAAAAATTCACTGAAAATCGGTAGCTAAAATTGTTTGTTTAGGTGTTATTTGATTTTCGTGTTAACTTGTAATTTCGTTAGTCGCCGGCATCTTCTGTTGTTTTCACAGGAAAAACACACGATATGAAACGTGATGATCGATTCTGTTCTCAATCTCACGCCATAACAGAAAAAGTTTTTGAACATCTGTAAACTCCGAGCGCTTCGCGGTAAGTGATATTTTCAATGAATCTTCGGATTGTTTTCAAGTTCAAGGATTGTAAATTACAATTTTATGAAAAACGAAGGTTTTTCTGTTATTTCAATGTGAATCCTTGCATGCCTGCCAGTCGCTGGCGCCGCTTGTTGAAACTAAAACGAAAAAAAAAATTATTTTAAGATTATCATTGGCTTCTTTGTCACCCCACCAATATTCTTAGCAACAAAGGTCGCCATTTCGTTTGTTTATTGCTCGCCAAAAACTATCAAATGCACTCAAAAGCCTAAAATCGAAAAAAAGTTTACAGGAATCGACCAATCGAGCGAGCGAGTGCCATTCCCCACATCGTATCTACAACTCACTCTTGCGCATGCGCGCAATTCACGAGTTAAAAATGACAGTTTTTCATTAATTGACAAGCGGACAGTTGGTGGAAATAAAACAACTACGTAAAACCGATTTTATTTTCTCATTATTATGAAGAATCAACAAAATAAATAATATATAAAATGCTGCTCAAAAAAAAAAAGGGGGCAGGCCTGCAACCCCATTAACCCCTCCTCATTATCTGGCTTTGTTCCCAAGCTCTGGAATGAAGGTAGAATTAGTGGTCTAAGCTGGTTATCATTAACAATTTGCGGTACTCTGCCAGTCTTCGAATTCTCAGTTTTCTTACCGTCTTGCAAAAACATAAAATCTATATCAAAGCCTCTCTGTTCATTTTTGTTATCAGTGTGGAACCTCAACAGAACAAAGTCTCCAGAAATCGGAACCTGGTAATTGGTCTTGTGGCCACAGATTGTAGTAAGCAACACCGACCTTTGATTGACTTTCCTCTTTATCTGCAAAAAGTCATGACTACAAAAGAAGGAAATCATGTTTTTTTTTTAAAATAAAAATGCATGTTAGTTACCGATAAGCAGGGACAAGAGAAAAACCTAGAAAAAATGGCAAATACTGCCAGAGACGATTAGAAAAAAACCAAGGTATTATGCGAAACATATTTACTTTAATATTCCTTTCTACAATGTGTCATTTTGTGTCATTTTGGGTGAACTGCTATCTGCAAAATGGCCAAAATTTTAACTGCCAGCTGTAAAAGCCACCGCCCCATTGACACCCTCATGTTAGGTCCAGCCAATAAACTAATAAGTCTAGGATTTAAATCTCAGAGCGACGACAGATTTCCCATTTTCCATAATGAGCATGAAACGGTTATACTTTGAACCTAGATTCCATATCCACCAAGTACCTCCAAACCCTCCAATTCCTCATCTTTATTTTTAATCTAAATATATTTTCCTCATCATCATTTTCTTCCATGAAGATTGCAATAACTTTTGATTCATTCGTTAAAAAGATTTAGCCAAAAAAAAGGGGTCGAAAACGTTGTGATAAACGTTTGAAAAAAATAACAGCATTCAGACAGAGAAATTGCACAAATCTGTATTTGCATGATAATGATTGCAGCTACTCCAAATCCAGGCACAGTCCTATTTTGTGCTTTTCTCACTGTATAAGCCTTTTCTCCAACTGTTCTCTTCCTGTCTTTACGTACATCAACAGTTGCATCTTCAGAATAGCATTACGATAGAAAGTTGGACTAGTTTATGATACACTTGTATCCTATCAAGTACTTTTACCTGCACGATGCGTGATCTTCCAAATATAAATCCTTAATCAAGATTTGCATTTGCGCGTTTGGAGGAATAGGAACGGAGTAATTGCAGTCTAGATTGCTTGGGTAGCCGATTGGATATCCAGGACTTCTCAGCGTATTATTTATCACCGACCCACAATCTGTTAACGCAAAGTAAATGAGCATTGTGTGAACTATTTGTTAGCTATTTCCTGGTGCGAGCGACGAAAGCAGCCAACGAGATATTCTAAAGATAAGACTGACAGTGCTGTTAACCACGGACTGTTCAACAGTTCACTACTTAGTTTCTCGTGCTTTTAGTTGTATTACTACAGCGTAATTTGATTTGCTCAAATTGTTAACTCCAAGAAACGATATTTCCTTCTCAGGTAACACAGGTTCATTCTATAAAGAAGAAACCAATGAATAACAAAGAAATAATGAAACTGTTACATGGATGCAACACGACGAAGATGATAAGAAATAACTTGTGCTTTAAATAAAACTGATTGCTAAAAAATGAAAACAATCAAATTATGTTTTCTATTAATTTTGATTAGTACTCTTGTGAAATTATGATTCCTTGTTCCCTGACATCTTCCATCAACAGAAACAACTTTCTCTGTGAAATAAAGAATAGAGTTTAGAAACAGCTATTTTACTGGAATATTTACCAAATGGAACAGGTGTAAAGTGCATTTTGAATCCTCGTTTTTCGTGTGAAGCGTCGGAGTGGAAAACCATGAAGGCGTATTGTCCAGTTACAAGAACCTCCTCTCCAGTCTTCTCCCCACAGTAAACACCAAAGTAGTGGTTCATCTCGTTACGGATCCTCAAATAGTCCCAGCTACGAAGAATTATACAATAAGCTAAATTATACACGCATTTTAAATAAATAAGTTTTAGCTTTGATGTATTGGAGAGCAAAAATATTGATGATTTTATTCATTATTCATACATGAAAATGATCTCGAACAGCTGTTTAGCTACATTAGTTTTACTCTAATGCAAGACATGATACGAATATTTACCTGCAATGGTTGCTGTCCTCAAGGTCAAACTTAGCAAAATAAATTTTCATTTGCGTGTTTTGCGGAATAGGAATAAATGACAGACAGTCTGTATCGCTCGGGTAGTTGTCAGGATATCCAGGACTGGTCAGTGTATTATTATTGACCACACCACATCCTGTTACACCGAAGAAAGATAAAACAGAGCTTTGTTCGATCAAGTGTTTTGATTGTGTTACTATTGACACACTTAGGAGGGTAAACTCTTTACTTGTACATCACAGGCAGGTCCAACTATGGTTTATTTCGTATAATTGTGATCAGATTCCTTTACTTTCCTTTAATCCACTAAAAAGTGTTCATACCTCGGTAAGTAGTGACGCCCAGTTAGCATTTGTGAATCGAAGGCATAATTTTTTGAGGATTTTTTTTTCAATTTCTTTAATTACAGCTCACATGAAAGGATAATCCATCAAATCTTCATCCTTCTACCAAAACATCACCACCCTTCCGATGTCGCGAGTTAAAAATTTACGTTGGAGGACTACCACACCTACTGCAACAGGGATCAGGCTCGGGATGCATGATCCCTGTCTGATGTTGTCCGGACTGTCTGAGGTTGCTTCGAATCATTGTTACTTTCCACCCGTTTATTGCTCTGAACTTTACTCATCTTCATCGAGTTCTTCTGGTATTAAACGAGACTTTCAAAGATAAGTCCTAATCAATATACATCATAAATGTATTTTATCTAGTTCCCTTTATGTTTTAGATATATTTATGTAAATATGAGTAAACTTACCATTTTGAGCAAAGGAGAAGCGTAAACGAAATCCTTGTCGTTGATGATTTTCATTTGAGTGGAATACTATTTGCACAAATTCTCCAGCAATAATAATTTTCTTGCCGTTTTGCTGGCCACAATAAATGCCAGCCACCATCCCTATGTCATTTTTGATCGTCACAAAGTCGCTTCTAAAAAACGATAAAATTGGGAACTGTGATAAATCTACCGAATAGAATATGATGCAATACAAGTTTGCATACGGGCTGTGATGTACATTTCGTCTAGGCCCTTAGTGTGAAAGTTTCAACAAAATTTGTGTTTTGAATTGAACCGTTTGCAGCAAACGGATGATGACCTTTTTTCTTCAACCTATATAACGTCAACTCTCATCTCATGGTGCCGTGACATGTTTGTCCTTAGTAACAGCTTATCTTTGTGTGCAGCTGAGAAAGCTGACTCAATATTCCGTTGGGGTTAATAACATCAGAAATCAGATAGCAATAAATACTCCCCGAGCAAGTCGCAAGGAAGGAAAATGAAATTTCAATATAATTCTAATACCGACATATAATGAAGATGCATAAGAAATTTGGTTGAAATTCAAGCCCTACTTACGCACATAACGAAGGGGAGTTCACGAATTCCAAGTCAAAATAAACAAAAGTAATGTGCAATGCCTTGTTTTTTGGTATGGGAAGCGAATAAGTACAGTTCATGTTGCTTGGGTAGTCGTTTGGATAACCAGGGCTCACCAGTGTGTTATATACAAAAGAGCCACAATCTGTTGAAGCAATCAGTGAGATAGATAATCATTGCATCTGGCATTAATCACATTAATACTCTTTTCGTATCAACAATTCGCTCTTCAGTTGAAAACTGCAAGAAAACTTAACAGTAAGCATTAATTTGATTCCACGCCCACATCTAAACTCCTCAGACTTTGACTGTGAAGAAGTTTATAGTCTCGATTTTTAAGAGAAAATCAGATTTTTGAATCAACTTGATTGCAATAATTAACCACAAAGCGAGATCTATCGGTGAACATCTGATTAATGGACTCCGCTTTAAGTGCTCATTGCCAACATGAGTGGTATCAAAATTATAGGATGATTTCTGACGTTTTCGCCTATAAACAAAGGCTTTAACCATTAGAACATAAAAAACCCAATGCAGCGAAACCCTGTAATCAAAAATTAGATGGGTAGAACAATGGATTAAATCTCAGCCTAAGGCATTAATTTAAAAGTTCTTCTCGTCCGAAGGATAGATTTTCCTTTAACGATTGTTTACTTTCGTTTGTTTTGTTTTCTCTTTAAGTTTGATATTCAAGATAGTTGCAAGCGAAAGCTCCGAAAAAGGAAAATTATCGTTGCTAATTAAATTTGACACTTAAGGATGCCTTGCTTTGCTTAGCCATAGAGAATGAAACTGTTGCATCTCTAAACTTACCCGCAACATAACTTTTGAAATGCAACTTAAACCCTCTGCTTTGAGTTGCGTTCTCAGTGTGAAAAGTGATGAACACGCTAGTTCCAGTTACATTTATTTCATTTCCAGAGCCTTGACCACAATACACACCAAATCCCTGGTTCTTCTCGTTGGTAATATTCAAATAGTCTCGACTGCAAGAGAATGCTAACATAAATTTTTTGTTTTTCATAAGATGCATGGTTCATAATATTGCAAATAAAAATAAGTGCAAGCCGCACTCGTATTTCCTGACTGCATACACAAAAATCAATTATTAACAAACTGCAGTCTTAACGGCATGCTTCTCCTTTTCCAGTCTAACCTTAAGCCTTAAATGGGGAAATGGGAAATGGATACCAATTCTGGGGAGTACTGGTGATAGCCAGGCGAAAAGTTGTTTTTTTAATCAATTGCAAAGTCAGGATTCATATCCCAAATGACCTCATGTCAAACATTCTTTTGGTCAGTTGGTATTGTAATGATTCATCTTAGGATTGTATGTGTAAATTCACACAGAGCTCTTCGTCGAATGGTTGAAATAGTTACTTACTTGCAATCATCACTATCTTCCAGATCAAAATCAATGAAGTAGATTTGCATCTGCATGCCTCGCGGAATAGTAACAGAGGACCCACAATGCATAGCCCTTGGGTGGCCATCAAGATATCCAGGACTTGTTAACGTTCCGTTTATCACTGGACCACAATCTTTTAGAGAAAGAATTTTATTTATTAATATATCTTACTCTAACCGTAGTAATAAAGAAAATTCCTATTGGAAATACAGCTATGACGGAAAATTATTTACACTTTCCATAAAGCGTTAATTTTTTAAAATCGTTTTAAAAATGAAAAAGGTAATGCATTTTTCTTCCGAATATGATAATTCTCTCCGCTACCAGCATGTGGCTACGTAATTCATTAGGCAGTGCAATTTCACTAGTCTCTGAGAAAACCGAATTTGAATTCCAAAGAAGCTCTTGATTGTTTCAGGCCTTATTTCTTTTATTTCTCTAGTTGCAGTTCACCTGCTAAGATCCATTTCGCGTTTAGTTATCATATACAGGTCTAACATATTTTTGTTAATTTATTTGTGATATACAAGATATTGCATGCTTCAAATTGACATCAGTTTCCTCACCTATCACAGGGAAGTCTTTTCTGTCAATACCATACTTGCTCGTTGCCACGCAGCTGTAGTTACCTCCATGGTATACTTTGACACTGGCCTGGTCTGTGGTGTTCACAAGCACAGTAAATGGATCCATCTTTACTATCGCTGTATATATGGGGTGGGATCCCGCGGTGGAGCACAAGACTTGGTCGCCTGGAATTATAGGTTCTGCAGGATCGAGTGATGTTATTCTCGGTGGACCTTTCAGTATGAACCATAAACTAATCTTAGGAAAATATTCACTATAATCATCACATGGTTACCTCAATAATTTTTTAAGCGACTCTATTAGCTAGCAGCAAGAAAGGGTCATCCTCCTCTCCTGGTAGCACATTATGGTTGTACTTACCATTTGAAAAGACAGCAAACTGTAAAAGGAATCCACCCTTTTCTTTGCTCTGGTCGGAGTGGAACACTATTTCAACGTATTCTCCAGCCACAAGAACTGTAGTTCCAGTCTTCTGACCACAGTAAGTACCAACTTCATTTCCACTGCTACTATTGATCTTCAAGTAATCATACCTGAAACAACAATATTTTAGAAACAGTGAGTAAACGAGAAAATGCTCTATAACATACTGTGCAAACTGAGAGAATGATGCAGACAGTTTTTAGAGTGGTCTATGTTTGTTTGTGTATTTATGCTCACCTGCAAGTTGGCTGACTGAACTCAACGTCAAAATATACGAATGTAATTTTCATCGTCATTTCGTTTGGTATAGGTAAAGTAACGGTACAGTCCACATTACTTGGGTAATTTTTCGGAAATCCAGGACTTTTCAAAGTGTTGTTTACCACGAAGTTGCATTCTTTAAGACAGATTGTGGAAATCAAGTTTGTGGTTAGTAAAATTTCTGAACTCAGTTTAACCGGGAACAAAAATTTTAGCATTGCCAAAGAACAAGTAAATTCTTATCTTGCTGTCTGTGCATTTAGAAAGTAGCAGCAATACTGCTCACACTTTTTATAACATAAATCATTGACCAGCGGTACTGCTATGCCTGCCAGGGTAGAGGCCAGTCCATTGTTCAAATGATCAAAAAGGAAGCTGTGCTTGGCATGAAAAGCCAATTTCGTTCTCTGTTATTGCTAATAGATTTGATTTCGTTTTGACAAAGTTATAAATGTTGGTCTCTTTGCTTATTCCTAAGTTTTTTTTTTCACAGCTGCTTTGAAATTGGCAGTTCAGCTAGGAACATATCATCCTGTTGGTAAATCTCTGTATTTCAGCATAAGGGTTTTTTTGTTTTGTAATTTGCATTTTTGTTTTACTCAGTTCGTGTGGCTATCATAAACGCCATTGCAATAAGGTACATAGTGGGTAGAACCAAGACTAAAGAACAAGAAAATCAAACAGTCGTGTATACTCACCTTCATTTGCGGCAGCGCCTTCCTTTTCATTCCACATCAAAGAGAAAAGTAACAAAACGAAATTCATGGTACATGCATTTCTTTTCCGGTTCATATCCACATAGTTTAATGTCTTTCCGCGGGTAACAGTCATTTCTACAATAATAAACATTTCTGTAACTTAAGCTGGAGCTTCATTATTAATTCAGTCTTCGATTTACTTAAATACAGCATCTACTTTTGCAGCTCGTAAAAACGAGCAATGTTTTATTGATATGAATTTTTATCATCAGGGTTATGCGCCGCTGTTTCAAAATGCCACTGACCGGAGGAACATATTAAATATTCTCACATGTTTCTTAAGCTTCAACTCACGGACAATTGCGTGGATTTTATTTCCCAACATGAACACTAACATAAAATCAGTTTAAACATCAACCGGCAAAGGAAGAAAAACCGTCTAATTAACGCAGTGCGTGATAACAGCCTTGCACCTGCCGTCATCACAAACTTTTCTGAGCCACTCATTATTCATTTACCAAATATATATTGCTTTGATCTGAGATAAAATTTCATATATTTTCATCAAAATCTGTAAATGAAAGTCCAAAATGACAGATGAGATCGTAAAATGAAAGAAAGGTTGATCAGACAGGTGTAATGGCAAAAAAATGACAATGTATGCAAAAGGAGATAAGCATTTCGAAAAATGACATCAATCGAAGGGCTAATCACGCTTCTAATTAAAAACGCTTTTTGCTTTGGTGCAAATTATACATCAAATGAGAAAATTCGAAAAAAAAAAAAAAAAAAAAAAAAAAAAAAAGGCACACCAGGTAAATTGCTACCTTAATCATAAAAGAACCGGCCCAGACTGGAGATCAGAGACTTGTTAATCAAACATTTACTCTAAACTGCTGATAGCTCACGTCACACATTGATTCATGATGTGGATCACGTCTCTGTTCAAAAGCCACATTTTTCCTTTCGCTGATAGGAGTAGTGCCTCCTCTGATGGTTACGGGAAAGAAATTATTAAACGAATGACAACAAAATTACGATCATTATACATTTAAAATTCGGCGCACGTAGTTAATACCGCTCCATACTTGGAATTATCAGAGCGACCCTTTTAAAGATTTTGATGCATCAGTGACTGTCGTAGAAATTGGCTTAAAAAAAAGAAATGAATGATACACTAAAGGCCGAATGATACACCAAGTATCAGCTGGCTTCTACAGTACTTACATTTAAGAAAGACGTTGCTGTTAACCTTTTAGAAATCTCAACTCTTTTGTTTCCCTGACTCAGAGCGGAACATTATGTTCTTCAGTGCTTTTCTCCACACTTCTTTCGCTATTGGTTTGTTTAGTATAATCTAAATTCTCACGAAGTACAACACGCCCTAAAGGAGGCAGTGTGGCCAAGCTGTTAGGAATTGTGAACTGGTGCTCTCGGGTCCAAGTTCTCCGTCCTGCTTTACAATGGATTTGCGCTTCTTGGCTATTTCGAGCTCAATTCTTTAGCTGCGCTTTGTATATAGCCATCTGCCTCCGGTTTATCTACATGATTGTTTCAAATTGTTTGTATTGGCCTTGAAAAGCCCATTGGGAGAGTGGTCATTCAATGTCATTAATATTATTATCATAATTATGCTGTCAACGCATCAAATATCCCCTAATTCTGTATAGTAAAAGTCTACACAGGCTGCTGCTAGACTCTGTTGTTGGTTGTCGGTTATTTTTCCCAACTTCCATCCCACCCGTTGGTGCAACCATCAAACGATTCATGTCAGGTCTTGATAGCCTAAAATGCAGCTCATGTCACAATGCAAAGAATCCTTTTGAAAAACTGTGCAACAAAAGCCAATATGTATGGACGAGTAAGTGACTATTGAAATAATTACGAGGGATACGGCTCTACAAGGAAGACAAGGAGTATAAATTCTATATGTGCCTTTTTTTTTTCAAGAAAAGAAACAACGTTCATTCAAACAGACTCTAGAATAAGAAGAACATTTTCAAGACCAAATTATCAACATTCATGAATCTATGAGTTGGTCAAGAGTTGTGGAAATCGTCCCATCATCTTAACTAAATAGGAAACCTTTTCCCTTCATTTTGGAAGAAACATAAATGAATGTCACGCCATGAGAAAGTTTCGACTTGAAGCTGTGAGTCGCAAAATGGGCACAACAGTTATTGGGAGCCTTTTCAATGGAAACGCTACATTACGTCATTTTGTCATTCAAGTCACTCTTTCAAACTTTAAAGTAAATCACATAACGAAAAAATATATTGAACCGCAAACCATTTGTATTTATCCTCCTTAAATACTGACTTGACCTAATTGCTTCCATTTACGGCCGTCATATTAATAACAGCTGAACTAGTGCCAGGGGACAGTCGAAATGTCGCGATCCACATCGGAAGTGAATACACCGCTAGATAGACAACTATCATTTACTACCAAGTATAATCACCACAATTAATAACCACAACCTTTTCTATAATTGTTTCCTCAGGACAGTCATGCATAGAAAAAAAAGAGGACAAACACATCGCATTCATCAAAGGGACGCAGAGGGTTAATCGTAAAATTGCAAAACAGTTTGGCTCTAAGGCGTAAAAACTCGTACAAAAAATTAACCGTAAAAATTATACCATTAAATTATATCATTTTTGTCTTGTCTTGTGGCAAACGAGGCAAAACCGGAAAATTACTTAATATCAATCCAAAGGCGACTCGATCTGGAGAAATTCTTATTGTTTTACTCTTATAGTGAAAGGGTATCCAGTCGTTGCATACCCACGGTAGTTTCGTACCTAGTCGATTCGTATCCAAATTCAGCCGATTCGGTTCGTACCAGAGCCACTGGTCAATTCTTACCCGTTCAAAATATAAGTTCATTCAAAATACCTCACTCGCACTTGTCAGATGTCGTGTATGATAAATTCATAAATTCAAGCGAGTAAGATTCAAGGAAAAATTCCGTTGTGTATACTTGTCACCCTTTTAACACAAACACTAAATCATTGCCTATTTTCGTTTAATCTAAACAAGCGGGCGCGTAACTTTTTCCAAGCGATTGCAATTTTATGTATTATTTGTCAAAAATTCTGTTAACCCTGACAGAAATAAATTGACTGTTAGCTCTAGAATGGTCAAAATTGTAACCATTGGTCGTAAAAGCCTTCACCCCGATAAGACCCTTACATTAAGTTGAAAATGGATAACATATCTCATTATGCGTTCGCCTTATAGTTTCCGTGAATCAAATTAACGATTTCGTGTTTTTTTCTTTAAATTACGTTGATTTTTGTGTTGCATTTTTTTGGTTAGATTTGATGTTTTTCTTTTATGTTGATTTGTTTATGTGTATGGTTTTTTTTTCAAATGATGCGTCGAGTTTTGGTTCCTCATGGCACTCACCACATTTGCACCCTCACTTAAACCCTGCATTGAGTCATCTGTTCCCGTTAATAGATAGAAGAGAGTGGAACTTGCCGTACTGAACCCATTCTTCCTTAGAGTAGAAAAAAATTGGTCCTTGGTATGATCTGCGTTCAGTTTTAGTGTAATAGATGAACTGCGAAGTGGCAGTTTTTCTTTTCCTCATAGACTTTGTAAAAGCCTGTCCGATCGTAATGCAGCTGAGCCTCTTTTATTCGATGTGCTATGAAGTTTATGTAATTGTAACTACGGTCAGAAAGGTGATTTTATTTGTATCCAGCTAATTTCCTAGCAAATGAACGTTTCGTTTTTTTAAATTAAGCAAAATAGAAGAAAGCAATTTGGATAAAAGGAACGAAAAGATGACAGTTCCAAATTTATCCAATGTTGTTGAAAAGGATATATACATGTATTTTGAGAATTGATTAAAAACAGTTTTTAATTTTTCTTCTCAAGTTACTTTTTATGTTGTCAGGATAATTAGAAGTAATTACCAGCCAAGAATTATTTACTCTTCAAAGAAAGTACAGGGCTAAAGGAAATGTTTTCTTCTAATCAGAAGAAACAAACTGCATATAGATATGGAAAGTCACCTGGTCATCGTGATAATTTAACTCAGCCTGGGGCATGAGTCTTTGATAATCCTTTGAAATGCACGCTTTTATGTAAAGTTAAAGCTCTTAAGCATCAAATTAGGTAATTTAATTTTTTTCCTAGAAGCCATTCCATTAAAGACTTTTAAATATGCTTGCTACGATCAAAAACTTAATTTACTATTTTAATTACAATTTTTTTTTCGTTTTGAGAATGGTAGGAATTTTGTCTTCGCGTTTTTCGTTTGTGCTGTAAGTCTCATTGGAAGTGGAGCTGAGGATGAAAACATTCACTTAACTTAAGCAAGCGTTTTGATCAACAGTAAAGCATAGAAGTTTCTTATTAATATTCATCCGAGTTCAATTATAGTACTAAGAAGTGCAGCGTCACTTGGTGATTTTAGAAGAGCACTACTTCCTTTCAGTTTTGATCTAAACATAATTTCACAACATTTTGCCTAAAAATGTTTAGAATGATTTTAATTACTGCAACTTACAGAAAGAGAACATTTTCAAACCCAGGAATACCCTATTATCTTATCAATGAGGAAAAATTATATCATTCGAAATTCATGGGACAATATCGGCTTAGAGAAGACACTTCTTAGAGAAGATTAAATGATCAACTTTAATCCCAAGCTTTTCACCAAGTCCAAAAGAGTTGTGATGAAATCTAGAAAGTTTAACGGTACAAGCCTGTCATTTCGATATTATGTTAAAATGTATGGTTTTAGAATTTACAATGAGATACATAGTGAATAATACATGGGCGCGCGTCGATATGTAATTCCTTTTCGAGTGTTAACTCGATAGCTCACGAGTGAGATGTCGAAGAAAAATTTCGTATCTTCAAGCAACCATGTATTATTTTGTGTATCGCATAAACACAAGAGCCTTTTACTGACAAGAAAAGTCAACTTTATTAAGGAATGGAAATAAAAGGATTGACCATCCCCAAATGAAAATCGTAGAATGCGTTGGCGCTAAGCTTTAAGATGAAAAAACTCGTTGAAACACTGCAAAAACAAACAATGGACGCAATTTTCAATACAAAAAATTCACAGTTATGGCTTTGTCCTTACCGACAGAAGGAATCTTTCAGGTATAAGGCCAAAATCGACCTGCTGCAAATCTACAGGTTGTCTATTTTTGTTCGGAGCCGCGATAAATGCCATTACCAAAGCCACTGAATACGCAACTTTTGGTTTTTCTTTCCGTATTTTGGTTTTCTTCCCCTTCTAGGAATTTGAACGTCACTGTCTGTAAGTGATATGGATTTTTCAGTGTTTTAGTGGCTATAATCCGGAAAAATTCCGGCAAACGACCTTGGATTGAGCATGGGGACTCATCAATTTTACCGAGTGGTGCGAAAAGCGAGTGACCTGTCGTCAGCTGAGTGGCGATATCAAACACACGTCAAAAAATATCGTATTTTTTCGAGTGTGTTGTTACGGCTTTTCTCAGGGCTAGAAATCCTTGTATGGCACCATAGTTTACATGATACATTACACTAATTTCATCGTTACACAAAGATCGGCACGGTTTCTAAAATATCTATGATAAACATGACATTTTTAGCTTGAACATTAACAGCAAAAGATGAAATTCAGCTGAAGTTGTTTCAGTGAGTAATAACGTAGATAATAGGACTGACTAGACAAGAATTCTGTCCTTCTAGGGTCTAACAGGTGTGTCTTACCACAGGGTCACTCTATGATATAAGACTACAAAGTCACTATATAATGTAAGTCTATGTAATAAAATTTGAATATAACGCGCGCTCTGATTGGTTGAAAGAGCGGGTTATCAGAGTGCAAATACGTTGCTAAAGTTATCACGCCATCTACCAATTTGTAAATGTCCGACCATTTCTTGGACTCCGCTCTAATTTTTTAAAAAATTTTTAATTGACTAAAAACGTCTTGCATGACCTATAAAACGAATATGAAAACAAGCACTTGGCTTCAGTTGATACGGAACAACTTGTAGGTAACAGCACAAACTACACTGAGATAGAAAGTAAAATTTCAGAACAAGTTAAACGTGAAAATACGAATCGGCAAGTAGCAACAGGAGAACCAGTTAAAGGTTTTAAACATGTCAAGTGTCAAGATTGACAAAATTTTAACGCGAGCAGAAGAGAAAAGAGAAAACCGGAGAGAAACGAAACGGACTGTCCGAGTTTTTGAAAGTTTTTACCCCTTTAGATTATTATAAGCTTAGGTGTGTTTGCTAGTAAAACTAAAACACAGGTAACACTCGTATAGTGTAAATTAGATAGTTTCGTGTTCAAAAACAATGCAAAACAAAACAGGAATGATGAAAAATGTCATCAAATAGGCATAACTGTGAATAAAACATAAAACAAATCGTGACGTCAGTGTGACTGCGGTCATGCTGAGGTCCACTGCAGCTAGCTCATCATGGCGATCATCACTGTAAAGCAAACCTCGAAAAATTACTTCTTCCACCTGTGGTGTATTAGGACAGCTGTAGTTCGCAAATATATCCGGGAACTTAAAGTGTGTACGAAAGCGAGAAAGTGAGGAGTGATGAACTTCGTGTGCTCGGAATAAAGCGTATGTTTTAAGCCTTTGTGATGTGCCTTTGCAGCTTCACTACCCTACACCACCGTTCGAGGGAAAAAACTATGATGATTTGAGTGGAAGGCGAAAGCAGTCATAGCAGACGAGTTTTACTGACGCTGTCACCTCGAGCAATCTTCGTGCACTTGTGAACTCGGTTTAGTGTCCCTTCGATCTGAAGCTAGTAACGAAAACGTCACCACCTAGTGTGACGTAGACTGTGTACGGAGCGTAGCTTCCCTATGGGTCAGTTCCGAGAACTCTGCGCTACAAAGCGTTGGAAACGCCATACTGACAATGGAAACTGATTTTCCAAGGGAACGAAAAAGTACTGGATAATTCGTGATTCTTGATATCTTGAGGTATTTTAGGCGGAAAATATTACTGAAACTCTTCAAACCCTAGGATTAGTCGTGCAACTTTCAAAATATAATCCCTTGATCATCAGCAAAGGTCAAGAGTATCTAGGAACTGATGACTTAAGACTAAATTGCGCTGATCTTTTCTGAATACATTCTCAGAATTTCTTTTATGACAATATTTGTTGACCATTTAGAAGTTATGTATTGACCACTGTGCTAAGGTAGGGAAATGTAAAAAGGGAACGAGGGCTCAGTTAGGAATGAAACGGAGACAAAATAGAGCGTTATTTGGAATTCAGTCCGCCCTAGATGACTAGAGCTTCCCGCTCGCTAGAATAAACTATTCGATTCCATTCAAGCCTTTGCCTATCTGTATTTGAAGCCACAATATTTTTGTTAGATTTGTCGTTTTAGCGTGAACTCAATGAGCTAATCCGAATGTTTAAAGTTTGCTGGTTCAGGATACATTTCATGACATACAGTGCATGATATCCTTCCAAAACAGTATTGTGTAACGGCTTCAAATCTTCCATTTACACCCGCCTTTTCTTTACCATAATATCCACTAAATACCCATCCGAATTACGGTCATTTTTTCTTATCTAGCTATAACTTGAACCTTCCCATAAGGGCTCGAGTGATCCAGCTTGCAGGCATCATCGGGAAAGTGAATAAATTTCGAATGATATTTGCCGTTATTAAAGAAATTTTCGAAAGAGTCTCATGAAACAAAAACCGTAGTAATATCAAAGGCCGACACTACTGTTTTTATTTTTTGCATCTGATTGGATGAGAAGGTGGTGCGAGCTTTAAGAACCAATGAATCACAGAGCGAAGAAAACCAAAACCAGTAAAATCCCGGATTACTTTCGTTACTCAACTGAAAATTGCCGCACTAGTTTCAATGGCACAGGCATACTTAGAGCATACATATATATATATACCGGGAGCCCGTACTCGTCACATAATCTTTCCTTGCTCTTATCACCACAAATGCCGACTGTACTAGTGAGAATTACCACAGAGCCATGGGAGGAACGAGTCATTTTGGCTATGCCATTACATCCATCACATACTACCCAGCCTTACTACCTGATATCTTAAAGGATCACAGTAGTCCACATTGGGCAGTGATTGGCAACAGTGGTTGCCGCTGCAAGCCTTCGACCAATCTTACTTGTATTTTCTCGTTAATGTATCCTATTGCGGAGCCACGCTCAACTTCTGAATAAAAATGTTATTTAACACTCGTTTAACGCTTGAATCTTTAAGATGAAGTAAGAAAAGGCGTTATTTTCAAGTTTTGTTACTCTCATGGACTTATATCAGTAACTTGGGACAATCTCGTTACTGTTGTCGATTTCCCATTTTTCCACCACGACGTTCGCATGCTGTATAACGCTTCACATAAGACTCTTTGTTTGGGGCAAGGTCCTCAGGGGACAGAAGAATAACAGAAATACCAACAAATACATTAATAATAACACAATCGTGTTCTTACTTAGCTTTCTTGAAAAAATATTCAGTCGTTGCATTCTATTTGAACTATAAGTAACAAAAGTGATCGCACTGCCGTGAATTGTTGAGGACATACTTTCAAAACTGATAAACGCTGTTTCCACAAAGAGGTCAGGAGGCATTACCGTGAAGTTATATTGATGTTACCTGAAAAAAATTTACATCCTATTAAGAAAAAAAGGAGGAAAAAGTCACTGAATACAGTAAGAACAAAAACAAGGGATATGAAAAAGTGCATCTGTTGATTAGATGATGATATGCCAACTACTCTGCGAAAACGAAATACACTCTGATTTTCTCATTTGGAGATGGATTTTGAAACATTTCCTGCTATCAACAAGGATTCCTTAAATCTTGTTTTACGACACCTCGGTATTTGTAGCATATCAATGTTAAGTTCAGTAGTCCACGATCTTGAAGTAATCTTTGATGTGAAATACTCGAGCCTAAGCCCTTTACACGTTTGAACATATTAAGAGCGTATTAAATAGAAGTTTGGATATTGTTCAGATAAGTTTCGAGATCTGCTTTTTTCTCCCTTTCCAGCCTAGAACTCAAAAGCTCTTGAACGGATTATGAGTTCAGAAGTAAATTCCTCGTGCGCAGTTCTTAGCTTCCGTAATGTATTACCACATATAGGAACAAACATCTTGTAGGCGCCAGGATTACGTAAGTGTTTGCTTCACGCTTTTCGTTTTTTGCTTGGTTTAGTTTTCGCGCTCTTGTAGCTTTTGTTAATTAAGCATTTGTCCCTAATTTCTTTCATATGTTAGGTTTCCTTTTGCATTTTGTATATTTTGGCTCGGTTAATTATTTTTGGGAGTTCAGTTAAGTTTGCGTCTGTGTTAAGTCTAGTGTTGTTGCAAAGTATTACAGTCATCACAATCTTTTACCGCTTCACAACGTTTTTCGTTTTGCATAGAGGATACATGAAGTACTGACTTAACCTTTCCGAAGACGAACTTCATACCAGATGCAAAACAAGCATCAATTTTTGGCAATGTTACAGATCTCATTAAGCTAGATGGGCTTTGCTTAGGCTGACAATTCTGAAAACTTAATCGCATTTATATATAGAGCCGGATGTATATGCGATATCCTAGGTCATGTTTTGTAAATTTAGAGAATTGCAGATCATGCAAAATATTTCCGATAATTAAAATTAAATATACTTGAAACTTTCAGATAGATCTATCTGAAAATAAATAATTATTTCGAGTCGCCAAGAAAGTAATGGCGAAGAACCTCATCCGTGAGTGTAAAAGAAAAAAACCAAAAAAAAAAAAAAACCGAATAACGACCTTTTCATATTAATGTGTTTTGGAGAGCTTTTGTGGTGACGCGAGGGAATTCCACTGTGAGAGGGGCGGGGAAGCTCGTTGGAAAATTAAATTAAACCCTCTACAAGGAGACAAATCTGGGTTGGCTCCAGGTTTTATTGACCCTAAAGGAGACGATTTTTTCGACATATAGCGTATAGCAAGTTGCAATTAGAATTTATCATCAAAGGAACTTAATTATCGAATAAGTTTTAAAATTAGGATTTAAGAGGCAAGTCATGTCTTTTGGTCATCACATTCACTCACTGTATCTCAGTTCGGTTGCGACCCTAAACGAGACATTGACGGCTAACAACAAAAATGTTGTAACATACACTTAAGCGAGATGAAAAACATCTGCTTCCTTCATCTTGGAGCCCCCCTTCCAACCCTCCTACCCCTCTCCCCCTTCCCTTCCTCGTCTGCCTCGGGCTGTGGAGGCGCAAAGTGTATGCAGAAAGCCAGGCAGTTAATTACAAAATTTTGGCGCCGACCCGGAGAAAATAACCAAATCCCTACGACAATTCTCTTCCTCTTTTTATCTGCTACTCCTCAACATCTCCTCCGCTTACTACCCACTAACTATGGACTTTCAGCAGTACTTCTTATCTTTATGGAGTTGGATAAGCCGAAATCTCAAAACCAGCAGCTCACTCTACACAATTAAAAGGCGGTTAAAAGGTGTTTCAAAGGTAAAGTTACACCGCTCTTGTATCCTAGATCCTGCGGTTTTTCTACTCTTTGCACCAGTCGCTGAATGATATTGTCAATGCTCTGAATTATCATTAACTTCTCCCATTCGAGTGGTGATGTATTCGATTACTGTGCCAAGTTGGCAGAGCCTCAAAACCTCCCAATTAACTACTTCTCGCGTTTTATCAACGTTTAGACAAACAAACATTTCAGACGTTTCAGACGTTTCAGCTGACGTTTCAGACGTAATATATGATAGCTCACCCAGGAAGTAAATAGGTCTTAGATAAACCCTCCAACAGTGAGCTACTCTTAGAGACCTTCTCGGTCCTCGTGGCGAGGAAGTGATTTGTTCTGCTGCTTTTCGGGTGTAACTCATGCTTGCTGCACGGACATGACGTACAGCGAGGTGAAAAAGACATGTCTAGGAGTGTTTCTTGTACTTGTGCTCTACCCCATTGTAGCATATGCAGCCCTTTATACTGATGGACTCTCAAGAGTTGGGTATGTCTCCTTTTTCACTTTTTATATTTTTCGGCCCGGATGATACTCACCCATTTACAGGAGTGTAACTAGTTAGCAATAAGATGGCCGTAAGCCTGCCCGTATAATTTACCAGTGTCTGTTTCTCCTAACCTGAAAAAGATGTTAATCCATTGGCAGAAATTCAAGATGAAATACTTTACAAATTTGTTCGAGAAAATAACGTGCAGACTAAATTGCCAACGAGATGGGGCTACTAAAACATGTAGCGCATGCAGGAAAGGGCATCGAAAAAAATTATTAAAGGTTAAAACACATATATTCAAACTAAAATGTTACATAAAACGTTCGACTGGTGAAAGAGAAAACGAGTAAAGGGAAAGACTTCGACAGAGTTAGCTTAAAAGCGCAAGTTAAATAACAAAAGAAATGAGTAAACTTAGAGTCAAATTTGAAGACAAGCTAGTGAGATAGAATTCCATTAGCTATATTGTTGCAGTGGCTGCGCGCTGGACAAAATCTGTGAAATTTACACTTTCGATCGCTGTCCACACGGGTGATCTAGCCAAAAATCTCTTTTAGCTTGTGGCGACGCACAAAAAAGAGAATTGGAGAACAACTAAACTATTTTTGAAACGTGTCCTAAACCCTTTTCATGAGCAAAAAATAAAAGAAAATTTTTTCCGACGGAAAGTCGAGAGGACCGCTCTTAGCAAGAGCAGCACTTTAATTTCGATTTCCAACTCTCAATTGTTAGTGCGTGTGTTTGCTTTTTTTGAAGTGCTCCAAACCGTGTGTGTTTGCTTTTTTGAATGCTCCAAACTAGGAGGAAAATGTAATTTTAATTCACTGAAATCGTTCTATTTTTCGCGTTCCATCAGTAAACTCTCAAAACAGATTTATATTTCATATTTCGATTAGTGCTTCCATTTTTGCTCCATTTTTTTATGAGAAAGTTTTTTTCTTTAAAAAGAGTTTTTTTTGTTATTCTCATCCTCACTTGCCACCATGGAGTTGAATGTAATTGTGTACAAATATTTTGTTGGATAGTTCCTAACAATTAATGGCAAATGATCGACTTCAGTTTGCACAAAGCTCATCAATGGATTGAGATTGTAGAATAATTCTAGAAAACCACAGGGCCAGTTTGGTAATACAAAGAATAGTTTGCACATATTGGCCTAGTGCCAGACGACTTGGTGTCTAGAGCAATCAAACCTATCGACTTGTGGCTGCTTTTCATTTATAAATTGAAGTTAGAAATGAAGAAAATTAAAATTCGTAGCCGTAACCATTGCAATGACAAAAACGGTGAAAACTCATCAGTGATTCTTTCCTTCTGTGATTAACGTATCTTTTTGTAGCTCAAACGTTTGCGAGGAGCAGAAACGTAGGTCTGTTGCGTCATCCATCCGAGTGACGACTGTCAACTATGTGTACTACAAAACACGCTGTGGAGTGTTTGGTTGGAATCGTTGCACAAAGTCCAGGTAAGTTATCTTTAATGAAATATGAAGGGAAGCAAGAAAATTTGTTTGTTTCAGTCCTTTAAAACATCTTTGTTACTGTTTTTATTGTTGCTGTCATGAGTTTTTGTTGCTTTTGTTGTTGTTGCTGTTGCTGTTATTGTGGATATTGGATATTGCTGCTGCTACTGCTGTTGTTGTTTGCCAGTGCCAGTCTCCTCCCCCCCTGCCCCCCACCCCCTCCTCCCCCCATTGGACCTTGGCATATGATAGGATACAGGCAGACCGCCATGGGAACCTGAAAAAAGGTGGGGCAAACGTGCGATTGGCGATCGTGTCATTTAGTAAAGGAACATGGTTGAAGTGAAAGTGCTGACTGAGTGTACATGAATGAGTTCTCTTTACCTTCTAGAACTGTTACCGGTTACAGGAGAAGGACGGTCTACCAATGGACTACTGACACTTACCTACTATGCTGCCGCGGATGGCAAAGAAGAGGAGATAGCTGCCAATAGGTTAGATCAAAGGGAGGATGTGATCCTTTTTATAGCCGTTATTATTACGCAATCTCTCTTAAACTCTTCTTAGATCACTCATAAATCCAAGAGGTCCCCAGAGAATCAGGGAATCATGAGAAATTTTGTGAGGAGAAGCTGAGTTGTAAGGACATCTTATGAGAAGTGTATTCATTCTCTACGAAAACTATGTTAGTTAAGTTAGATCAATTAAACATGCGGGGGATATTAAGTGTCACAGCTTGATCGTCTGCTGGTGAAAACTCTACATTTGAAATAGCCTATGTGTTGGCTCCTGGGTGGCAAAAATGTGAAATTAGATAACATTGTACTGAAATACGAAATCCTTTCCATTCTACTTATCCTTTTGTTTCACCAGCAATTTGTGATAATGGCTGCAGCCACGGTGGTAATTGCACCCGTCCAAACTCATGCAGGTGTACTCCATTTTGGACTGGACCTACCTGTAGCATAGGTAAGATGTTTTACTTTCTATGAGTACTCAGTGAGAAGCTTTTCGAAAGTGAACATTTCAATAGATCCTGCAGTTTAAGCTTGATCGGTTTGTTTCCTTTTACTTTCGACAGATGTAAACGAATGCTCCCCAAACAAGGGAGGATGTGAGCAGGGTTGTTCCAATAAAAGAGGTGCAGCGAGATTATGCTATTGCTACCCAGGGTACAATGTAAGCAAATTTGATGACACAAAGTGTAATGGTAAGTGTCAACTTTCAGTACTCAGTCCAAAAATGTCACAATGTATTTTTCGTACCTAATATATTCGTTAAGGCTGTAATGTGACCTTAGCACTTGTTTTAATATGTCCGGCAGATGTCGACGAGTGCACATTCAGCTCTGCGTGCACCTGCGCTTCCGGATCAAATTCATGTGGAAAACGATGCATGAATACGGTTGGAAGTTTTAAATGCACTTGTGACAAGGGATACAGACTTCAGAGTGACACAGTATGTACAGGTATGAGTACAATCGGTTGATTTTAAGAATGCAGAATAAAAGTGGAAGAAAAAAATTCAGCAGAAGGGAAAGTTTTTTTTGTTCAATTTACAAGAGAAAAAGTTAACTGAGTTAGTTGATTCATCTTTGATAGAGGACAATGGTGCTGCACTTTGGATCACTAAGTAAGTCAATGTTATATAGCTTTACGGTTTAGGTCATTTAACTCGACCTGAATGTAGGAGAGCTTTAGCTTAATCAAACACCGTCATATTCAAAACAAATCACCAAAACTTACGGAATAGAAATATATATATAGGAATAAAAAAAATTGCATTTTATCAAAAATGGTTATCTCTTTAGAAATGTATTTACCTCCTTCGACTACCGTCCTTTTCCAGAATGCATAGAAACTAAAAATTACAGCCTCGTTGTAAACGGAATTTATCTGGCCGAAAAAACACTTGATTACAGAAGTATTCGAAAGATTATAGATTAAAGGCCGTATATTTTGGGTGCTGGCATAAATTCCTTGTGTGGTGAGATATTCATCGGTTCCCAAATCTTAATAGTCACCATTTTTAAGGCAGAGCCTTAAGAGTTATCAAACACCTCAAATTAACTCCGTTTTCTGCAATACATAATCGTATATAAAGATGTGTTGGTAGTATTAAAAAAGAAATCTTATTCAGTGATGCTTTGTGTTTTGATCTGCGGTGAATTGTTTCATGCATATTGTTCCAGATATAGATGAGTGCGCCGTGAATAACGGAGGCTGCAGACGCCAGTGTGTGAACTATCCTGGATGGTACAAATGCAACTGTCCGCGAGGCTTCCGCCTTGTTTCCGGAAAAGCATGTAGAGGTATGTTTAAATCAGAAATATTTTGTAATAAAAGCCGCTTTACCATGTCGGAAAGATTAATTTACATCGTTGTGCCTCTCCATGTCCTTTGGCTGGTTAAATAGAACTCACGCTAACCTCTCGACGATACCTCGCCTCCCGACGGTTCTTCCCCCCTTTAAGGGTTTCCACTTCGTGTTTTCTAGGGCCACTTAGAGCATTTTTCTCGTTTTGATTGGTTATTGGGGATTTCTTGGGTCTAGGGTTTTCCCCATCCAAATCGAATGCATTGTTATCAAAAGACAAGGAAGCTTCAGGTAACCCGGACCACGATAATTATATTTACAGATGTTTCTAAAAAAAATGTATTTAACAATGCATTATGAACAGGCATTACATGCAACCAAGAACAATTTTTGATCAATGGAATAGGTGAAGTAGTCTAAGTATGTCATAACTATTAGACAAACGACAATACTCTATCTCTATTAAACGCTACAATAAATAACAATCTTTTTTTTTTACAATGAACTTTTCTGTTTTCTCATAGATATTAACGAGTGTGTCAGCAACAACGGAAACTGCCACCATACCTGTAGAAATCTGTTCGGCAGCCATCGCTGCAACTGCGATAAGGGATTTAATTTAAACAGCAATGGAAGGACCTGTTCAGGTAACATTAACCACATATAAATTGTAATGGCGAGGCACGCAGCGCGCGCAACAAAACATTGTAATGATATTGTAAATAATGGTGAAAATAGTAATAATAATAAAAAATATCAAAACAAGGAAATTTGCTTTGTCAGGTAACTATAAGTCCGAACGTGCAAGTTTCTCAACTGTATTCCGGAACATCTATCCATTACGTTAGTAGAAGGGTTCAGGAGCAAGTAATGCGCATGCACGATTACATGCTATTCTTGAAACCCGATTCCTATTGCATAGAAAATCAAGATAAAGTGCACAAACTGGAACACAAGCCCCTGGTACAGCGTAGCGCGGGCACATACCTGGGCATCAGACATGGGCTTCACGCGGATTGGTAGATGAAGAGCCGCACAATCAATAACTTTTCAGCCGCATTTTGGGCGAGAAACCATACTTGTTAATACTTCATACTACTATGGTTGTCAGAGCCTCATGCTGTCAGGGTTTCACATTGTCGTGCATTCAGGGTTTAAAAGTATCACAGCTGATAGGGTCTCGTTCTGGCACGGATAAGGGCTTCGTATTGTGATGGTTGTCAGGGCTTCACGCTTTCATGGTTAATAGGGCGTCATAATCTCATGGCTGACAGGGCTACATACTATCACGGCTTTCATGGTATCATAATGCCCCGGCTGTCTAGGCCTCATATTGTCATAGCTGTCAGGGCTTGAAGTTGTCACGGCTGATAGGGTTTCATACCGTCACGGCTATCAGGGCCTTATAATGTCATGGCTGTCAGGGCTTCATACTGTCACGGCTTTCAGGACTGCATACTATCACGGCTCTCGGGGCTTCTCACTGTCATGGCTCTCAGGGCTTCAAACTGTCATGGCTATCAGGGCTTCATACCGTCACGGCTCTCAGGGCTTTACACCATCATGGCTGTCAGGATTTCATGCTGTCACAGGTTTCAGGGCTCCACGCTATCATGGCCATCGGCGCTTTATATTGTTATGGCTATCAGGGCTTCATACAGTCATGGCTGTAGGAACTTTATACTGTCATGGCTCTCAGGGCTTTATACTGTCATGGCTGTCACGGCTTTACACGGTCATGGCTATCCCGGCCTCATATTGTCATGGCTATCAAGGCTTCATATTGTCACGGCTGGTAGAGCTTAATGCTGTCATGGCTGTCAGGGCTTTATACTGTCATGGTTTTCAAGGCTTTATACTGTCACGGCTTTCAGGGTTTTATACTGTCACAGTTATAAAGGCGTCGTATTGTGTTGGCTGTCAGGGCTTTATACTGTCTTGGTTGTCAAGGCCTCATACTGTCACGGCTTTCAGGGCTTCATATTGTCACGGCTATAGGGACGTCGTATTGTGATGGCTGTCAGGGCTTTATACTGTCACAGCTAACAAGGCTTCATGCTGTCACGGCTACTAAGGCCTTTTACTGTCACGGCTATCGGGGCCTTTTTCTATCATGGCTGTCAGGACTTCAAACTGTTACGGCTGTCAGGGCTTTACACTGTCATCACTATTAGGGCTTTACATTGCCACTGGTGTCAGGGCTTCATACTGTCACGGCTGTATTGGCTTCATACTGTTATGGCTGTCTTGGCTTCTTACTGTCACCGCTGCCAGGGCTTTATACTGTCATGGCTATCAGGGCTTTATGCTGTGATGGCTGTCTGGGCCTCATACCGTCATGGTTGATAGGGCTTCATACTGTTATGATTGTCACGATTTCCTACTGCTACAGTTTTCAGGGCTTTATACTATCATAGCTATCGGAGCTTCATATCTTCATGGCTATTAGGGCTTCATACTGTCAAAGCTGTAAGAGCTGACTGTGCTTTATACTGTCGTGGCTGTCAGGGCTTCATACATTCACAGCTGACATAGCTTCATAATGTCATGGCCGTCAGGGCTTCACACTGTCATGGCTGTCAGGGCTGCACACTGTCACGGCTGACAGTGATTCATACTGTCACGGCTGACAATGATTCATACTGTCACAGCTGACAGTGCTTCATGCTGTCACGGCTGACAGTACTTTATACTGTCACGGCTGACAGGGCTTTATATTGTCAGGGCTTTATACCATCACAGTCATCGAAGCTTCAGATTGTTATGGCTATCAGGGCTTCACACCGTCATGGCTGAAAGGGCTTCATACTGTTATGGCCAACAGGGCTTTATACTGTCATGGCTGTCAGGATTTCCTACTATATTGTCATGGTCATAAAGGCTTCATACTGTTATGGATGTCAGGGCTTTATAATGTCATGGCTGTCAGGGCTTCATACTGACACGGTAGTCAGGGCTGTATACTGTCATGGCTGTAAGAAATTTATACTGTCATGGCTCTCAAGGCTTTATGCTGTCATGGTTGTTGGGGCTTTACACGGTCATGGCTCTCCCAGCCTAATATTGTCACGGCTATCAGGGCTTCATATTGTCATGGCTAACAGGGCTGTATACTGTCATGGCTATTAGGGCTTCATACTGTCATGGCTGACAGGGCTTTATACTGTCACGGCCATCAGGGCTTTATGCTGTCATGGTTGACAGACTTCATACTGCTACGGCCATCACGTCTTCATACTATCACGGCTGACAGGTCCTGTCATGGCTATCAGGGCCATATACTGTCATGACCTCTCAGGGCTTCAAACTTTCACGGCTGTCAGGGCTTTATACTGTCATCCCTATCAGGGCTTTATACTGTCACTGCTGTCAGGGCTTCATACTGTCATGGCTGTCATGGCTTCTTACTGTTACGGCTGTCATGGCTTCATAATGTCATGGCTGACAGGGCTTTATACTGTCACGGCTGACAGAGCTTTATACTGTCACGACTGACAGTGCTTTATACCGTCATGGCTGTCAGAGCTTCATACTGTCACGGCCGACAGGGCTTTACACTGTCATGGCTCTCAGGGCTTCAGACCGTTATGGTTGTCAGGATTTCCTACTGTTACAGCTTTCAGGGTGTTATACTATCATGGCTATCGGAGCTTTATATTGTCATGGTTATTAGGGCTTCATACTGTCATGGCTGTCAGAGCTTTATACTGTCACGTCCGGCAGGGCTTTGCACTGCCATGGCTATCTGTGCCTCATACTGTCACGGCTTACACGGCTGTCAGGGCTGTATACTGTCATGGCTGTCAGAAATTATACTTTCATGGCTCTCAGGGCTTTATGCTGTCATGGCTGTTGGGGCTTTACACGGTCATGGCTCTCCCAGCCTAATATTGTCATGGCTAACAGGACTGTATACTGTCATGGCTCTTAGGGCTTCATACCGTCATGGCTGTCAGGGCTTCATATTGTCACGGCCATTAGGGCTTTATACTGTAATGGTTGACAGGGCTTCATACTGCCACGGCCATCACGTCTTCATGGCTTCATACTGTCATGGCTAACAGGGCTTTTTACTGTCATGGCGATTAGGGCCTCATATTGTTATGGCTGACAGAGCTTCATATTGTCACGGCCATCAGGGCTTTATACTGTAATGGTTGACAGGGATTCATACTGCCACGGCCATCACGTCTTCATACTGTCATGGCTGACAGGGCTTCATATTGTCATGGCCATTAGGGCTTTATACTGTAATGGTTAACAGGGCTTCATACTGCCACGGCCATCACGTCTTTATACTGTCATGGCTGACAGGGCTTCATACTGCCACGGCCATCAGGTCTTTATACTGTCATGGCTATCAGGTATTTATGTTGTCATGGCTGTCAGTGCTTCATACTGTCCTGGCTGTCAGTGCTGTATACTGTCATGGCTGTCAGGGCTTTATGCTGTCACGGCTATCAGGGCTTCATACTGTTATGGCTATCAGGGCTTAATACTCTCATGGCTACTAGGGCTTTATACTGCTATGACTATCAGTGAATGAGTGAGTCTGGTGGTTGTTCATGTTACTCGACCACCATCTTGTTAAGTTGACCACTTTAATATAAAGGAAGTTGGTTTTGGAAAGTTAATGGTCTCATTACTTGTCAGAAAGTTTATAAGAACCACCGTTTTCAGGTTTGACGTCGTGTCTACTCACGTTTGAAAATACTTTCTGCATGTATGTAGCTAATTAGAATTAGGGTTGTGATGGTGATGTCGAACAGTAGCCTTTTTTTTTCAGACATTGATGAATGCAAGTTAGGTCACGACTGTCAAGGCATTTGTAGTAATACTCTTGGTGGATACAAGTGCTCCTGTAACAAAGGATATCAACTAACGACTGATAACAGGACATGCACAGGTAATTTTTGGAACCAAACTCGAAAATTGGAACGCAGGATTTCATGTACGGTAAGTTCTGCGTTTTAGATTTGAACCATGATATTAAGCGCTTTTCAACAATAAATGGTACTTCTCAGAGGTCTGTTGCTTTCGAAGCGTTGCCACTGCGAGGATTTCTTAAAATGTGGATTTGTACCGTTCCTTTAAATGGAATTAACGTAGCATAAAAACTCATCAGATAGTTTTTCGTAGATGTCGATGAGTGTGACCAAAAAACCATCGCTGGAAGTAAAGAAACAGCCACTCTTTCTGGTTGTCATCACATCTGCACGAACGTTGAGGGGAGCTTTCAGTGTTCTTGTAGGAAAGGATATGCGCTGATGTACGACAAGAGGCAGTGTAAAGGTTAGTGTGCTACCTTATTTTTCCGGATTGCATTGTTGAGCAAGCAAACGGATAAAAAATAAAGCCGCATAAAAATGGCAAATAATTTCTTTGTGAACTTCTGGGAAAAATCAACTTAAAGAAAAGGAAACTCGGAAAAAAAATCGATGTTCCAAAGATCAAAAAGCTTATTTCCCTAAAATTTTAAGGTAGTGTGGCCAAGTGGCTGCGCACTGAGGAGAAAGATAGTCTGAGGTTAAAAGCCTTCGCACCGATGCTCACGGAAATTATTCATGAGCTGGATTTGTTTTTAATAGTTCTAAATTCATCTCTTAAGCTGCACTATGTAAAAAGCCAACTGGTCCTCCTCCTACTAGTTGGGATTTTTATGCAATTACTGTTTATTCGGACTCTGTTTCAAGACTAACCTAAAATGGCGCTTAAAAAACCACTAACGCACAACATGTACTTCATTTCCATGCAGCTTAACATCTTGTTTCTGAATTACGAGTTGTCTGGACACGTTCACTGATTGCGACTGCCTCATCTGTGCGTAGAAGCAATTGCACTTATTTAAAGCTTCTATTTTTCTTTGAATATCATTTCAACCGGTTTCCTCGAAATAAATCATATCCCTATACTCTCTTCTGTCTTGTCCTTAGATGTTGACGAATGCCACACTGGAAGCCATTCCTGTGAACATTACTGCCATAACACGGACGGTCACTACTTTTGCTCATGTAGACCAGGCTACACATTGTCATCAGACGGGAAAAAGTGCAAAGGTTCGTCTTCAAGAGCGATTTGTCTTTTTGTATTCGATGCTGACTCATTGATTTAACTTTTTCAGAATAATCAGAAAGGTTCTCGAGAAGCTCTTTTGTGCACATTGTCTATACGTCACTTCCTTACTCCTTCGAAGCATGAGAGTTAAAGGTTTCGAAATATCAGTTTGAAGTTAAAGTGGTTTAATTCACGAACCTTTAATTCATTCTTGTGCAAGGCGAATAAGTGTTCAAATAACAATCATCAATGCTAACTTTTAAGGTGGCAGGCAACCACAATAACATCAAAACTCAGATATAATCAAAGGAGTTTAGTGTTTCTACTAACGCCTTTTTGTTTGTTATCACTGGTGCGCTTCAGCTTTCTGCCCTTTCTTTTCCCTTCCACAAATGAGGCAGTACGAGGTCAAAACCTTGAACACAACCGCTGAACTAAGGATTGAGCTTAAAAACGAAATGAACGTTCGAGTTTGTTTACAACAGTCACAGGTATTCACCAGTTGCGGCCAAAATGGACTGAAAAAGAGTAAGGGAATTTAGGAGATGAGTAATAAATACGTCTGAATTGCCCTTGAATGAACGAGCTCATCGCTGAAAACTCTTGTAACAATCTTCTAGCTCAGCCTTGTGAGAAGATTTTTTCACCACCTCATGGCGGAATGAATTGTTCAGGACTTGTAACTGATGCCACTTGTTCATTTTCTTGCGAACCTGGATATGATTTGGTTGGATCACAGTCGAGAACATGTCTTGCTTCTTCAAGGTGGAGCGGAAAACTTCCTTTCTGTCAAGGTAACTGCCGTCCTTCTTTCTCAAGAGAGTAAAATTGCGGGCACAGCTCATTTCTTTCTCAAAGAGTCCCGATGTATTTACAAGAACGGATAATCCTTTTTATTACACGACAATCTGGTATACAGTATTGATATGTCGGGTCAAATCGCTGTCAGTAGTGCCTGTCTATAAGTCACATGCGTCTCTCTCTATCTAATAAACTCGATTACTGGATATTGAAGTACTTCTAGAGTTCAAATTTGCTCAGCCCCTGAATGGTGTATGAACGTTATCCCACGCCTAAGCCATACATGTTTGGTGGCTGAAATTCAGAAAGTGCTCAGATTTTTGAGGTGTTGGAGCTGTGAGTGATTCAATTAGCTACTTACGTCCGAATTTGGACTTAATTTTGGGTAATTGAACCGTGTACCGATGTATGTCATACTATGATAATCCCATCTAAAAGCAAACTAATCCTGCAGTTCCAAGAATTAACCCTTATTTTTCCTCTCCCTTAGCAAAACACTGCAAGACGCTGACCGCCCGTGGGAATAAAACTATTTCAATGCCTTGTTTTACCTCCCTTGGCTCAACTTGCCATTTTGGATGTCGTCGTGGATTTTTCTTGGTGGGAGACGGACAAGCCAATTGTAGCCTTAATTCCAAGGGTGACGACGTTTCTTGGAACTTTGGGAGGTTTTCTTGTAAAAGTAAGTTTCAAGGTAGAACAAAAAAAAAAAAAAAAAAAATGAGAATCAGCTGTGGCATGTTAATGAGATGACTTGAACACCCACACGCTTTTAGGGAGCTGACATCGAATTCTTTTGATTTATGGCTCTCTTGGGGAAATGCATAAAGTTTTTGTTATGTACAGATTTATGTAAATTTCGTGCGTCATACAAATTCTGTATTCACTAAAAAACTGATTATCTAAAATATCTAAAGCAGAAAAAAAAAGAAAAACAAATAGCTACAGACAGACAAACGTAACTTACAAAATTCAAAATCCGCAAAACTTGTCGAACCAATTCGAATGAATCATTCACTATTTATTATTGTTTTGTTGCCACAGGGATCAAAACTTGCCAGCCAAATCCATGCAGAAAAGGAGGAAAATGTTCAACGTTGAACGAAAAGGACTACACCTGCGATTGTGAAGGCACTGGATATAAAGGAAGTCATTGTGAAACTGGGCATGTCGTGACACCGATCTTTCCTAAACTACTTACCAAAAAGAAATCCAGGAGGCTTTTCCTTCTAGCACGACCATCGGGACGCCTCAGAGTAGTATTAACATCCGAGAAAGAAGTTACATTTCAGCCACAATCAGCGGTCTTTGACCCTTCAAATACAATGGACGGATTTACAGTATTAGCGGAAAAACCAGGAATCCGAAGGATCACATACGATCTTGAGGGTGAAAGTAAGAACGATTTTGAAGCTCCAACACCAGGCGTGTTATTCAGTGCCCCAAAAATGTCCCTTAATGACAGTCTCAGCACAAAAGTGTTCCTTCGCAAAGGTGAGCTACCCATTGGCTGCGAGGAACATCAGACAAAACTTTCATGTGAAGTACGCCTATTATCTACCACACCGTGGACTAGGAATCCTTTATCTACCAGTGGCATTGTGCACATCACCGCTTCCAACAACCAAAATATTCCTCTCTCGTTAATCGGTTTAAATCCAAGGGATGGCGTCTCGCGGGATAAGATGATCGAGGCTGGTATTTCCATGACTTCGTCTTCCAAAAAATACGCACTTTTGCTTTCACGAAATGGAACATGCCAAGCGAGAGTTACAGACTCGAACAGTCTACTTGAACTCATACAGAATGACGCATTCCTGTCTTCGTTTATGGAGGCTCTTTCATTGATGACACCAGAATGGCTTTCATTCTCTGTCGACGAGAACAACAACGCTTTTGACATTCAGAACATTGCTGCTAGTCTAACTTCTGGTTTGGAACACTGCTTAGGATTTCCCTTAAATCGAGCATCAAGTCTCGTCTATTACCGTCCTGTTGTGAGTTTTAAAATTCGAGTTGCACAAACTGATGTTTCTTTATTCGCAGATGGAACCACCTGCTTTGCAATTAACATTTGCAACCCTGGTTTGTTTGTTAGCCTTTCCGAGGGGCCTGCCTATCTTTTAAAGAGTTCTCTGAATATTTTCCGAGACATGCAGGATAATGGGCTCAGTCTTCAGGTGGATTCTATTGGCCTTCATAGAGACAAGGAAACTATTCGTTTTGTAAATGGAATTATTTGGAATGGCAAGAAGTTACAAAAATTGTCCCCGCTCCCCTTCAATATGTGGCTAAAAGGAAACCTGAACTGGAAATTTGGGGTTCCGAAGCTCCTTCTCTTGTCGTTTAGGATGAGGGGGGAAGCCATCATCAGAACCGAACATATGGACAGTGTAAGTATATAAAAAATATATTTTTGTTTTGTTAATTTCATTACTGAAGTGAATTCTGACTTGATTTTTGGCTAAACCACTGTTATGTTAAGAGCTAAACAAACCTTTGATTTTTTTATATATAACTAAACAGCTATTTACCATTCTCATGTCACAACGGATGGACATGCAATTAAGAGGAGAAGCATCTCTGAATGTTTCTGGAAGAGCACTCAGGAAAGACTTTATCTTGAAACTTGGTTCAATCAAAGCAAGTGGAAAAGCTCTCCTGGGAGGTAGGAAATTTCATAGTCTGCAAATATGATTTTAATTTTTTTAAAGAAACACGAGATAAAGCGAAGAACAGTAATGCAAAATGTAACTTATGTCTGAGCCATCAATTCAGCAAAATGTCGATCGATGCGATCGAGAGCTGTTATCTTTGAAAGAGTGAGCTTTTTCCTATTGCTTGATAAGGGGTTTCTATAGAAGCCGGTTAAGGGTGGTATAAGACTTCTTACTGCAGTTTGTCTTGCGTACCCCCAGCTTCCCTCAGGAGAGAAGCTGTCTATCGCATCATCAGCAGCTGCATATCGAAAAAGTTATTGAAACCCGTGCTTGTATTTGTCCAAATTTCTACGGGTATCAGAAAGAAACTACAGAACTCGTGAAATATCCGCACGCGTCACATTTAAATCATCGAAATCGGCGAATTTATTACCTTGCTAGGCAATTGCTGTTATTTTTCGAACATTCATTTCCTGTCATGCCACATATGCTATTGATAGCAGAAGGCATTTCTATTCAGCTGTGTATCCAACGAGGTCTTGATAGAACAAATGAAGCTAGATTATCTAACACATTTCTTTTGGGCACTCCAAACGTTCCGCGTGGTTCATATTTCGATGACTAAATGCTGATACATAAACCGATAATTAAGCATGAGTCTTTTTTTTCGGTTTTCTAAGGAAAAGGTGAATGCAGCAAGAATGTTCGAGGCATCTTCTTAGAACTAGAGAAATCTGCCAGCAACTTTTTGAATGAAAGCCCTTTTGCAACTCACATTCGGCCAATAGAGAATCAACCTGTTCGTTTGGCAATGCTCATGTCAGTGAGCGGAGGAATGCAAAACACAATTGTCAACATGGGTGAAGTTAAAAGCTTTCTTTCCAGCATTATTTCCCTAATACCTGATCTGGAAGATGTTGTCATGAAAGCCAAAGAAGTTATGCCACATGGTGAAATTGCTCTGCAAAAATCTTTAGATATTGTTTCGGAAACGAACGTTTCCGTAAACGAACTGGAAAAGATGATAACTGGAGACACAATGGAAGTTACACGAGGTCTGACTCTCCTTAACCGCATAGAAAATAATTTAAAATACTTGATAAGCATCACAGATGTCATCATTGACCATATTCCCTCCTCAAGCAACAAAGGAAAATATGCAGAGCTTTCCACCAGAATTGATGGGATTCAGGCAAGATTTCCTCAACAATTACGTCCCAATCTTGACGGAGAACCAATTGAACAAACCTTTAACGGAATAAGCTTCTATTTCAGAGGTAATATTTGCATGAAACATCTGTGTCTTAAGGATTTAGGCACAACAGTTGACTACCTTACAGAGAGAAACTGCGTATCTAACACACCACATACATCAGTGTTCAGAGGCAGAGGGGAAGCCTTAGTGCAGATGGCTCTAAGTAAAGACAACATATTGATACTCCCTATGGGAAACTTCATTGATTTCATCTTTCCGAGAGACTCTGAGACTGTGTCAGCTCATTTCGTAGGAAGAAGTAGTGTTTTGGCCGTTATTCAGCACGTTGAAGTTTCATTAAATGAGAATCAGCTGTCGTTTGAAATGCAAGGGAAGATATTTGATAGATATATGGCGAATATGGATGTGGTGGCAAAGATTGGTCATGCTACAGATTGGAGCTCCTTAATCTTTGCAGTTAACGGACGGATGTCAAATTCTTCACAACTTTCAAATCTTCTCCAAAGTCAAGTGACGACCTTCGCCAGTTTCTTAGCAGAAAGAGCTGCCAAACGAATTGAAAGGTGTGAGAGATCGATTTTGAGTGCTGAAGAAAGGCTGAAGAATGCAAAGGAGTTGGTGAAGAAGAAAAAGGCAATTTTCGATGAAGCGTTATTAGAAAAGCAACGAAGGCTTTCCAGATTCCAAAGATTAAGCGCGGCATATGGGAAAGCATCAATAGAGCTTGAGTCTTCCTTGGATCAGTTTTTGAAAGTAAAGAACAGAAAAACATGTCAATTTTTGTCCTGTGACTTTATCGATGCCAACACTTATATACCAGCGGTTTGTCAAAAGCCAGTGTTTGTGAATTACACCGTCCCCGTTTGCCGTAAAGTAAAGGAAACGCTGAAAGAAGAAGTCATTGTTTCAAAAGTGGTGAAGGAAATCGAAATGGTCCAAACTTCTATAGTCACAGAAGGTGGTAACTGTGGGAAATCTGGGAATATTTTTGCACTGGTAAAAAAGTTTTTATTTGGCTGCGATAGTTATCAAATGAAAGTACCTGGCCCTAAAATTCCATTCGTACATCATGTAACAAAGAACTTCCGCGAATACAAAACGAAGGAAATCGAAAGGTTTATTTGCGATGCAGTAAAGACGGAAACTGTAGTTTCTGGTTATCTCATGTATGAGTGTCCTAAAAATGGAAGTATAAAAGTTCTAGATCCAGCGTGCGTCTCGCACAACACAAATTGCTCATTTGAACTGGACAACCTCGCCGCTGAAATTGAGTTTGAAAATGATACCATGTTCGTGGATTTTCAAGATATGCTCACGAAAGGAAAACAGTCCACCCTTGCTCAGTTGGATCTGAATAAGGCAGAAATAAAGTTTGACAGTGCTGTATGGCAGTTAGAGCTGGCTCGTGCGCGGCTTCAGCAGCGTGAGTTTACTCGAAAAGCCATTAATCTCAACACGGTGAAACAGAGGGAAAAACTGGGACTAAAACTTGGTAAAAACATGAAAAAGCGTAAAGGAAAACCATTGATCTACGTAGAGAGTCTTGCATTCCTTGTGGCCCTGAGCTCGTCATCAACGAAAACGCGATTTCCCCTCACAGCTTACGTCAGAACATTCGAAGGCTCACAAAAAGAAATTCAGTTTCCTATGGACTTTAGAAACGAACAAGGTTCTCTGGCCTTAGCATCAAAACGTATTATTGAGACGCTCTTTGGAACATCAAACGGAAGAAGACGTAGGTCAGTAAGAGAGGAACCCATCGTCTCCAAAACAAATGACACCAACTTCTCTGTTGAAGGACACGAATGTCATCTTTCTAAAGAGGCCAACATTATATTCTCTGATATCGTTGAGTCCATGGATTTTTCAATCAAAAGTAAAAGGGAAATTGATCAAGCTGTTTTTGCAGGCAACAGACGAATAGAAGAGCTCGATTATTACAACAACAACGATGGGAACACCTCTTACAGCGATATGAGACAGTTTCTCAAGGATGCTCAGCTTAACACCTCAGGAGCAACGTCTTGGAGTGACATATTAAATGATGCACGTGGATTTCTCGATTTCTTGACGCAGAAGAAGAACTTTACACAATGCTCAGGGATTCTTGATTGTGTGGACTTCTTCTTTGACAGCCTAGAAGAAATGTATGAAATGGAAAATCACCCCAGAGCCATTAAAATAAAAGAAGCGCTTCGGTCTTTAAACAAGATAATTAGCAGTATTTTGAGGGAGAATATTACTGTGTCATTGTTGGAAAGGAAGCTATCGCAAGCGAGGTTTTTCATTAGTGGAAGTAATGATGAGATCATACTTTGTGGTCAGAAACCCAAAATCAAGAAGAATTCTCCTGCGAAAGTTGTCACGCTTCTTGGCGGAGATATTGATTTTGTGTGTGAGGTTGAAAGCACTCTGGAAGTTGAATACATGTGGACGAAGAACGGAGAGCTTCTAGAAGGAGAAAATGGGACCATACTTGAGCTAAGAAGTGTCACTGAACATAGTGAAGGAGCCTACAAGTGTCACGCTTCCAATACAAGAGGGAGTACAGTATCTAATGTCACCATCCTGGTTGTGCATCAAAAACCACATATTACCGAACACCCATTTGATAATCAGAAGCTCGTTGGCGATGAAAATGTGTGGATGGTCTGCAACAGCACTGGTGTTCCAAGGCCATCAACAGAGTGGTTTTTTACTCCAATGAAAGGGATGGGCCAGTATGCTGTTCGGCTCAACGTGACGGGTCCAGTTCTAGAAATAGGAAATCCGACGACAGAAAATGCTGGCTTTTATTACTGCAACGTGTCTAATTTACATGGTGCTGTTCAAAGTAGAATTGCACGACTGGACATTTTAAGATTCATCCCGGGCGTACCTAGAATTGCTCTCAGTGTGAAACTAAAGCAGTGCATTTCCACGCCCTCTGTTGTAAAGAGCAGCTTAGATAATTGCAAAGGAAATAAAATAGACAAATTCCAACAGATAGATACCATGGGCTACCGACATATTACTCAAAAAATGTTGGAGCAAATGAGTTGGCCAGTGAAAAAAACACATGATGAGTATTACACACCATTTCCAGCTGCTGTGATCTCGTTCGTTCTTCAAGGCGAAGATCCTATCACACCAGAGGGAAAGAAACTCGAAGCACTCAATGAATTCTCACTTTCTAGAATACGCATAGGAAACAGTATAGAGAGGCTTTATGCTTCTCTAAAGGACGAGAAGGTGAAGACGCGTTGGGGAAACTTGACAATAACTGGTGACGAGGATGGCCTTGTTGTCGAATTTCCTTCGCAAAAATGTCCAAGTGGCACGAGAACTCATGAAGATGGGTATTTATGCGGTAAGATTGAAAATTCAAAAAAACCAAAAATCGAAAAATTATCAAAATGACTCTTGCAATTTTTTAATTTTTTTAAAAATTTGACTGATCATCATTTTCCTTCTTTTATTGAAAACGGTATTTAAGTGGGACATTAAGCTCCTCTATTTTATAGGCCTTTGTTTTATTTATTGCTTTGGTTTTGGAATTATGATTTTCAACTTCTTCGTGGCACACTCTCTGTCTATTAAAAATGGCAGGTTCCTCCACTAAAATTGTGGAGATCGTCCAGTGCCACGTCAAGCAATGTTTATTGAATATATTGGGAGATATAAACAGATTAATTGGACAGTTTACTCAGTTAGTAACTGCTAACTTATGAATAGTACTCACCTTAATACTTACCATTTCAGTGTATTGTCCACCTGGTTACTATGAAATCGGAAATAGAACTTGTGAACCATGCCCTGTTGGCACATATCAGCCTGATGACGGGAGCACAAAATGTGTCAAGTGCCCTCATCGAGTTTCATATACAGAGCCTGGAGCGGTACGAGAATCTCTCTGCATCGATATATGTGAGCACAAGAGATAAATTTCTAATAGTAGTTAAACCTTCCTTAGGCTCAAGGTATCTGCATCTTGTCGCCCAGGTATTATTGCTTAGAGTTTGTTTTAAGGAAAATTTATCAAAGAGCACCAAACTATCAACACCCAAACTCGAAATTTGACACAAGTTTACCTTGAAGCAACACGCAGTTGTCTGCGTAAAATTCACACCTCTTAGTCATCTTCTCACTTTTTTATACAGTACTGTGTTATCTGCTCTTTTATTCAGCCAAACCATGCACCAAGCCTCCTATAATAGACGTCGTCCATGCTCAACTGCCAAATAGCACAAAAACTCTCTATCGTAGCGGTCAAACCTTTGAATTTGAGTGTCAGCGTGGGTACAAAGTCCAAGGAAATGCAACAACAGAGTGTAAAGAAGGAAACTGGACCAAGTCTGACTTTCACTGTGAAGGTGAGTTCATTCAAATTAAGTTTATCAAATATCGTCTGTATTGGTGCATTCACCTTCTTATACATTTTGTCAAAACCTAACCCCTCTTGTGGTTGACGGCGGGAGAATGGATGGCAAGATAATAGCTTAAGTTGGACCTAAGGTAACATCACGGGGAATATTTGAACCCGAGCCTAACAAAACCTTTAGAACTCTCACCCATAATTTCGGTAGGGAAAAAAGGACGACTTAATATTTCATAAGGAATGGGAAATGCATGATATCCTTTTGTAACTGTGAATCTCTTAAGACAACTATTTTTGGTTTTTTTTCGAGAACTTAATTTACTCCCTCTTGCATGAGGAATGATTGTTAATGCAAGACTCTCGATTTCCTTTTTAATGCAGAGACTTGCTATCCACCCTGGACTGAGCTAAAGAAGCATTGCTACTTGGTGGTAGAGGCACAGGGCCACCGTTGGATGGACGCGCTGAGCCAATGTCTAAGCCTCAATTCACAGATGGTCATCATATCCTCAGAGGAGGAAAACGAATTTGTCAAACAGCTTTCTAAGGTATTGGTTTTTTTCTAGTGTATTGGCATGCGCAATGGCATAGTAACGTGTATGTGCATGACAAATTCAAGGCTGTTCCTTTCAGTGTTCTTTTCCGCGAAATCAATGTAAGCTTAAGCACCTATGAAGAGAGGGCTTTGCCATATCACTGATCCTTTCCCGCGCTTTTTCAATTGAAATGAATAGGATAATTCATTAAAACTACATGAACTGACACATGGTGTTATAAACAAACTATTTATTCAGCAAATAGAAAAGTTTGACCCGAGATACTTACCCTTGTTGAACCAAAGAAGTAAAATAACTCAATTAAAGTAAATAACGAGTGAAAACTAAATCCATAGTCAATGAGTTCCAAAGTTACAGAGAAATATTTTGACTTATTTAATTTCATTTGTCAAGTTTTGCGAAAATATACGACTTCTATAAAAGATTCTAAAAGATTATAACCTTGAACTCGGTCGTCGAAGTAAGAAATGTATGGTTCGAACGTTTGATTAAGGCAGTAGTGATTAAACTCTGCGGCTTAGTTTTCACTGACATGAGGCCAAATTTCAGGTTTATCTTAGAGAGAAGAAATGGACCCAAGCTCACATGTGGCTCGGGCTAAGGAAGATGCACGCCATTGGTAATTTTCTATGGGTTGATGGGAGTCCTTTAAAGGGATACACTAACTGGATCCCTGGAGAACCAAACAACGCAAGAGGTCAAGAACTGTGTACCGAGATTTTGGTCTCTGGTAAATACCGGTTGGGCAAGTGGAACGATGTGAATTGTAACATAGTCCATTACAAACCTCTCATGGTCTGTGAGAAACCCCTCCGACAGGGAGAATAAAAGTACTGATTTAGTTGCTTTCCGCAATTTTTAAGATACATTTTGCTGATTAGTTCTGTAGCTGTGCGGGAAGATAAAAATGAATTCTGAAGAGAGGTGTATGGCTGAAGATTTTAAAAATACAATTTTATTGATTGTGATTGCTTTAAAAAACTCCTATTTTACGCTAATTCAGAAATAGACAAGTTGACCTTCCCTTTACATTTTACTTTTCAGATCAGTTAATATATTCTATCACCATCAGAAATGTATAAGTTTAAAATCGAGATTGCATATCACAAATTTCATTCGGGATAAGTTTAAAAAACTTATCATACCTCGTATGATACATTTTTTTTTTTAAACTTATCCCGGATGAAATTTGTGATATGCAATCTCGTTTTAAGAGCCCTTAGCTTCTCGATTTATAAAAGAGGACGACACTTAATTTGTGTTCGTCTCCTTTTGCCAAAATTTTTGGTTAAGTTTATAATTCATTTAAAATCTTCAGCCATCACCTCTCTTCAGAATTCAGTTTTAATCCGGCATATATGTTTCTTTCAGTTCTAATATCTTTAAGTTTACTTTATTTTAGCCATATCTTAACTCAAACTGTCCAAAAATCAGTGGAAGCCACTTTGTGCAGAGAAAAATTTTACGAAGGGTAAAGGACTTTTTTGTTACAAGGTCTTCTCAATTGAGATTAGATGGGTGTTAACTAGCGAATGAAAGAATTAATTTGACAGCTTGGCTACTGTCATCACCTTGGCATGGGCGGGAACACTTGTTCCAGAGAAGATTGAGTTTGTGATTTAAGTTGGCAGTTGTAATTAAGTTAAGAATCTGTTTAATAAAGTTAGATCACTATAAAAGAATGTCGAATAAGAAACACTTTTTAGCAATATTTTGAAGCTTTGAAAAAGTTACTCGTAACCTTGTCGCGAATAGAATTGGCTGCGTTTCAATGTAGACCAAGGCTCTTCGGCCAACGAAAACAGCAAAACATCCAGATTAAACAAACAAAAAGGGTTAACATACAATGTGCATAAAGATAAAAACGGTAAACTCAAATACAAAGCGAAAATTGCGAGCACTTCGATAAAGACCCGCTAACGTCATGGCCTACCGCCTGTGGTCTTGTAATTAGGGTAAACATGATACGCTCAATACAAGACTTTAAACCTTTTATTCAGGCTTACAGTAATTTTTAGATTAATCGCCCACGTTCCAATTAGCGCTTCCTCTCTCATAAGCGCCCTCCTCGAATTTGATTTTATTAGTAAGCTCTCTTATTTTTATAAGCGCCCATATTAAATAGACAGTCCCACTCCAATCAGCGCCCTTACTCTGTTTCACTGATTGCACTGTTTGCATACATGGACATTTGGATCAACCATTGTTCATTTTTCTTTTACTTCTCTCTTGAAGATTAAAAAAAGTGTTCATCTAGTTTGACCATTTTAATAAAATAATCAGCAGCCTGTCTCGAATAAGCGCCCTCCCGTAAGGTCACGAAAGTAAATAAGCGTTGGGCGCTAACTCGAATCCTTATGGTCGGTGAGTTTTGACTTCAGCTATAAAGGATTTTTCAGTTTCTTTAAATGAATTCATGTAAACAAGGGGGTTTGGGATAATCCGCGAAAATTATACAAGCCTCAGACGCAGCGGGGTTTACATAGCTTTCTCGGAAACCATGGAAGACTCCTAGATAGAAATGAAGGGTTGACTGGGTAAGAGTGGTATCATATTTGATGATACGTAAGCCAAAGAAAACAGCAAATCTTAAATCGACTGGATAAGCATATTGTTTGATGCCGGAATTGATAAAAAATGCGGCTTTTTCAGAATAGATCTATCGTTTGGGACTACAGCTAAATTAATTCCTTGTTTTGACTTGTTCGATCTGGTAAAACGATTTGGTAAAATTGTACTAATAGGCAGTTTCTCACAATCACAAATTTATTCGAGTGAGGGCAGAAGTTCTAGTTATATAGGGTCGGCTTAATTTCTGATAACGAATTTTTTTTTATATTCCTAATAGAGAACGCTTCCCCTCTCATATCTCCCTACTCAAGCACAGTGATCGACACATCAATCCATCGCAAGGGTTTACGTACATTTTCGCATGAGAAATCCCGAGAATTTGTAAAAATCAGTGCAGTTCCTCTTTGGTGATCAGTTTCTTAATTCTCGTGACCTTTGCAAATATGATTAAGTATTAATATTTTGATGTTATGATTAATCCTTGGAGTCAAATGGCTAGAATAATATTTTCCGCTTAAAGTTACCTCAAGATATCATCAGTTGATGAGCGCTTTAGTGTTTTCTTTAAACAAGTTAGTATACGTTCTGAGTGAGCTGTCTCTTAAACGCTTAAACTGTCTCTTAAACGCTTATATATTTGGCAACGCTGTATCACGCAAAGCTCTCGGAACTGCTTCACAAGGAAGCGGACAATCTATGCCACTTTAATGAGTTTATTTTCGGAACTTGCTCCAGATCGTCAGGATAGCCAAAGTATTATCAAATGTGATCCCTCTCTTACCCAATGGTACCATGATTAACCCTTCGTCTTCATCTGAAAGCCCCCGCAGATTTTAACAGGCTTCGTAATAAATAAGGTCGCGTTTGACAAGCTATCAGTCAGTCATTTGGTGATTTTCTATGCAGATTTGTAGTAAGGGGATTGTGAGAGAAGGCTTCCCTAATAAGTAAAGCCATTATTGAATCAAACCGAGGGTTTTTGGTAAAGGATTGAAAAGGGAAAAGATTGGTGATCTATAGAGTTATTGAGATACCTCATCCACGATTTCCTTAATTTCATTATTTATGGAATCGTTATATATCTTTGATTATCAGCTGCATTTTTTTTTCTTCACCATCACCATACCAAGATGGCTGCTGGGATTATTTTTATCAGACGTTGTGTGAGACGGCTACAACAAATTGCTAAGAGAATGGATTCACGAAACTCAGGAATGTACAGTAAGCTCAATATGTAAGACGTAAGGGAAATATTTTGCAATCCTGTGGTAATTAGCGTTATTCAAAAGATCCTTCGGGTTCATAATGTCAAAAGTTGATCATGACCAGGAGCACTATTGTTTTTTTTGTCAGAGCTACATTATCATCTACGGTTTTTCTGTAGATTCAAAAAGGATTCCTAGCCGAATGTGACTTTAGCAAATGTGTTGTCATCTGAATTTTTTAATCAAACGCTCAAAAAACTTCTTTTTTTTATGAAGCTTCCATTCACAAGGCTGATCATAATCAAAATTGTTTTTTTGTTCTTTCCATTATAAACACATGCAAAACTAAAAGAGTGATATGCAATTATCAAAACATTTCTAAACCTGAATCAAAAACAAAAAATTATTGCATAGAGCCTATCGTGTTTACCCTCTTCCAAGGGTAAACAAGGCCTGACGGTCTGTAGGCGATGGTGCTCACCAATAGACTCACTAATTTCATGATTTATCTGAGATGATTCTTTATGTACAATGTATGATAACTCTTTTCGTTTGCTTCGTCAGAATTTTCCGTTACTTTAATCGGCCAAAGAGCCTTGGTCGACATTGAAACGCAGCCAATTCTATTCACGTCAAGGCAACTAGTAACTTTTTCAAAGCTTCGAAATATGCTAAAAAGTGTTTTTTATTCGACATTCTTTTAAGGTGATCTTTCTTTATTAAACGGACTCTTAACTTACTTACAACTGCTAACTTCAATCACAATTTCAATCTTCTCTGGAACCAGTGTTCCCGCCCATGCCAATGTCAAATTACTTCCTTCATTCGCTATGTAACTCCCACCTAATCTCAATTGAGAAGACCTTGCATCAAAAAAAAAAAGTCATTTACCCTTCGCAAACCTTTACTCTCTACAAAGTGACCTTCTTCTCTGGTTTTCGAACAATCTGGGTTAAGATCTGGCAGAAGTAACATAAACTTAGAGATTTTAGAACAAAAGAAACTTTAAAACTGAACTCTAAAGGAAAGTGATGGTGAAGATGTTTAAATGAATTAAGAATTAACCAAAACTTAAGGTTGGAGAAGGAGGGACAAATGCTAAGCCGAATACTTAATAAAAGGAAATAAACGCAAAGTAATGGAAAGGAAAGCCGGAAAACAATATTCCATACCGAATTTACTAGGAAGGCAAAGTATGTTACTTCTTATTGTAAGTTTTTAACTAAGGTAACAAAGCTATTTTCTCATGGTGAGAGAGGATATCAATTCCTATAAGAATTAATATAAGGCCGTGAAGAGAGTTAGAGAAGATCAACTATTTGTTTTCAATACACTTTGTAATTTAGTTTTCCTGACAAAACCAAGATAAATGAGTTATTGATATGTAATACGCACACAGTTCCACAGCTATCAATCTTCCCGTTTAACGACAATTACTTGTTATAAGCACAGCACAACTAGAGGAATAATCAGCCAAGCATATCTAAAGGATTTCGGGAAATAACTGATTTGTTACTTTTATTCTCCCTCTTTCTCACAAACTGTGATAGGTTTGTGACGGGCTACGTGGCATTTCATAACACTCCACTTGCCCAACCGGTATTTACCAGAGACCAAAATCTCGGTACACAGTTCTTGACCTCTTGCGTTATTTGGTTCTCCAGGGATCCAGTTAGTGTATCCCTTTAACGGGCTCCCATCAGCCCATAGGAAATTACCAGTAGCGTGTGTCTTCCTCAGCCCAAGCCACATCTGAGCTCGGGTCCATCTCTTCTCTTTAAGGTAAACCTGAAATTGATATTTATGTCATTTGGCGTCGTGTTAGTGGATACTTCAGCTCAGGAAGAGACATGGAGTTTGGACGCTAATGCATGAATCCAGCAGACGATTTTGCTTAGTTAGAACCATAACTTTCTTTATTCGATGGCCTAGCTCAAAACGTACTATCCTTTTTTTAGCATGAAGAGGCCGTATTTAAATTTTTTCCCAATACAATAAAAATGAATTAAGTTAGTTTTCTGTTACTGTTTGCATTTATTCCTCATTGGTATCTTAATTTGGTCGAGATAGTCAAGTTCTTTGGTTCAACAAAGGTCGTTGTCCTGGGTAAGTACTATTTCTTAATCGAATAAATAGATGAGCACAACAACAGGTTTCGGCCCGTGTGGTTGTGATGAATTGTCCTATCTATTTTACTTGGAGCGGGAAAAAGGCCTCTTTTTTAATTTACTTTAGTTACGTTGATTTTACAAAAAAGAGCACTAAAAAGAACCGCGTGGATTTGTCATGCACGCACAGAATATTCTGTTCTTTGTTCACCTCTCAACTCTCAGCAAAGCCAATACCTGAGCAAGCTGTTTGACAAATTGATTTTCCTCCTCTGAGGATATCATCACCATCTCGGTCTTGAGCTTCAGACACTTGCCCAGCGCGTTTACCCATCGGTGGCCCTGTGCCTCTACCACCAAGTAGCAACGCCTCTTCAGCTCGGTCCAGGGTGGATAGCAAGTCTCTACATCAAAACAGAAATCAACGGTTTTGCATCAAAAATAACTTACTAGGAGGGAGGAAAATAAATCCTCGAAAAATAACCAAAAACGGTTGTCTAAAGAGGTCCATAGTTCCAAAATGATGTTGTGCGTTTCCTATTCCAAAATGTGTACTTTATGTGACATACAATTGCCTTTTTTTTTTCTCTACCAGTTTTGGGTACAAGTTTTAAGTAAGGTCTTTGGGGTTCGGGGTTCAAGTTTCCACAGAGATGCCACCTGTGGTTCAACTTAAGAATTAACGCTCTTTCCACCCCTTCCCGCAATCAATCACAAGCAGGGCTAGGTGTTAACATGGATAGGATGATGTATCCACCAGCACAGAGAGTATTTTTAAAACGTCATTTATATAAACACACTTTTACAATAAAAGTCAGTCTTGCTCCAGTTTCCTTCGTTACACTCAGCAGTTGCATTTCTTGTGACTTTATACCCAGGTTGACATTCAAAGTCAAAGGTTTCACCGCTACGATAAAGAGCCTTTGTCTTCTTTGGCAACTGAGCTCGTGCAACGTCGGTTTGAGGCAGTTTAGTACAGGGTATGGCTAGAAAATAAAACAGAAAGTAGATTAGCATTTAAGTGATAAAGAAAGTAGGGAGGAAATGCTTATCTCAAGTAGGCAACTACGAATTTTCTGAAGGTCAAGCTAGGACATAACTTGTGTTTAGGTGTTCCAACAGGGCGCTCTTCAACCAAGTTTCCCTGAACAAAACTGTGAATAATCGCAATGGCTAGTCAGAGCATGGGAAAGTTAAGGAGTGTCTCCTTAAGGTAAACATAAGTGATAGGCCTAAAACGCGGGAAAAGGATGAATGACAAATTAAAGTTATGAAAAGTTCATTTTCCTTTTTCTTTCATCTCAGGGCTTGACTCAAAACAAATGCATTCATGACTTTTCTAGAACTTTCATTGAGAATTATGAAGCGCCTGGAGCATTATTTACGAATCTTCTTTAAAAAAGTGCTTGCCACTTGTAATTGCTTTGTCAACACCGACAAGGCACGGTAAGCCTGTGAGTGGTCTTATTGTGACCTAACTTGGCATAGTTCAGTATAAACCGGTGTAACCCGGTAATCTGCCTACAAGGCCTTCCTACCAACAAGAATCGGTTCTCTAAAACGTGTATAACTAATTTTCTATACTTTTTTAGCCTTCTCTTTTATCTTTTGATAATATCTTGGTGTGCAAAAGTCTAAACGAGTTTCTTCAGCAGCCAAGGAAAAGAAAGGGAATTTCCTGCTATTGACATTGAGTTAGTAACCGCTCAGACAAGCTTGAATTGTCACCTCAGGGAAAGGCTATGATTATCACCAAAGATGAGCAAGGCAACTGTGCTTTATCCTAAAAGGTACAAGTTTCAACAGAACTAAAAAGTAGCATGTAGACTCCTCTGAATCACTGTTTTTAGACGGCTCAGGATAATCTGCAAATAAGCAGTTGTGTCATAAATATTTCTCACCTCTGATGCGGGGCCTAAGCGTTCTTCAAAATAAAAAAAGTAACACATCACATGACCTACATGCAGCGTTAATTCAGGGAGACCAGATATCTTGAGTCTAAAGGTGTAACTAAATTTGGATTAACAAGGTCAAAATAAGAAGTTTATCTGTTGTACTCACATATATCGATGCACTGAGATTCTCGAACCGCTCCAGGCTCTGTCGATGAAACTCGGTAAGGACACTTGACACATTCTGTACTCCCGTCATCAGGCTGATATGTGCCAACAGGGCATGGTTCGCAAGTTCTGTTTCCTACTTCATAATGACCAGGTGGACAGTGCACTGAAACGGTTAGCCTTTAGCTGAGAAGGGTCTTAGACTTACCATTCATCAAATTTTCCCTCAAGGTTTAACAAAAATAACCAATATATACGCTATAAACAAAAGAGAAAGCCTACTGTTTCGCTGAAGTACCGTCTTTCAATAGAAGACGATAAACCGAGGATCAATCAAATTCCCTCTTAAATGGGATATCAGAACTAAGCGGAAGACATTCATTCCTCTCTTCTATTTAACGATTTTGATTTAAATTGAGAGATAATGTTACTACTCACTGACATGGAAGATGAACCTTACCGCATAGATAACCATTTTGATGGAGTCTTGTACCGTTTGGACATTTTTGAGAAGGAAATCCCATTACAAGGCTATCTTTGTCGCCAATTATTGTCAAGTTACCCCAACGAATCTTCACTTTTTCATCAACTAGGGAAGAATAAAGCTTCTTTAAACTGTTTCCTATGCGTTGCCTAGAGAGCGAGAATTCATTTAGCGCCTCGAATTTCTTTCCTTCTCGCGTGATGGGGTCGTCACCATGAAGGACGAAAGAGATCACAGCATTTGGAAAAGGTTTGTAATACTCATCATGTATTTTTTCCGGCGGCCAGTCCACGTGCTTCAAGATCTTTTGAAAAATGCGTTGGTGAGCCATAGTATCATTCTGCAGAGATTTCTCTATTTCACTGCCAGTGCAAAAATGTGAACTACTGTCTCCTGAAGAAGGTGTTGACGGACACTGCTTCAGCTTGAAAACGACAGCAATCCTAGGCACGCCAGGAATGAATCTTGAAACGTCCAGTCTTGCAATTCTACTTTGAACAGCACCATGCAAATTCGACACGTTACAGAAGTAAAAGCCATCATTTTCTGTGGTCAAGTTTCCCATTTTCAGTACTGGGCTAGTCACGTTGATTCGAACAGCATCCTGGCTTATCCCTCTCATCGGAATGAAGAACCACTCTGTTGTTGGTCGGGGAACACCAGTGCTGTTGCAGACCATCCACACTTCTTCATCGCCAACGAGCTTGTGATTATCAAGTGGGTGTTCGACAATATGTGGTTTTTGATGCACAACCAGGATGGTGACATTAGATATTGTACTTCCTCTTGTATTGGAAGCATGACACTTGTAGGCTCCTTCACTCTGTTCGGTGACATTTCTTAGCTCAAGTATGGTACCATTTTGCCCTTCAAGTGGCTGCCCATTTTTCATCCACATGTATTCAACTCCCAGAGTACTTTCAGCCTCACACAGTAAATCAATGTCTCCACCGAGGAGCGTGACAACTTTCACTGGAGAACTCTTTTTAATTGTGGGTCTCTGACCGCAAAGTATTATATCATCGCCGCTTCTGTTAATGAAAAACCTCGCTTGTGAGAGTTTTCCTTCCAACAGAGACATCGTAATGTTCTCTCTCAGGATACTGCCGATGATTTTGTTCAATGTCTGAAGCGCTTCCTTGATTTCGATTGCTCTGGGGTGATTTTCCATTTCATACATTCCCTCTAGGCTGTCGAAAAAGAAGTCAGCACAATCAAGAATCCCTGAACATTGTGAAAAGTTTTTCCTCTGGGTCAAGATATCTAGAAATCCACGTGTATCATGTAATATGTCACTCCAAGATGATGCTTCAGAGCCGTTCAGCTGTGCATCCCCATAAGAGAGAATTATATCATTGTAAGAGGAATTCCCATCATTTTTATTTGCACCAGAGAGCTCCTCCATGCCTCTAATGCCCGAAAATAAGGATTTTTCGACCTCCCTCTTACTTTTAATGGAAAAATCCATGGATTCAACGATATCAGAGAAAAAAATATTGGCTTCTTTGGAAAGAAGACATTCGTGTCTTTCAACTGGGAGGTCGATTCCATTTCTCTTAGAGTTGATGGATTCCTCTTTTAGTGACCTACGTCTTTTTGAATTGGATGTTCCAAAGAGCGCCTCAACAATAAGTTTCGATGCCAAGGCCAGTGAATCCTCTTCATTATTGAAGTCCATAGAAAACTGAATTGCTTTATTCGAGCCTTCAAATCTCCTGACGTAAACTGTGAGGGGAAATCGCGTCTTCGACGATGACGAGGTCATGGCCACAGAAAAAGCCAAACTTTCTACGTAGATCAATGGTTTTTTTGAAAGCTTCTCCATGTTTTTGCCAAGTTTTAGCCCGAGTTTTTCTCTCTCTTTCACTTTGTTGAGGTTAATGGCTTTTCGTGCAAATTCGCGCTGGTGAAGTCGTGCACGAGCCAGCTCTAACTGTCTTACAGCACTGTCAAACTTTATTTCTGCCTTGTTTGATTCCAGTTGAGCACGGGTGGCACGTTTTCCTTTTGCTACCATGTTTTGGAAATCTCTGAACATGGTCTCATTCTCAAACTCGATTTCAGCGGCTAGGTTTGCCATGTCAAGGGAACAATTTGTGTTGTGAGAGACGCACTTTGGGTCTAAAACTTTTATACTTCCAGTTTTAGGACATTCGTAGGGAAGATAACCAGAAATCTCAGTTTCTGTCTTTTGCGCATCGCAAACGAACCTTTCGATTTCTTTTTTTCTGTAGTCACGGAAGTTCTTTGTTACGTAAAATTCAACTGGAACTTTCGGGCCAGGTACCTTCACTTGGTAATCATCGCAGCCAGTGACGTGGTCAATTACCTTTCCAATCACATTTACAACGAAACCAGCAGCCATAAGGATACCTCCGAGCTTGGGTGAGAGATATTGAGCTATTCCTCCAGCGACCATCATCCCAGCCCCGATTCCTGTTAGAAATTTACCTGTTTTTCCGCAATCACCTCGGTGTTCGACCACGTAAGTTTGAACCATTTTCGTTTCCAAAACCACCTTTGAAACAACAACTTCCTCTTGCAACGATTCCTTTATTTTGCGGCAAACTGGGACTGTGTAATTTACCAAGACTGGCTTTTGACAAACCGCTGGTATGTAAATGTTCGATTCGATGAGGTTGCATGCTAAAAATCGGCAAATTTTTCTGTTCTTTACTTTCAATAGCTGGTCCAAGGAAGATTCAAGCTCCACTGATGCTTTCCCGTATGCATCGCTTATTCTTTGGAATTTTGAGAGCTTCCGTCGCTTTTCTAATAACGCTTTATCGAGAATGGACTTTTTCTTCTCAACTAATTCTTTTGCGGTATGTAGCCTTTCTTCTGCAATCAGTATTGATTTCTTAGACCTTTCAACTTGTTTGAAAGCTCTTTCTGCTAAGAAATTGGCGAAGGTCGTCACCTGACTTTGGAGAAGTTTCGAAAGTTGGGAAGAATTCGTCATTTGTCCGTTAACTGTGAAGACTAAGGAGCTCCAATCTGTAGTATGGCTAATCATGGCCATCACACTCATTTTCGCCACATATTTATCAAATATCTTCCCTCGCATTTCAAACGACAGCTGATTGTTATTTAATGAAACTTTAACGAGCTGGCTAACGGCCAAAAGATTACTTCTTCCCACGAAATGAGCTGAGATCACCTTAGAGTTTCTCGGAAAGATAAATTCAATTACATGACCCATAGGAAGCATTAATATGTTGTCTTTACTTAATGCAACCTGCCTTAAGGCTTTCCCTTTGCCACGGAACATTGACGCTTGTGGTGTATTAGAAACACAGCTGTTCTCTGAAAGGTAGTCAACTGTTGTGCTGAAATCTTCGAAGCACAGCTTTCCCACGCACAGATTGCCTCTAAAATAGAAACTTATTCCATGTAAAGTTTTGGAAATTGGTTTTCCGCTGAGATTGGGGCGTAATTCTTTGGGAAATTTGGCATGAATCCTATCAATTATGTGCAAGAGCTCTGCATAAGTTCCTTTGTCGTTTGATAAGGTGTACTGGTCTTTTAAAACATCTGTGATGCTTTTGCAGTATTTAAGCATATATTCTATATGGTCGAGAAGATTCAGGACCCCTGCAATGTTCACCATGTCTTTTGCTAGCATCTCTTTCAGTTCTCTTATAGTGGTGTTTAGTTTAAGAATCATGTCGAGGGATTTCTTTAGAGTGGTTTTACCCTCTGGAGTAATCGCTTTGGCTTTGACGAAGACATTTTGCAGATCCGGCAATAGTGAAATAATGCCGTAAAGAAATTGTCTAACTTCATCGATGTTATCGATGTTGTTGAGCTTTCCTCCTTCTAATGACATAAGTATCGCCAAACGAACTGGTTCAGTCCCTCTCGGCCGAATGTAAGTTCCAAGAGGGCTTTTATTCAAAAAGCTGCTGGCGGATTTCTCCAACGTTAAAGAAATCCCTCGGATGTTCTTGCTACAGTTGGCCTTTCCTAACAAAAAATAGAGAAAAATTTATTTAACATTGGCTCAGGCGTAAACTGGGAATTAATGAAAATATGAAATATGCTTTTTCGGTGCTACCCAAACCTCTCATGTGCTTCATTTATCAAAAATGCAGATGCACGAGCGAATTGCTCTTTAAAATCTTGGTGTGTGTTTCAGATGAATAGAATAACTCGTGTAATTGAATTGAATTACACGATCTTAATTCCAATGTCATAACCCACATTGTGCAACAAGCCACTATTCGTTTGAAGAACAAACCTTAGTGTTTTGATATGGTTGAATAGATTTAAAGTGGTTTTTCGCTCTTGTAATACTGTCAATAAACCGATAAATATAATCAGAGATGGTTGTTACCCCTACTTATGGACAATATATTTGCGCAAGATGTAAAATCATTCGCCAGTAGTGGGGCGTACAGACTCATGAGTCGAGTTTACGAAGGTTTTCCTCCACATGTAGTATCACAACTTCCTAAGGCCGCGCTGAGAAATAAAGGCTTATTGCTACATTATATCACTCCTTTCTGCAGCTGCCTGTTTGATCAGAGAGCATTTTTTGCTCCTAAACTTTGATGGATATAACAAGGTCTTGGCCAGGAGACGCCAGAAATCGGCTAAAACATCGCTAATTATATTCCCTACCTCCTAAGAGAGCTTTTCCAATGGCTTTCGTTGAACTAATTTTCAAAGTAAAGTTGTTTTTGAGTGCTGTTCCAGTAACGTTTAAAACCACGTCTCCTCTTAACTGGATGTCCATCCGTTCAGACAAAAAAGAGGTAAATAGCTGTTAAGAAATAAACCAAATGTCAGATGACTGTTACAGATCAGTTCTTCAATTAGTCTGTCCGGGAAAAATTTACATTAATTAGCTGAAGAAATGTTTCTCAAAGCGAAAAAGGCACCGCTTGTCTCCCGACAGTTTTTTTTAAGTTTCAAAGTAAGGTAAAAACGCCATGATTCACTTAGTCTCCATGACATTTACAAAACAATCCTACCTTTCTTCTTACTTACATTCTCAATATTTTCGGATCTGATGATAGCATCCCCATTCATCCTAAATGACAGGAGTAGCGTCTTACGAATCTCCATTTTCCAGTCAATACTTCCTTTTAGCCACATTTGATAATGGAGAGGGGATAATTCTTGCAGCTCTTTGCCATTCCAAATGATTCCCTTCACAAAATGAGCAGTTTCTTTGTTTTTATGGAGGCCAATCGAATCAATCTGAAGACTGAGCCCACTGTTTTGCATATCTCGGAAGAAATTAAGAGAACTCATTATGAGATCAGCCTGCCTTTTGGGAAAGTTGACAAACAAACTAGGTTTACAGATGTTTATTGCAAAACATGTTGATCCATCAGCTAACAAAGCAACATCGTCTTGTGCCACACGCATTTTGTAATTCACAGTAGGACGGTAGTAGACAAGACTTGATGCTTGATCTAAGGGAAATCCTGTGCAGTGTTTCAGATCAGATGCCAGATTAGCAGCAACGTTTTGAATGTCGAAAACATTGTTATTCTCTGTGACAGAGAATGAAAGCCATTCTGGCGCCACGGATGAAAGAGCCTCCATGAACGAGGACACGAATGCATCATTCTGTATGAGTTCAAGCACACTGTTTGTGTCTGTTAGTCTTGCCTGGCATGTGCCATTTCGCGCGAGCAAAACTGTAAATTTTTTGAACGAGGAGGTCCTAGCTACACCGGCTTCAATCATCTTATCTCGCGAGACACGATCTCCTAGATTCAAACCGATTAGAGAAAGAGGAATGTTCTGATTTTTGGGAGAGTTGATGTGGACAATGCCATTGGTAGAGGAAGAAATCTTGGTCCAAGCTGCGGTAGATGATAGACGTACTTCACATGAAAGTTTTGTGATATAATCTTCGCAGCCAATGGGTAGCTCGCCCTTAGAAAGAAATAGCTGTCTCCTTAAGCTAATATTAGAGAAAGTTTCTGGTGCCGTAAAAAGCACGCTTGGTTCAGGAGTTTCAAAATCGTTCTTACTTTCGCCTTCCAGACCATAGGTGATCGCTCGGATTCCGGGCTTTTCCGCCACTACTGTGAATTGCTCCATTACTCTAGAAGAATCGAAAACCATGGATGGGGGCTCAAATGTCACTCCTTTTTCTGAGGACACTTCTACCGTCAAGCGTCTCAGTGGTCTAGCAATAAGGAAAAGCCTCCCAGATTTGGTTTTTGAGCGAAGCTTTGGAAAGATTGGTGTTATAGTATACCCAGTTTCACAATGATCACCCTTGTAACCAGTGTTATCGCAGTTGCAGGTATAGTCCCTCTCGTTCAGAGCGTAACACTTTCCTCCATGTCTACATGGATTTGGCTGGCATGTCTTGATCTCTGCGATAATGTACCAAGAAATAGGTTGAGCCATCGATAAGGATCTAAGTACGAGTTAATGACTCATCGTATTTTCTTTTTTAGTGGTTTGGTTTTATTTTCTGGATTGTCTTTTTTTTTCAGCATTTTAGTATACACAGTTATCACCCTCTTACTTAGTGTTTGATCTTTTTTGATCACATAATTTTATACAACCATGATTTTTCCCTTTGGGGTTCTGAAGTGATAGACGTCGCTATTTACTTTTCACATTTGCCGGAGTGTTATCTCTTATTTTAATTTAGAGCTGACCTAAGTTTCTTTTGGTATGAAGCGTCGCTGCTTTACGTCGCAGACATGTGCAAATGAGGAAAAAATGCATACGACAATTAGACCAAAATTCTTTACAGTGCTTGACTGTTTTACAGTTGAAGATGCTATAACTGGCAGCGACGATATCTCAAAGAATATGGACGGTAAGTTTATAAAAGTATTGTGGTGCTCCGTGGATGGGGGGATCACAAGATAATTTGTTTTTATCTACTGAGTTGATTTGTAAATTAGCCCCCGTAAAGTGTTTCTAAAGTCGATGTTTCAAACTTTAGCCCCTCGTCGGAGAAAATCGAACACGAACAAAAGGACTCAGATGCTATCAAAGCTTCGATAGATGTCACCTTAGAAAGAACCTCTCCGATAGACACAGACTTTTCTGAACATCATTTGCGTAACTCATCATCTCAACAAGGTTAAAAGTCGAGTCCTATGGTGGAAATTTAGCCCCCTCTATCTGAAGCAAGTTTGTTATAATCCCCTTTATTTTATACCTGCTCACTTTATTTCTTGAGGAAAAGACAAATGTAGAGTCTTTGCGTTACTTGACGGACATGCTTAAAAGGGGGAGCGAATACATATGGCGAGTAAAGCAGTTCGTTTAGAGCACGTATCTACCAATGGCTACCAATGTCGTCTATTGAAAAATTTACCTTTACAAGTGAAACTCCCAAATTTCCAGGAGACACCGTCACCCTTGGAATTCAAGCTGCAATTTGCTTGTCCGTCTCCATCCATGAAAAATCCTCGGCGACATCCAAAATAGCAAGTTGAACCGAAGGAGGTGAAACAGGGAACTAAAATAGTTTGACTCTTAAGGGTTGTCAACTTTTCACAATGTTTCACTAAAAGAGGAAAAAAAAGCAGCAGTAAGTAATATTTTTGGAGCGGATATGTCCAGACTTTTCTGCACCATGCGTTATACTTGAAATTTCATTGTATTCGTTAATATTTTCCCGGAGTTCTCTCTAGCTTCTTTTCGTTAACTGGGTGTGAAATTTCGGAACTAGCAAGCTGGCAAGTAGCAACAGAAGAACTAAAAAAAAGGTTTTTAAACATGCCAAACGCCGTAAATTTACGTTATTATAACTCGATCAGAGACGAAAATCCTTACACAGAAAACGAAAGGGACAGTCCGAGTTATTCAGGTTTTCACGCTCAGTTAGATTGCAAACTTACGTACGGTAATAAAAATCGAACACAGCTAACACTCGTCTAGTATATAAAGTTTCTTGCTTACAAACAAAACAGAAATGATGAAAAATATAGCCAAATTGGCATAACTGTTAAAATTCATACTCATGACGATGTCAGATGGTAGAAAGCGGGAAGAAGACGGTGTCAGATGATAGGAAGCGGGAAGAAGAAGTGGGGAGAAACACGAGACGTAGTGTAGCCGCTTCCTGCGTGCTTTATAACAGAACAGAGCACACTCAATGCTTCCCTATATGGTTAATAGAGCATGCTGTCGACACTGTTCTTCTCTTTGGAAATAAAGTTTTTTTGAAAATTAAAAAAAATGTGTGGGGAATATAACGGATTATTCATTACAAAACAAATAGAGAAGTCTGTGCTCAAGAAGTGAGGAGAAAAACTCGACTACGTCTCGTTACACTTCTTTCGTGCTCTAGCCGCTTCCTGCGTGCTTTACAACAGAAGAGAGGACAGTCAAGGCCCCTCTTTTTGTAAATCGAGAGTAGCTAAGGTATCCAATTTATCTCATTTCAAAAGAGATGAAAAGATGATAGCATTTACCTTTGCAGAAAGTGAAATTTCCACTCCATCTTGAAGAAGGAAGGCAAGTTCTAAACTGTGATCCAACCAAATCATACCCGGGATCGCAAGAAAATGAACAAGAGGCATCAGTGACAAGTCCTGAACAATTCATTGTACCATTGAGTGGTGTATCAATCTTTTCACAGGGCTGAGCTGCAAAATTATTAAGAGAACGTTTAGGATGAGTTTTTTTATTCGAAAATAATTTTTTTTCTCCCGTCATTCGTTCATAAATTTCGTTGAATGCAGCATGTAAACATGAAATGATAAACTGTGAAACCAAAGACATAAATTGGATGAACTCGAAGGTTCACTTGATATTAAACTCAACGGTTTTGTTCTTAATCTTGAGCCCTTTGACACCGATGAGCTTCACAAATGGAAGGGTCAGGAAATCACTCAAAGATGAGGCGTTAAAGATCAAGTATGCTTCACATAGCAACGATGTCTTCAACGGTCGGAAGGTTTCTGTCATGATTGCGTTTCAGCTGTAGCAACGAACTGTTATCAAGATTTTCTATTCGTTCTATAGGTGAGGTATTAAATCAGTGCGTCAGCATGGATGAAAACAGTTACATCGTTCTTGAATACGAACCTTCACACTTTTTCCCGTCTGATGACAATTTGTAGCCAGGTCTACATGAACAAAAGTAGCTCCCCTCCGAGTTGAGGCAGTTATGGTCACAGGAATGGTTTCCAGTCTGGCATTCGTCAATATCTTAATGCAGATCAAACAAAATTGAAGCATTTTTTATTGGCCCTAAAGGATAAAATTTAGTTGGTGGGAAACCTATGGACATTTTTTTTTATAAGCAAAAAAACCCTTTCAATCCCTTTCAACTCCTCATTGTGTAGTTACATTTTTTGTATCACTAACCTTTACACTGTCTCTTGTCGTACATCAGTACATATCCATTCGTACAGGAACAATGGAAACTTCCCTCGACGTTCGTACAAAAGTGATGACAACCAGAAAGAGTGGCTGTTTCGTTACTTCCAGTGATGTTACTAGAGGCGCACTCGTTGATATCTAAGAGAAATTGTTAAAGAAGATTTTTTTCCAATACGTAACGACCGCTTCAAACCATCGCATAACATATATATATTTCCAAAGTGATACAACCCAGATTTTTAATTTCAAAAACCATGTGATTTAAGTCTCCATATGAGATGTTCTTCATTTTTGGAGAGCAGCTTCTTTTGTTACTGAAGAAGAGAAATCCTTTTAAAAATCGCACTGAATTTAGACGGTAAACTGTTTCTAAGCCGTTTTCTTCTGCGCTGCTGAAAACTTTTTGAAGGAAAATAACCACGACATTTAGCCTCCTTCTGGCTTGAAAACACTCTAGAAGCTATCAACCATTCGTCGAAGCTCATTTTTACGAGGGATTTGCTCAAGGAATACTTTATCTTCTTACAAAAGATGAGTTATGTCCATAAAATATATGTGATCAAATTTACACGTCAAATGGATGATACCGTTTTCAGTTACAAGGTTCTTTTTATCTCAGAGGGGATGTTGATTTGGAAACATACCTGTGCATGTTCTGTTATCAGCCGTTAATTGATACCCCTCATTACAAGAGCACTTGTATCCACCGAGAGTATTAATGCAAATCTCTTGACAGTCATGGCCTGTGTTGCATTCGTCAATGTCTTAATAGCATAAAAAGAATGAATAACACAATAAACAATTAAAAATGAGGGCAGAATGTTTTGAAAAGTACATTGCTCCTGTTTTGTACCCACGATCCTCTTCCTCTCAAACTGTTATGAAATATGTCTACTGGATATTCCACCATAGTTTTTTTATAGCGGTCACATTAGTACTTACAGGTAATATAGATCTTAACTTCCAGATTTTCTCTAAATATATATAATCCCATCAAGTATCGTTCTCCGAATCACTCTCCTTCACGAGTACATAAGCTCTTCGACGCAAAACTTATAGAATGCACCCATTTACTGAGTTACGGTCTTGATTTCTCAATGAAATCGGGCATGTACGCAAATCCGACAAAACATTCGTTTTAAAACACCCTAAAGGAATTAAGTGTAGTGAAATCTTCTTCTTTCCGGAAGACTGTGGTTTTTACGCGCTTACGACTATTGCATGTGCGCAAAATTACAAAAGTAGGCAACGCCGCCAACTGTATAAGAGCAAAACGTGCACTACGATATAATACAGTGGATATGGAATCCACGGAGGGTTTATGTAGAAAAAACAGGATAATACATTGTTAAATCTTGATGCCTTACTTTAAAATCATATCGCTCACTGACTCACAATACGGTGTTTAAAGCCAGGTGTTCTTAAAATGGTCATCTATGGTTAGTAGTACCTGAGCAGGTTCTTCCATTGCTATCTAAATTAAATCCCTCATCGCAGTTACAGCGGTGGCTGCCGAACAGATTTCTACAGTTGTGTTGGCAGTTTCCGTTGTTGCTAGCACACTCATTTATATCTATGAGGGAAAAAAATTGACAAGATAGCTGAAGTTTCCCTCAGATGAATTGCAATTAAAGCATATAAGGAAAATTAAATTTCAACGAGCCTTAAATTCAATATTATATTCCATAATTTACTTGCTTAAGTACCTCTACAAGATTTACTGTTCACGAGGCGAAAACCCCTTCGACAGTTACATTTGTGGTAGCCAGGAAAGTTCACACATTGGTGACTGCAGCCTCCATTACTTACGCGACATTCGTTGATATCTGCAATGTGTAGAAAGAAATTTAATTACAGTTTTAGCACATAGAATTAATCAGGAATTCGTTTATTTCATGTAAAATTTGTAATAAGACCGGCAAAAACATCTTTTATTCGCTACTTTTGCAAATATCGATCACCTCTAGAATTTTTGTTAAAAAGAAATAAGTCCATTCTTTCCATCAAGACTGCTTTTTAATTAACATTTCTGCAATTGATAACGACGTCTAATTTTACAGTTACTCTAATTCGTATGGATTAAAATCATTTTTATCATACCTGTGCACACTGTGCGACCCTGCAGTCTAAAACCCTTTCTACACGTACAATAGTAACTTCCAAGAGTATTCCTGCATGATGGTTCACATGAATAAGACCCAGTAGCGCAGGTGCAGGCGTATGAACTACGACATTCATTTATATCTGTCGGACACAGCAGGACAAGTGGTTAGGTCAAGCCACAGTGGAGTGTAATTAATAATCGTACTTGAATTGAGTGGAGTGCAATTTGGTCTGAAATCAAATGAGCGCGCAGCGCGAGTTTGATTTGAAATCACACGATATCAGGCCAAAATTGCACGACAGGTAGTTTAATTACCACTTTATTGCATTTGTTTTGAAAACGCAACATTAATTCGCTCAAATACAAGTTTTTTTGGTATGTGAAAGTATTTCATCAATTCAGTCTACTGAGCTGGTTTTGTAAAAAGTTGTCTCTCATTTCCTTCAATTTGATTGATTTGTATAAACTAGCCTTGAAATTTGGTTGGTTGTTGTGTTTTAGCAAAGCTGTCTCATTGGCTTGGAAAAAGATGCGTTTTAGAGCATAAAATGGTGCGATTTGTGAATAAATACTACGGTGAGAACCAATCAGATTGCAAGGATCATACGTGATTTGAAAACGGATGAAATAAAGGGAGTAGTTGGGCGAGTAATTTGAAATTGCGAGCATAATTCCCCCTGAATTGTTTGAAGAAAGAAGTTCCATCACCAATTAATTGTTTCAATAACAATGCGTGAAACTCACGAATGTAAGAGGACGTTTGCCTCTGATTGATACATATTTAGCTGACGTTCAACTTTCCAGTCACAATATTGTTCAAAATATGCAACGCTCACTTTTAAGAAGTGTATCTTTTATTGGCTGGCATAGGGCCACAAGGCTCTGTAATATTCTTATTAACAAAAACCATGTATTCCCCCTAACTCCTCAATAATAGGATTTTGAGAGCCGCTCATTAAGGAAATAGAGAATAATACATAGGGGCGCGTAGATATGAAATTCCTCTTCGAGTGTTTAACTCGATATCTCACGAGCGGGACCGCGTCCAACACGAGAAGAGAAATTTCATATAGCCCTTTACTGACTAGAAAAGTCAACTTTATCAATAAATGAAAATAAAAGATCGACAATCCCCGAATAAAACTCTTAAAGTGCGTTGACACACTTAAAATGAAAACATGCGTTGAATCACTAAAAAAACAAACAATGGGCCTAACTTTCAATATAAAAAATTCTCAGTTATTGAATTGGTCCTTACCGAAAGAAGTCTTTCAGGTACACGGCCAAAATCGGCCTGTGGCAAATCTTACAATTGTCGATTTTCGTTCTCAGCCGCGAGAAATGCCATTACCAAAGCCACTGATTACGTAACGTTCGGTTTTTCCTTTCGTGTTTTGGTTTCCTTCCCCTTCTAGGAAAGTTTGAACGTCACTGTCTGTAAGCGATACAGATTTTTCATCATTTTTGGCAGCCACAATCCCAAAAAACATTCCGACAAACGACCTTGGATTGAGAATGGTGAATGCTTTGCCGTTCATTCAATAACCTGACCGAGAGGCGCGAAAGGCGAGTGACTTGTCAGCAGCTGATTGGCGATATCAAACTCACGTGAAAAAAAAACGTATTTCATCACGTGTGTTGTTACGGTCTTTCTCAGGGCTGGAAATCCTTGTATAACACCGTAGTTTATATGATAATATTTTGTTATTGGCACAATTAGGTGGGAAATCAGACCACCAAATTTAAGAAATGACGGAAACCTGACTCTTACCAACGCACTTCTTGCTATCGTATGGACTTCTTCTATACCCTCTGTGACAAGAGCAAGTTCTTGATTCCCCTTTCCTGTTGTTACATTTCTGCTGACAACCTCCTTTGTTTGAAGAGCATTCGTTTACATCTGTCGAAAGTAGACGGAGAGAATAGTTTGCCACTGACTAACAAGTTTCAGCTCGATCAGGGAGATAAATTATTATTTCATTATTTAGAAATAATATTTACATATCGCTAACTTGTTACACGCAAAAAATTAAGTGACTGCGTTTGTGATTTATTGTTCTTACGTTTCTCTGTCTGTTTGAATTTTCTTTACCTGCACTACAAGTAGATCCTGTCCAATAGGATGTACACCTGCAACTGTTCGGGTAATAACAAGTTCCCCCGTTGTTGCAGCCGGAATTGCAGATCGCTAGTGAAACACAAAAAGAAGAAACTGTTCATTCCCATTTCTGCAGCTACGTTACCAATTAGCTTCCTACCTCTACATCCCTATACCTACATTCTACATTCCTGCTTACTAGAACGTACCTCACAAATAAACAGCAAAAAAGAAAATAAAAAAAGGCATCTCTATATCTCGCAACTGTAGGTATCGAGCGCCGGGGAATCAAGTTATGTTGACTATTTATGTGAAAATTTTTCTTGAAAGTTGGTTAGATTTATTATTGTTGGCATTCGCCATACTGGACTCTTTAAGCGCAAAAGTCTTCACCATCACCACTACGTATTAATGTCATGTAACAAAATTAAAAGCAAACAAGATCCAAGAACATTCCCTGTGGCAACCGCCTTGTGATTGGAATGAACAAAGTAATCTGTCCATCTAATGCAACCCTTGTGATCTGTCGTTGAGAAAATCTATATTACTTGTTCATGACGTATGGATTAAGTGTGCTCCTGGACTCAGTTGTTCGAAAGGCAGTCAGCGATAATCCAGTATTAAAACTTGAAAGTGTTCTTGATTTCTCTTGCAAGAAAGCGTATATCTTAAGGCTTACGTTTCGTGTAGTTATACCTTAACCTAAGACGAAACTTAAGGAAAAAAATACATACACTGAAAACTGCCTGCAAAGCAACAAAACTATAAAAAATTTTCGGCTAACCTTCGGTTAGCTTAATCATACTTTGAACGACCCAGCCATAGAGTATAGTATATCAAAAGCGTTTAACGCTGGAAACGTTAGCGTTTAAAACTCTTTACGGTGGCCATTTTACTTTCTCAGTTGATAACACCAAATTTTGTTATATGTAACATTTTCTCGTGACTCAGATTCATCTCACAAAATTGGGTAATTTTGATTTCTCCCCGTTCTTTTGAAATCACCGGTGATTTGATATCAGATTCTTCTTAACTTGAACCTCTCTTTAATCTAACCTCTTGGGCAACTACTTCCACTTCTTGCCCATCCACTGCAGCACCTCAGGTATGTGTCAGTTGTCCAACGGTAGATTGTCTTCCATCTGTAGCCGGTTACAGTTCTGAAAGATACAAAGCACCCATATACAATAAGGGTTTTTACTTGTGAACGGATTTCTTGTTCTACACTAAATGAGATTCCCGTTCATCGTAGGTTACCCCTGGCATTTTCTCGGTTTCTTTTTGCTTGTACGGTTTCATTTTGCTTGTACTAATTTGAATTTCTGAGTGGAGAGAGACACCGTGCCGGGAAGGTGTTGAACTTAAGTTCGAAGGCGCCGGAAGACTGCTCCCAGAAAGTTTAAGCGGGGTGCAGATCTTAATTAGACAAAAAATGACCAGTAAAGAAAGGCAAAAAAGGAAGTCACAAATAGAGTTTCCAAAAAAAAAAAGTAAAAGAATGGTTCTGAAAGACCCTATGTTGAAAATTTATTTGTTTCCTTGGGTGCTTCAGTGAAGATAATTAACCTAGATCTCCTGCAACGTGCCCAACCAAATAATCCACAGCTTGTGGTGTAAGATTGATAACTGACAGTCGACACCAGGGTGGATGTTGCAACGGAACTATCTCTCCTCTCTTGGCAAACATTCGAACTGCAAAAGAAAACATATACTAACTACTGGATGAATGAGTCAGTTGTCAGTGGCCCATGGCGTTTAATACATTGGCAAAAGGCAAATAAAACTTTGAGTTTGCCCATAGTAACTTTAATTTTTGAAAGGAATCCACATCCGTCATTCGCTGTCGAGCAGGTTGAACAGTTGCCGTTGAAGGGTAACTAAAGGCAAAGTTTTGCCCTTTTCCGGTTGTCCCAGCATATTTCTCTTGGGTCAAAGAATCCTAAATGAGCAAAAAAACGATAATTTGTGCAAAACAAATTTTATACAATTGTTTTTTGACGCTTAAGGAGGCTCCATAAAGTTTTTGCTCAATGTTGGCGCACGTGCCAGCGTATCGTTTTCCTGAGAAATTTTTATGTTTTCGCTCTTCTAGGTCATTAAAAGCTAACAAAAGGGCGATGAGCAAGACTCAGACGATCGTTTGTTAAACAATATTAAAATGATTTTCGTTATTAAGCTAAGCCTCCACGAAGGAAAGCGCTCGCCGGTGGTAATTTGTCTTTGATTTTCTTTGGTGAAATCCCTCAAAATTATCACAATTAGTGAAATTTGTCCTGTCGATCAATTAAAATCCAAAAGAAAGAAACAGGGATTACAAAGGCAGTTTCCCCGCTATTTGCAATTTTGTGTTTTCTTCCTCTATCTCAAATTTGGTCGTATGAATTTTTTATTTATCAACAGGTACTAGAAGGGCACAAATGTTCAACAGTCCAGCAAATCTTAGGAAATTCCAACGAAGGAAACGCGATAAATCTTTCTCGAAAGATCCCTACTTTCATTGTCGAAAAACATTACGTAATGGAAGAGAACTTTGCCAAGATCTATATCTGAGTATGCGTAAACTTTCGAATCTGTCGCCTTTTCTTTCCCATGGTATTTCCTTTTCGGTTGACATCTTTTCTGGCGTAGAAGGCCTATGAATATTACGGGTGCAGTTGATGGAAACCCTAGATTCCATTACATAAAAACTGCATAGTGTTAGACTGTTTTTAGCACACCTTTTCAGATAACAATAGTGCGATCGCATCGAGCCGCCATGTTTGTTTTGTATGTTGATTCATGTTGACACTTTTAAAGCTCGCGCTATGTTCGCACCCAGATCTCGCGCGGTCAGAAAAACGCTATGGAGCCTCCATACTAGTTGCGCTCGTCGCGTAAGAATCCAGATAGTTGTGGCTTTGTGTGATGTCGTGTGGAAGGGTGACTTGTCCAGTATTCAGTCGGTATGTCTCGGTTTCTTGTAAACTGTTGTCCGTAGTGAGTTGTCGTCACGGCTTACCAGGCAGTTTAGAAAAGGCGGTTTACCATTTTCTTCGACCTCTCTGGTAAACTGTATGTCAGTGTTTGTCTGTTAAGGGTGTGTTGGAATGCGTCGATTTCGTCGTGTCGTACGGCGGTGAATGTGTCGTCAACGTAGCGTAACCAAAGCAGTATCATTTGTCGGCAAGTCGAAAGGGCGTTACAACAACAGAAACTGGAGACCCCATAGCTGTGCCGTGTAACTGTTTGTAGTGTTTACCGTTGTACTGAAAGTAAGTTGACGCAAGGCAAAGGTTTAGTAAGTCCATAATGTCCTCTGTCGACAGCGGTAGAGGGTCGGTAGATTTTCAGATCGCAATCTCAGTACATTGTAGTTCCACTTGAAGTGGAATACTTGTAAAAGTGATTTCACATAAAATGACACTAGTTTGTAGTTGTCAGGTATCTTTACAGTCTTAGTGGCGCTAATGAAGTCCTCAGTGGATTGTAATTTACGCCTGGATTTGTCGGTGAGCGGTTGTAGTATTGTCGTCAGGCACTTGGACAGTTGGCATGTGGGAGAACCACAGAAAAAAGCAATAGGTAGGAACACTAGGTTTGTGTGGTTTCGGCAGACCGTAAAGTTTCGGCGACTGTGCTACTGAGCACCTTCGCCGGTAGTAGCTTTGGGTGTCAATGGCATTTGTCTTCTTAAGTGTCAGTAATGTACTGTTAAGTTTGCGTTGAAGCGCAGGAGTCGGGTCACGTTTGAGTTCTTCGTAAGTTTGTTTGTCGTTAACTAGTGCGTCCATTTTGTACCGCTAGTCAGTCTTGACCATAACAACAGCAACTCGTCCTTTGTCGGCTGGTAGAATAACTATGTCCTCGTCGTTTTACAGTCATTTAAGGGCATGTTGTTCGTCTTAAGTAAAGTTGTTGCCATGTCGTGACGCTGATTGTATAGTGGAAGCAATTCTACTTCTGATGTTATCCTTAGTCGGCGAAGATAACTCTCGTTGCTGAGACAGAGCCGCCTCAACACTAGATACAATAGCTTCGGTCAGTATCCGTTTCGGTATAGCTGAGTGTTTCAGTCCGTATGACAGTGTGCGAGTTTCAGTCTGGTCTAACGGAAGGGAAGAGATGTTCCTTACCCAGTTGTCGTCCGGTTTACTTCGTCTCTGTTCTTTGTTACGTAGAAGTCGTGTCAGTTTCTGTTGATGCCCAGTGCGGGCACGTTCAGTCGCTTTGTTAGCTCGTGTCGGCAATATTCGTAACAGTGTCAAGTAATTCAGTAGGTATCAGTTGTTTCAGTCTCGTGTAGTTGTTGCGTTTTGTTTTTTATGTAGCGTTTTTGTAGTGTTAGAGTCTTCAACACAACAGACAGCCTACCCGACGAGAACAAGTACCTTGACCGTGTTTTTTTAAAGAACAACTACAACGAAGACTTCATCCGACGAAACACTCACCGACCTACTTCTACTAACGAGGCTAACGACAATGTAACTCCTACGACTACAGCAACCGCACATAAAGGACATATCTGAGAACATCTCGCGCATCCGAAAACCATTCAATATCCGCGTCGCTCACATACCCATCACCACACTATGTCAGTTACTGACGTTAAAGACAAACCGAGGAACAGACAGGGAGCAGGTTATAAGATCAATTGCTCCGACTGCCACGCCTCCTACATCCGTGAGACTGGCAGAAAACTTACAACTAGACCGACTGACCACAAACTAGCGACGAGGAAAGGCGATGTCGACAATCACATTGCTGAACATCACCGACTTACGAACCACACTACTGACTGAGACTCTCCGCAATGCCTAACCTACAGCACCAGCTACTTGCAACGACTGACTCTGGGAAGCTAGTTTACTAACTTGGAACAGACTCCCCTCACTAGGTGTCAAACACTACCGACATCATACAAACGACCCATTCCCGACATTAACGTTGCAAACGAACAGAGCAGAACGACCTAATTCTACTAACGGATCGAGAACTTCACGACTGACTTTCGCCAACAGCCACCAAAATCACGGCGAAACTGACCAATCAGTTTATACAAACCGGACTAAGAACATCCGACTGACAACAACTATTCACTTAACTCTCATGATGACTTCCGCTCAGGTTGTCGAAACGTCAGTCACCACTACCGACAACAGCCCTTCTCAGGACTGCACTCACCCAGACGATCAAACTAATTTACAAATCATTTACCGCATACAGTTCTTAGAATGTTAGTTCAGCTAATTTAGTACTGAATCAATTAATTATCCCCAAATTAATATTTTTCTTTATTCTCGTCACTTCTTTGGTTAATATTGTATTGATATTGTGAGGAGAAATTCTATCTTGGTCACTCATGGGTGTTAAAGGGTTAACTTGAGATTTCGTCCGGTGTATATCAGTGTGACCTCAAGCTCATCGGTTCTCGAGCGAGCGTGACATAAGTGCAAAGTGTTGTCGCGTATTATGGGAAGTCTGCATCTAGCCTCGTGGATGAAACTCTATCTTCTTCCACGTTCGAAAATTTTAAAAGATTTATCCCTCATAATATTTTTTAACGGAGACTAGTGAGCAGCATTAAGGAAGACTTCTCTCTTTTGTAACTTTTTGTTTATTTTTCCGACGCGTTTCTTCTCTATCTCAGACTTCTTCAGGGATGATTACAACTAACATTGAACAGCATCAGACCAGTTAAGCCTCTCAGATCGAAGATAAACCGGAAAAAAATTCCGACAGACCTGTTTGTGTTTTTGACGAAAACCAAAAACCAAATGCCAAAACGCGTAAAATCCGCAAACCGAAATTAACAGCAAGACCGAAAAACCGATCTAAAAATAGCCAAAACTACAACACCGAAAATCCCAATGCCACTTCGAGATTGAAGTATTCCTCGCTTGCCTTCGCCCACGACAGCACCCTTCGACACAGCCGTGAAAGTGACTACATGGAGTTTTGAGGCACAAAAAACTTTCAAATGGGCCTGCGCTCCGTTATGTCACGCAACTCTATTTTGGCTTGTCATGCAAAATTTCTAATTCTACTCAGCATGATCCGTGATTCGATCCGGTCCGATCCAGATCTTGTGGACGCCACATTTGCGACCGAAAAACATTACGAAATCAATCATATCCGCAAGGTTACTCGTTTCAAAAATGTACCACTGTCAGCTGAGTGAACAGTAAATTACTCGCGCTTGTTTATTGCAAATGAAACAAGCGGTAGCCTGAGAGAAGGACAGGTCATGAGACTGACCAGCATGTACAGTATAACACGCAGTGTCTTGGTTAAAAAAACGAACCGAGTCAGAGACACAATCGTGCTACGGAAATAAAGAGCACGTACTGTTTCTCAAATTACGACCTGAACTTTGACACAGGTAAATATTTTCACGCTCAAGTTACCCAAACTGTACCACTCTTAGCCGCATTGACTGTAGTGTCGTCATTCAGACACAAAGAGATTCCCTCTCTTTCATTGCCAAAGGTTAACTGAACTTTATTAACAAACACGTTACACATATAGAAGTAGAAGAGTTTACTGACTTCAAGTAATTTTACAGCATGCAGGTATTTCCAGTACAGTAGGATTACTGCGAGTAGTACATTTACTGAATTAAGTACAAAGTGCTCACCTTAGAACCCATACTAAGCTCGTTGTCAATAATTACAAGATAGGTGCATGTGTAATCAATACAATACATTAATATTTACATTATGAACGTAAAACAACAGGATTTCAAGCGAACGAAACGGAAACACGGTAAGCGCTGTGTAGTGATGTAAGATAACAAAACAAATGCAAACGGAGTCAGCCCTAACCAGTTTCCAGCTCATGAAAGTGTGCGGCAGCAGTGGAGTACATTTGTTCGAACAAGAAGAGAACCTAATGGTTGGACACCAGGTTCGGGTCACATTTTCAGCGATCATTTCTCAGCTGACAACTGCGAAGGATTCTATGCAAAAATAGCAGAATTTAAGCTCTAAGTAGTATGAAAGCAGTTCGCAGTTCCTTCTATTCAAGCGTCTTCTATTCCTGGATGGTGCATAATGCATCTGGGTACAAACGTGTTGAAACGAATATAATATAATATACTGATTTCAAAAATGAATCTGTCCAATTTACCTTCATAAGCATGTATGTTTATATTTTCACAGTATGTGAAACCAAAGCTTCGGAAGGTACGTGCTTTTTGCACAAAAACACTTCGCTTCCTTGGAATTAAAGAGAATGCACATTTGCTTTTCGGCTTAACTTGATCGCTCCTATATTAAATGAGCGACTGATTTTCAGATGCTTTATTTACAAGCGTAATGCACCCACCATTCGTCGCATCGTCGCTTTCTTGATTGAGGCGGCCGCGGAGGCACGAATTTTTCATCCTCTTCAGACTCTCGCGCTCTATTTTTGGTTCGTCCTGGCGGTTCAAACAACCGGGGCCTGATTCACCCAAAAAGCTCATAACCCTTTCATTATTTTCACCATCCATCGAGGCCTCAAAATCCGAATAATCAGACTCAGAAATCAAACTGCTCTTGTTCGAACTGCTAAGCGCCATATTTACTTTGCTCAGTATACATACTTTAGACGGTGTCAGGTCACACAATCAAAGTCGAAGCATTTATGGCGGATAACTCACGAAGCTGCAGTTATGACATTCTTTTGAGCGACAAAAGATACAAAGAGGCGTTCGAAGTAACCTGTGTCTGTTTCAATGTGTTTCCTGAGGCATTTAGATAGTGGTCCGAAAAAGTGACTCCGTGGCCATCAGTTACCCTTAAGCATAGGACGTTTCTCACTGGCGCTACGATTGGCGAGTCATTTTGACATTTTTATTCTTAGACATTTCTGTTGTTCTCCAGGGTTTTCTGCGATCTAAATAATAAACTCGTTCAAACCCCGCGTGGTCATTTGCTTTTCTACGCACTATCCAACATAATGTCGTGTTGGGTATACAGAGTAACGCAAAATATATTGTGTAAAAAATTTTAAAAATGTCAGCTAAGAAAAGAGATATCTGATGTGGATAGCTGAAACATGCGTACTAGTTTTATTAGAATTTTTACATGAAAATTTTCCCGTAGAGATAATATTTTATAATCTCGCATTGGACAGAATTTTTGAGACATTTCCACACGACGATCAACCTCTGGGTAGAAAAATGCTGCTAGCAACCAGAAAATTTGTGCGTCACATAGTTTTTTTCGAAAAGCTGATGAGCAGTTCACAGAATATATTTTCGGTGAATTAAAGGTTTTAATAATGCATTAATATATCAAGTGCCGAAAACTGTATTTCCACTTGGAATAGATCCAGCTCCTTAGACAAAAGCGATTTGGTGTAAGCGTTGCATAACGTGACCAAACAACGGTTGAAGGGGACTGAAACAACAGCTTATCAGACTCAGTGGAGATTGCAAAATCTAACAAGTTCTGAACGGCAACAATATTCCCCAAGAAATTCAATTCCCTTAAGAAAATTCACAAACAGAGTCTAAAACAGTTCTTAAATATGCGTTTCCGAAATAATGTGAAATTTACTCTGTTCACGAGTTTCTACGCCCCTAAGTGTTTGCACTGCTGACCGGTCTTATTATAAAAACCCGTACCATTCCAAAATTCTTGAAGCAAAAATCTTGAATAACAATCAGACACAACATCATTATTAATTCTTGGCAAAAAGCAAATCAATGTTTATACAGTCTGAGAGAGGGTAACGTTGTCCGGCGCTCATCAGTGGTTTGAAGCTGTCTCTTTCACAGCCTTGATAAATTCTCCTGTCATTTGATAGCACTAATGAAGGCGTGCGTTCATACCTTACTTCCACTGCGATGGAAATGGAAAATTTTCAAATCTGATATCAAGCTTTACCCTTCAATTTTCATTTTCTCTGTCGATATCTTTTACTGTTAGGCCTGTTCCAAACGTCGTGCTACTGCCGTGCCGAACTCAAATGAAATAGTAATTTCGATTTAAGCACGGCAGTAGCACGCCGTTTGAAACCATTAAGCGCGGCACGGCTGAATTAGGTTCGGCACGACTACTTAGCGCGGCAGGCCTTGCCGTGCCGCACGGCAGTAGCACGACTTGGTTTCAAACGTTGTGCTACTGTCGCGCCGAACTCAATTCATAAATTAATTTAACGGATTTTGCATTATTTGCATACTATTACGCATGCGCACTAATAAAAAAGACAAATCTACCCGTTTTGCCCGAAAGCTTGAGAGAAGAGGAATCCGACGGTGACAATAAATTGCTTAGGGTTAGGGTTAGGGTTAGGGTTTGGAAACGCCGGCACGATCGTAATACAGTAACTTGCTGGCTCTCGTCAAGGGAAACCAGAAGAAGAATAAATGAAAAAACTTTCAAAAGTAATCCTCTCCTTGCAATAACAGTATTCAATATGGACTGTTGCATTCGCCTGCGTTGCCTTCTGGCATTTAAAATTGTCTTAAACAAAACAAACTTCTCGCGCTCTTCGTTAAGGTTTCCCTCCGCCATTTTGGATGGGGCGATACCGCTGGATGGATGGTTTGTTTTGTCTTTTGAATTTGGCGCGACTGCATTAGGTTCGACGTTTGAAACCGCTGCCGTGCTATCGTCGTGCCACTGCCGAGCCAAATTCATTTGAGTTCGGCACGGCAGTAGCACGACGTTTGGAACAGGCCTTACCCGTTTTCTTACATTTCAACCATTCGAGTGTTTTGCGTGATATACTTATGAGTCGCTATCTTGTTTTGTGACCCGTTTCAGCTGTGTTACTCTGTTTTGTTATCCTCGTATCCCTGGCAATTTTGGTCTCAAAGTTCTCCTTTTGGATATCAGAGTCAGCGATTAAGTCAGGTTAACACGCAGCCAACCATCTCATTAGCAAGTATTTACGCTCGGACGAAAATAAGAAGTATGACAAGGAATAAATGAATGAGGAAAAAGTAAAAAAAAAAAATAAAAAAAAAAGGGAAAAAAGGGGAGAGACATACCCATATCTTGAGAGCCCGTTACTGTAAAGGGTTCCGTTTACCACGATAGGGCAGAGAAAAAGTACTAGAAACACTCTAAGGCTCGTCTTTCTCACTTTGTTGTGCGCCATCTCGGTGCACTAACACTGAGCTACATCTGATGAGCAGCAGCAAGACAACACACTTCCTCACTACGAGGACTAAGATCGGTCTTTGAGAGCGAATCGCTGTTGAACAGTTTATTTAAGACCCACTTTCTTCGTTGCTGGGAAACCATGTATGACGTGTCGTTTGAAACAGAGCTTCATCGAAAAGGGAAGCAGTTCATAGGGAAGTTTAAAAACTGTGTTGACTTGAAATTGAGAAGTTAAAAGAGAGCGGCCACTCTTTAAAAGCTGACAGTCAGATTGAGGCCAACCAGTCAAAATAGAATCCCAACAGGGTTTCAAGAAAACTGATCTAGCACGCGGCAACTAATCAGAGGAAGTTGATATTCGAGACTATTTCTCTATAATAATATTAATTAAAGAAAATTCACTGCAAATCGTAGTTATAAATTCCCAGTGTTATCAAACCTCGTAAATAACAATGGTTATTGTAACAGATCTCTTCATTTAAGTAATAGAGAAGCCTTGTCTGTGCTCTGTTCTGTTGTAAAGCACGCAAGAAGCGGCTAGAGCACGAAAGAAGTGTAGGGAGAAACACGAGACGTAGTCGAGTGTTTCTTCCCACTTCTTGAGTGCTCTAGCCGCTTCCTAAGCGCTTTATAACAGAACAGAGCACAGTCAAGGCTTCTCTATTTGTTTTATAATAAAGAATCTGTTAAATTACCCAAGCATGACTTTCACTTTTCAAAACAAACTTTATTTCCAAAGCGAACAACAGTGTCGTCAGCATGCTCCCACTTCTTGAGTGCTCCAGCCGCTTCCTATATGCTTTACTTAACAAATAGAGAAGCCTTGACTGTGCTCTATTCTGTTATAAAGCACGCAGGAAGCGGCTAGAGCACAAAAGAAGTATAGGGAGAAACATGAGACGTAGTCGAGTGTTTCTTTCCACTTCTTGACAATTTGGCAGATGGCGTGACAGCTTTAGCTCAGCTCTATGCTCTACACTCTCATAGAGCACGCTCTTTCAACCAGTGACAGCACGCGTTATATCCGAACTTTATTATAAACTCTCATTAAGCACGCTACAATAAGCCAATCATGATCCCTGTTAGAATGGTTCAAATAATCTGATTGGCTGTACAAGACTAAAACTGTCAAAAGTGTCAAACCATCAAAGTTCAAAAACTATCAAAGTTCACATTCTACGATAGTTTACAAACTGAAATAGTTCGGCGAGTCGAATTTAACACTTTTGCTTGAAGTTTTTAAGTCTCTGATACAGAATCTTGAAGTGAAATGTTCAGTGAACTTCAGCCGAATTATGGCTCATAAAAACACGCGAGTTTTTTCACATGACAGGGTAGAAAACAAACTATTCAAGGCGAGTGTTTTTTGAATGAACGACAGCTGAATTCACCGGAACATGAAGATCGCTCGTGATGACAGCGCCGCAAAACTCGGCTGCAGTGACTAATGTGACTTTCCACTCAACGTATCGGAAAGGATATCAGAGCAAGCTCTTTTTTTTTCACTCGAAGGGCGGTCGATTTATTTTCTAAGGCTTGCTTTACTGTGATGACCGGAGATCGCCATGATAAGCGAGCCGCGATGGACTTCAGCATGATTATATTCGCTCAGACACCGTCATGATTAGTATGAATTTTAACAATTATGCCAGTTTGGTTATATTTTTCATCATTTCTGTTTTGTTCTGTTTTGCTTTTAACACTGAACTTTATATACTATACGAGTGTTAGCTGTGTTTGATTTTTATTATCGTACGTAAGCTTGCAATTTAACTGAGCGTGGAAATCTTTAAAACTTGGAATGTTTATTTTGTATTTCCTTTGAGGATTTTCGTATCTGCTCACGTTTTAATAATGTAAATTACGGCGCCTGGTATGTTTACAAGCCTTTGTTTGATTCTTCTGTTGCTACTTGCCGGCTCGCTTCAGTTCCTAAATTTCACTTTCAATTATCGGAAAAAAGCTAAAAAGAGGTCCCGGTAAAGGTCGAACATAGTACAATTGGCAGATAGCGTGACAGCTTTAGCTCAGCTCTATGCTCTACACTCTCATAGAGAACGCTCTTTCAACCAATGATAGAGTGCGTCATATCCGAACTTTATTATAATTAACAAATAGAGAAGCCTTGACTATGCTCTGTTCTGTTATAAAGCACGCAGGAAGCGGCTAGAGCACGAAACGTAAAAAAAATCGAATGGCGCCTTTGGTGTACTTGATATATTCACTTAACAGCTATGTAAAAAATAAATTGTACGTTTATTGGGTTTACACGCCCTTTCAGGCCTTTTTTATTGTTACTTTAATTCATTCCTTTCTTTTACAAAAAAATATGGGTTCCGCAGGCTTCGGAGGTTCCGTGGTATGTTCATCCAAAGTTTAGTAACACCCTTACACGGCTCAATATTAAATAAATAATTCTTTAAAGCTGTTGCTTTTTCCTTTACGGATATACAGTATTTATGTCCACAGCGAGCAACGTGAAGACTTTGCAACTTCAATAATGGCAGCCCAAGTTCCAGAAAAAGAAAAGTGAGGTTATTCTAAATTTCTTAAAGTCAGTGGGCTGTAAGCGCAGCAAATTATTCAATTATTCAAAACAATGTGATCAAAATAAACTTGCCAGCCGTTTTCGCCGTTTAATGAACTTTTTGCCAAGCTCCCGCTGTATTTCGCCGGGCATTGAGTTATGGTTCACGTTCATGGACTGCAGCGTAGGAACATTATCTTTGAAGCCAAGTATTTTCAGCGGCAAAAGAGGTCGTCGTTCGTTTCAAAGATTGCTAATAATGAACTTAGGTACAGCAAATATTTCAAATAGCGATGAAATATGCAATCTAACCGGTAAATGGTTTACTGACGATTCGATCCTGATTCAAACGCCTTATTTTAGGTTTTTAACTTTCGGATTCAAAACCTCTGGACATCGACCACAGAGACAAAGTTTTATTTCGTATTTGTCCACTTGTGTGTAAACGGCAAAACGTATACCGGATTCGTTACGAATCCAGAACAATTTCGGCCGAAGATATAGTCTTAACAGATCATAAATCAGGTCATCGATTTATGCGAGAATTGCGTTCACGTTTCCACTTTTTTCCAGTGTTGTGCAAAATGCAAGCATTCGAATGATAAAATTACTTCCACTCGCTAATATCATGCAACCAATTTGAAGCTTAAAACTCGTTAGGGATGGCGTCTTGAGGGAGTTTGCTAAATTGAATCATTACTGTAGGTATTTAGTAACAACACACATTTCAATACGGGACCCGTGAAAGTTTCAATATAAAACCCGCTTCTTCATGATCTATCTAGAGAGCATGTATATTTTTCAAGACCATATAATTCTGTCATGAGAGCATTGTCGACCCGAAATAGTTTTATCATATGTACGGACGATAGCATGACTGTGATATAGTAGATGCCCGTGGAGCTCAACTTTCAAATGCTGAAACAACACCCAGCTAAATGAAAACGTTGATGCTTATCTTCAGTCGCCATGGTTGAGGTTAGAGGTTTGGGTTTATGTAGCATGACACCCTCTACACGTGAAATAACACCTTAACTAAAAATAACAGTAATTAAATATAACCTGCTCATGGTTTCCAGCGTCCGTATGGTATCAAGGAAGTTCTTACTGATTTAGGATCCGTTAGAGCGTAATCAAAGCCAGAAAGGAAAGAAAAAAAAAAACAAACATGTTTTGAACGCAAACCATGAAATACTCAGACATCTATTTTTTGAATACGAGACTCATGCTCACTTGCTCTGACAAAGGAATAGCGTCAGAACGTCATCTTTTAAACTATTAGCGGTGGCCGTTTTACGTTATCAACTCGGTTCTAAATTACTCTTTTATACTCTCTCACTAACGCAGCACCACAGTTTCTTTAGAAACTTACCCCCTTTATTCATTTATCAAGGGTTTAGCCTTGGAATATTCTTCATCTAAGTTAACCTTTTAAAATGAGCTTCATCTCAGTCACATTAAGTATAGTAAACTTTCATGTCCTAATGCATAATCAAGATGATCTTGGCCATGCTCTTCAAAAATGCCTTCATAGTTTATTTTTATTTCATTCTTATTGACAAAAGAGTTGGTTCATTAGTCTAATCGAGGAAAACATTTTCTTTCTTACGGTCTTTCGTGAATGGTAATCTAAATTTTCAGCAAACAATCATAGTCTGTTTGAAGTCTGGGTTTTGCCGTGTGGCCTCTATGTCCTAACAACATTTATCAGTTTTTTAAAGACTGTCCTAAACAATCAATAGTTGCCCGATAATATGCGGAGATTGCATTTTTATATCTTCGAAGATAGTTACAGAGTAATATAGATATGTTACCAGCAATGCAACAATTGATATTTGTGTTGTTCTTTTGTTCCCTGACGACTAAGCCGTAAACAATAACTTTTCCGCGAGGCTTTTAACCTGCTCGCAACGACCCATAAAGGGAAAACGGGAAAATCGACAGCGTAACAGAGTTTCCCGATAACTGGTTACTGATATCAGTCTGCAAGAGGAAGGAAGAGTTCAAAGGTAACTCATATTATACTTGACTTTAATCTTAAGCGTTAAATGAATGATGAATTAATCTCTTTTTTCCCATGACGCCAGAAGCCTGAACAACACTGAGCAAAGTATCGTTTATTTAGAATTGTCACGCTGATCATGAGGTAATGGCTGGGAAGGAATCAAGGGAATCAAATTTCTACGGGTGAGCGGGACGTTCGAGGGTCGACCATTTTAATTCTTTCTTTTTATTCCTGATTGGGCACCCTTTCTCTTCTTTAACCTCAATCTCTAAGCCCCGTGGTCAACACAGAAATTCTCCTCAGTAATCTACATACGTGTTCACGTGACAAATGGTGACAATTTGTCAAGATCAGCGCTATTTCTTTTTACTCATCTGTCCCTTGATTTGCGTGATCTTTACTCATGGCTAAGTGCTAGTATTTTGAAGAGGAGTTACATTATCACTCAAGGGACTAAAAGGTTAAAATAATATTTTCAGCCTACAAGACATTTCAAGATATCAAGAATCGTAACGTATCCAGTGACCTTTTGTTTTCTGTTAACAAGTCAGTTTACGTTGGCGGGGAGGTGTTTGATGCACGCCGACCATTCTAAAAAAGAATCACGAAACGCCATTGAAATCGTTACACTTTCGTGCAAAGCCCCATCAGGGTTTGACAGATGCCGTAGCTTTTGGGGCTGCTCCATAAAGAAGCGATGCTACGTCAACAGTCTACGTCACGCCTTTTAAATCCGTTTTCAAAAATAGCTTCAAATCGAAGGAATTTCAAAAAGAGAAAAATGAAACAGGAAAGAAATTAGATAAACCGTAAAATTCAATCTTTAGAAAACTTTGTAATAAGCGATTGGAGAACATCTAAAGCTACTTATATGAGAGTTCCTTGTAGTTGAATTACTACAATACAACTATTTTCCTATCACTGTAAAACATAACAGTTTTCAACTGTCTGAGAAAAATACCCCTATCGCTTACCTTCACGGTTTATGTATTTTATAAAAATTTTATAAACCTACATTTTTCAAGTTCGTCATCAGCAATCCGTTTTAATCTTTACCATACTGCACATCCTTGTCCCTATTTGGTTTTAAATTATATCCTCTTTGTGTTTCAGTACTATCTCACTTTGATAGACAAACAAATGAAAATATTAAGGTAACTCTTTAAAGATTTATCACACAATAAGGTTCAACTTTCAGAAGTTCTTTGCTTACTTGAGTAATTTTGTTTCCTTGAGTTTTTTTTTTTTTCACCATAAACTGAATACGAAACGTTTCAACTCTACTTTCTCGCGCTCAATACCCACCACATTTAGCCAGCTAATGGTAAATAAATACTTTCGATTATTATGTTATATTCGCACACTGTTGGGCAACTATACCCACGGAACAACTGACCTCCCCTCAACCACTACGTGTTTTCTGCATAGGTCAAGTTCTTGTTTATGGCAGCAATTTGGACAAACACTATTACAGTAACAACTACACCGAATTAATGTAAGATAAAACCTGAAGTGATTCACAGGCTAGAATCTAACAACTTTTTCTCAAAAGTTCATTCACTAAGGAAATAAGAAAAAGAAGATTAAGAAGTTCTAGTCGGAAGAGGAACTTCCTTTACTTCCATTTGATTAATAGGAATAGTATCTCGAGTTCAAGACAAAAATTCTGTGTTAATCCACGCCTTCAAATCCTTGTGTATTCTCAATGGCCAATCGCAATTTCTCCCGAAGTTCGTAGTAAGTTCTGTAGCGAGGAAGGTCCAGCCTGTTAAAACTGAGAGAGGTAAGGGAATGATGAGAAACGAACTTGGGACTGATGAGAATGTGTTTCTGTTTAACAAAAACCACAGCTAATCATCTAGAGTAAACTCGTATCGAAACTGCAAAAATAGTAACACCGACTGTGTAATAAGATCGTCCAGGAGGGGGGAGCCTGAGAAGGAATATTGTCAGTTGACAAACTGAACGGAAAGCTACCGTCAGAGTCAGTTCTCGACAGAGAGACAGAGAGACAGACTCTAAGATGTGACCCAAGATTTCCCTATCCGGTTTAAATCGCCCCAACAACTAGACCGTGTCTCACACAAGAAAATATCCCTTCTCAAATTTGCCTAATCCAATGAAGTGAGAAAATGCTTCCGGATAACTTGACCGAACACGGTAATACGTTCATTAGCTGTCTCCACAAGAAGAAAGTAATAAACTTACCAAGTATGGGCCCTTGGGAGGGAATGAGGGGTACCCCAAGGTTCAATAGTGAATTTCTGCGGCCCATTGCTGCCATATAGCTCGGTAAACCCGTTCATGGGGACACGTGATGTTCCTGTGACAAACTGCAGGAGTCTTGCGCGAGTCTCCAGGTCAAAAGACGCCACAGCCTGACGGGAAATAATGTAATATCAATACAAGATTTACACGAATATCACATTCGGGTATTTGCAAACAACAAAGGTTTACTACACCAAAAGAAGGAAGAAATTAAAAATAAAATTTAACATTACATTTTTTCCCCTACTAGCGACAATATCGCGGCTATTAAAATGTTTATTTGACTGTCCATATCACTTCGCAGAGTTTGTTAAAAGCAAGGCAACTACAATGTCGTTGACGTATTTTTTTTTCGTATTGAGACTTCCAACGTTTAAGTCAAATCTCGTAGTAGACAAGTCAACTTAACAAAATAAAGCCACTATTAATGCGTCAAGGGTATCACAAAAAGTTAACCCTCTATCTGGTAATCTATTTTATAGAGAGCACCAAAACGTTTTAAACGACTGCAACACATACGACGGTGATCGTAATTCGTACAAGATGATACACAATAAACAGTGTTTTGTTGTATATAAACGAATGCTGATGAGTCATACCTTCCAAAACCACACGATTACGCTGTGTTTATCACTATATTCTCCGCGGTAATTCGTGTTCCTCCGCCAGTCATTGATGTCGATCTCACCCAAGCCGCACATAAGGAGCTAAATGGAGAACATCATGAGCGAGAATCAGCAGTTTGTTTCGTTTCTTTCATTTAAGCGAATGAAGAAACAAATTCAAAAAAACTGGCACTGGAGGAATACCCAAAAAAATAAGTTTTCCACCCACCCTTGCACACGATACTTAAAGAATTCACCTCAAACCTAGTTCTTCTCTACTCCGCCTCATGAGACGACTGAGAGCTACTCAACTTCAAATAGGGTTTTGCTGGAAAGTGCTCTTAATTACATCTCTATCTCCTTCTGGGTGCGTACGTACTACACAATTACAAACGAAAAAAAGTGTATCCACCTCTAATTCTCTTTCGTCAAATATTTGAATCAAGTTGTGAGGTATAAGCTCTCCAAATCCCTAAAAGAAGAAAAAAATAAGTTCCAAATCGAAATCTTTAAAGAGACTGTTACATTAAACAATAGCAACCACCAAGGAGAGAAAAATATTGCCCTACTTAACATATAATTACTATGTGAAATCCAAATTAATGCTTATTTCATAGATTTTTACCTCCATGAACTTTCTCATCTGATCCTCGACGCGGCTTACGAATCTCCATTTAATGACAAGACTGTGGAAAGGAAAATAAGAACAAAAAATAACTTCGCAAAAAATTATTTTCTTTCTGAAATGACGTAGCAAATGCAAGAAGTACACAAGTCAACAAACAAACAGACAAACAAAATAAGCCAAAACAAAAGCAGAGACTTTGATATTGTCGTCCGGGACATTCACACATTCGCACGAATAACTGACATAGTTGATGATCACGCTTCTGTTACTTTCATAACTTGATGGGTTTTTTGAAATCATAATTTAGACGATGGTTCAATAAAGAAAGAAAAAAATAATAAGGCCCGCAATAAACTTTGCTAAGCTTCGTAAAGTTGGCAAGAAATGTAATGGAAGTGCCAGAAATGTGATAAGGTTCGTAGGTTCTTGTAGTTCTTAAGTCAAACTTACTTGATGTATTCTCTTTTGTTTGCATTGGTGACTTTAATGTCTGATCCACCGGGCTTAAGATCTTTTACCGTTACCTAGAAGTGTAAAGACAAATATAATTTGCAACCGTTGCATCAAGAAGAATAATTCACACACGTACAGCTAACGGTACAACCAGAAAGGTTGTCTGGATGTGACCAGACCAATGTCCGGATTTGGTTATATGAAACGAGCAGAGGTACTGGTTTGGAAGGGACAAAAGTCTTTTTCCAGATTAAGCACACCCTCTCTAACTCCACTCAATTCGATCCGCTAGTCTTTAAACCCTTGAGTAAATCGAGGGCCGAGAGGATATATAAATATATATATTTTTTTTGCATAACTAATTAAAACAAAGACCGTTGTGCTTCTTCCTACCTGACCAAACAACTCTTCATCCACACTAAAAGTCAAGTCTAAATCCTCTGGGTCATTTTCCAAGATCCAGTTCAGGCTATTATAGTATTCCGAATCCTTGGAAAAAATTATTAACAGGTCAGTAATGCAACACCAAGGCTTTGACAATGAAACGCTACACAGAATGGCCTATGATGATAGCAGCGTGACAACTGCTCGGCCCAAGCTAACTTAAATAAGACTGACCAATTCGATTACAATACGCAATAAATTAATTACATGTAAATTCTTTGCCATGTCTTTTTGCGCTGGTCCTAACCACTGATTGACACATAGGGACCATGCCTGAGGCATTATTCGTTCTCCACGTTTTGCTTGGTGAGTGTTCTTTAAGTTAAAGCGATAAGAAACGTGGCAATTTAGGATGTGTCAGTTGGGAGTGAATTCTCTCTTATATAGGGGATTCAGAGCACCAATTAAAGACAAGAGAAAAGACCTCAGCGAGGGGCAAATATCGATCTCCCATTGTCTATCAAGTTTTAAGTTCATTTGTCGGCTTCCAGACGTTTTTAAACTTTTAAAAGAGATACTACCCGTTTGTATTGGAACAATATTAACCCAAAATAACAGAACTTTTCTGCGGAAACACGGCTTACCACACTTTCCATGTCAACAAGAGTGATGGGTTTACCCAACATCATTTTGTAAAATGGACGAATAAAAAAGGCTGCAGAAAAAAGAAAAAAAGAAAAAAAATTGAACTTTACACCTGTACATCCATTTAAATAAGTAAAAGAAAAAAAGGCTATGAAAAACAGATGAGAGAGACAATGCAAAGGCAGCAATAGCCCTCCCCAGCTGCAGACAGCCTTTGCGCTTAGTCAAGAAACTCAAAACACCAGTTTTACCATCAAGTAGTTTTCCATGGTACACGGCCATTCCAGCTAAACGGCCAATAAACTTGAAATAAGACAGATGTTCCTCGTTGCACAAACCAGAGTTTGGGTTTATTTGCAACGTGTAGTTATCACTAGAAAGTAAATAACAGAAAAAATTAAGAGTCAAAAATAGGTTATCCCTCTACAATAAGAAAGAAAACACCTTTCACTTATTTTTCCGTCGGTTTGGCCAACGACCGTGAGCCATGAAACGCTCTTGCGCCACTTTTTCCTTAGCAAATTTATAACTGATAAGTCATCAAACTACAACTGAATGAACAAGCAGCAAAATGGAATCTAATACGTAGATTATTCCACTCACCTTGCTGAATACTCAAACAGACCATAATATGGATTGAACACTTCCTTGGATAGCAAGTAAAACCACTCCCTGTTCGAGAGAACGAGAAGTCCTCGGTAAGCAATGTATCAGGATTCCTTTCCTTAGGAGAATTTGGCCCAATAAACTTGTAAATGGAAACATTATGTTCCTCTTAATCCTTTCAATTTCTGTCATACATAGTTAACATGTGCTCATCTGAAAATATATCGTCAACACCCCAGGTCTAGTCGGTATCCTTAAAACAGTACAACAAATTCCGCTGATGACGACAAACGATGCACTATGTGAAAGACAGCTTCATACTGAGGGAATGAAAATCTGCCATGACAACAAAATGTTCCTGATAGGATACTTTACCTTTGAAGCCCTCCATAATCAAGTCCAGTTTCCGAATCAAAAACAATCCAGAGCCTCGTCTTGAGTAGCTCAGTGTTTGTGACAGTAACAAAGACACCTCGATATGAATCTAACAGAAGATTGTTTCTTCTCACATGAATTTCATATTTATTAGGAACGTTAACCTGAAAACAATTAAGACGAAGAATAAAATGAATTTCAGTGTCCCCTGAAGGTCACCATGACTTCATTAAGAGTAATAAAAAGTAACAGCATGAGCTTCTAGTGCAACTTAGGGTATTGTTGTTGAAAGTGGATTGGCACTGTTCACGAAGACCGTTGATTAACAAAAATAATTATAATCATAAGTGATAAATGGAAAAGGAAACGTTCGTTAACTAATCTGAATAAGCTTAAATCAATTTTATGAGCATGGCTTGGAACTATCCAGACAATTTTTTGCTGCTTTATTTGTCCTTCTTGCATTTCTCTATGACAAAGTCATTGCGATTGCATGAAAATTTGCCGTGTAATGAAATATTACGTAAGTTTAAACTTTCTCCCTTGCATTAAGAGAAGGCGAGCCATTAACCATAGGCATGTCTTCTTTGATTCTTACCGGTCTCTTCAACTTGGATCTGAAGTAATCGCACTTTCTCTTGAAATCTCGAGAGTAAGGCACAGCCTGGGGAAACAGGAAATACAACTTTCTAATTATTTTAAGGTTCTACTCATTGTCAGTTATTATGTGTGTCACTGATTCAATTACAATGAGCCACTTATAAGGTCCCACCTTCTTGTAACTGGCACGGTTTCCGTCTCGACAAATATTCAGACACTAGGTTTCAAGCATTTATAAGTTATACTGAAAAATTGGTATCCGCAACATAGCAGGAACTATTACGGCCCTGGTTCTACTTCAGCCTTTGACTTTGGCGGATAACACAAACCTCGGCCATTATTACACTCCCTAACATCCTTAACCTCATCTAGTAATCGCTCTAATAGTATATATGTTCATGCGGGTCAAAATTTTTAACCGGATGATAGGGGGAAGTTAACCTCTGGATTCCTTAGTTTTAGTTGATAGTACCGAAAAGAAGTAAAACAGCATAGCATCATCAGCCGAAAATTGTTAAATAGAATAGTTAAATAAGCTTCAGTCCCACCTGGGCTGGTTTGCTGTTAATCTGAACTCGAGGATCTTCCCACTGAGTAGATTTTGTATCTAAAAACAATTTTTACAGAAAATCAAACACATGCAACGATTTACTTATATAGTAAACCAACTGTTGATATCAAACACATGACAATTTACTTATTATGCAAACTGTTAGTATTAAGCGCATGCGGTGATAATTTGCCCATACTAGGTTCATGGACAAGCATACGGCATACTGCTATAATTAGCGATGTTGAAAGCGTCATGTGTGGAAATAGAACGATGACTACTCACTATGATCAATATAAAAGACTCTGCCATCTTGGTGAACTCTTTCCTCCCAGCCATCCTATGAAAGAATAGCAGATAAAATTGTTAGAACGCATTTCGATTGAGTATTGTAAAAACCAAAGCCAAAGTTATCAGAACGGCCTGTCACAATAAAGAAAAATACCACAAGGAGCCAACAAGGGCTAAAATTAAAAACAGGCAAACTATCCAAGACGCGGGAAAACGAGGATTTTTCTTACTGGTAAGGGTCCAAGATCTCGGCTAAGGGTTGCTGATCGTCCAATTTCTGGTGACATGGACGGTCCTCCACTGGTATGGTGATGTAGTCGAGGATCACGCTAAGACAAAAACATTCAGGTTGATAATGTTTGACTACAAACCATCAATTAAGCAGCAGTAATGCTACTCTAGTATTATACAGGTCTTTGAATTTCTTCGAATTTGATTGCTAATAGCGCGCTCGAAACCGGTCTAGCTTTTAATAAAACGGACAACTGTACGGTCCGCATTTTTTTCCGCGCCATTCGCGGCAAAGTAAAAAAAAAAAACAAGCAAAAAAAATTATAACTTATTTACCAGTCTGGATTGGTACATATGGGAAAAAACTGTACCCTTGGGTACATACTGACCTCACGTCCGGCAAAGGAAATACATGTATATATCATGTTTAGTACACTCACCCATGTTGTTTTTCTGGTATTGTGATCAATGAAGAAAATTCTGCCATTTGGAGCCGTTTGCATAGCCCAGCCAGGAGGTAATAACTCTTCTGGGGGACTCTCCTACAAATCATGCAATGTTCAAAATAGATATAAATTACACAGTCTTGTCAATATTTACACAGTAGCTTAGAATTGTCGAAACCATTCTTATCTTCGTTTAACTCATTTTTATTTCTCCATGCTCCACATGAATGATAATTATAATCATGAGCCTTAATGAAGGAAATTACTGTACATCTAAACGTTAAAAATAGGTGATGATATTAAATAAATTACAACAAACCAGGCTGGCACCAGTCGAGTTATTAGAAGTCTGTTCAGAACCGTCAACACTCAGATGTCGTCGTATTCTGAAGTTTCTTTCTCGCCTTTCATCGTTTTGCTGAACCTCCTCTTGATGTCTTGATCCACTATAAAAGATAATTTTTCAACAGTACATGTATGATTGAAGAAATTCCTCTTGCAAACTGCAGTTTCCTTTTTCTGCTTTTATTACTAGGTTCTCAATCATCTACGTGTCCATGGATGTTAATTTTTTATTCTTGAAAGGAAACATGGTTATAGTATGTAAAGTTATGCTACATAACAGTACACTACAAGAAACAAAGTTATGAAAGGAACAAAAAGAACATAAGGCAAGAAGGAAGAAGCACATCTTAAAAAACATCCACATAGGAAACAATTTTCACAACATTCGTTTTCAAAAGCAATTGTGCCTACACAAGAGACCTTGTCTTTGGGTAAAAGATGGAAATTGCTGGGCTTGGTACATCAAGATAAGGCCAAGCTTGGAAACCACATATTTTAGTAGGATTAGAACATGAAATAGAGTGTAGTCTTGTTATAGTCAGTCTCCTCATGGTTTAAGAGAAATTGACCTTTCACATCTTTACAAATTAATTGATTAAACAATGATTACTTCCTTCTTCTTAAAATGCAGTCATATCTGCTAAATGTACACCATTTTAATGTACATACAGTTTATGCATATGAATGGAGACTGATACTAAGAACTAACCTACTCCTGTTGGGGCGTCTCCAAGATGTTGTCCTGGTTGCATGATCTATGTAAAATGTTCTACCAATAGCATCCTTGAAAATATGCAAAACAAAAAAAATCAATTACGAATTGAATTTTTTTTGAAGTTTCATAGATTTCTTTTTGTTTTATAACCTTTTTTAACTATGATGATTGAACATCACTAACCTGTCTCTCTTCCCAACCTTCAGGAAGGGAAGGCTCCTCTTGTCTTGAAGTTTGAGTTTCCTCTACATCTGGAAGAGACTTCACAGTAAAGCCCAGAAATTAGAAAATAATTTCAGACATAGTCATGGGTTTTCAATACCTTATAGTGATGCATTAGTACATTGTCTGGAGGAAATAGATTTTCTCAGGCATCTGAAAAAATTAATTCCAGAAAAATCTTTCCAAAATAATAAAACAAATCTTAAAAAAGCTTCTTCAATTATCTATATTTAAACCCCAAAATTACACTAAAAACACTTCAAAAGGTGCAAACAGAAAGCATACTTGTAGGCTATATGCAACTTTTTATAATTTTGCTTTTTGCATACAATGTTGTGGATGTAACTTCAAAGGAGCACTGTGAATACATTCAAAGCCATAAATGAAGATAAAAATAACATTACTACAAAAAAGCAGTTGCATTAAAACTAATTTATGTGAGCTTTTGAAAAGTCATGAAATTTATTGGTAGGCCTCAATCATCTCAAAACATCAAGTGCTATCCTCAGAAATTCTGAGAAACAATTTTTGATAATCAAGGATTGTGTTTTGAAGGACTGCAAATTGACATTTTCCTGGTGCTGTTTATAACCCACAAAACCACAACATGACCAACCTGGACTCGCTGTGGTGATGATGACAATGCTACCATATCAGCTGGTGGTGGTGGTGCACTAGGCACAGGTTGATCAACCTGGATAGTGGTAGTCGGGGGTACTAAATTGGTGACATTTGATACAGGAGTTTGGTAATGATCATCAACAACTCTGAGATTAGAATCTGCATTCATGTTTGATGCTGTAAAATAATGATAACTATAACTTTAGTTCAGTTTGTTAATACATGCCTCAAGGGCCAAAAAAAAAAAACCTAAAAGCATTCATCTAAAGTAACAAAATGGCCTTACCGGGAGTTGTTGAATGAGAAGATGACTGGTCCTCTGATGGAAGGTATGATATCAATAGCTGCAAATGGCCTTTAACTCTTGATTTATTACTGGTGAAAGGGATACCAAAACATCAATAAAGTTAGTCTCCAATAAATCATTAAATATGACAATCACAAAGTTTCCTTAATTTTCTTTCCTGATAACACATTTACACCTGACACACTTCAAAGCTTAAACAAAGACATTAGCCAGCAACATTTTCTCTCTTTTTTTCTTGGCAAATTTTATTCAAGTCAATGTGTACACATATTTTTAGTACTGCCAAAACTGTGGAAGAGAGTCACATTTTTGTCATTTTGAACAAAGAAGCACCTACCTTCTGGGTCTTAAGTTGTAATATCCTGGTCTGATTTCCACATTTGAACCTTCAGTCTAAAACACAAGAAATGCTTTTGGTTTATGGATGATATTGAGTACATGTACATGTCACCAGGTTTGAGGGAACATTCACATCCACTCCATAAAAAACCAATCAGAGATTAGAGGGGGGGGGGGGGGTGAGGAAAGGAAAATAGGCACTGCACTACATGCATGTTCAAAACATGTATGTACATGTACAAGGTAGATTGGATTCTAGTACGGCCTGGTTCACCCTGCTTCCAGACCCTCCTCTTCTTCTCCATTTTCAATTTTTTTTCCTCAGTCTTCAGAGGTATGCTCAATTTGATGAAAACAAAGCCGGAATTAATACAATTAATTACCATTACCTGATTTTTGTTACAGAAAAGAGCTTAAACTATTATCAACTGCTGCAATGCACTTACTGGCAATATACCCAAGGGTAATTCAACCTCTCCAAGAAAGTCATCTCTTGTCTAAAACAAACAACAAACATTGACTCATGAAAACCAAAAGTGCAGCATTTATTTACCTCAATTTGCAACTGATTGTAAGTACATGTATATAGTGTAGCTGCCCACAGTGCATCCTTAAGTTTAAATAATTACAACACTGTTCATTTATATTTTATTCTATGGTTTGACTTTTTAGTAAATGCATGTGCTTAATGAGAAAACATTTATATATATGTATATCAAATGTTAAACCATACTTCAGAACAGTATTTTGGGTTTAAATGTATTAACTCTCTAGTAGTTAACATGGCATAAGAGGATAACCTTAACAACAAAACAGTCTCTGTTTGTCTCTGCTTTCTAATAATGTCTACCTTTCAAGAGTTCTTCTTAAAAATTCAAGTCCAAAGGATCCAAAAAAATGAAAATGTTGTTCATTCAATTACACCACACTTTAAATTTTCTCTGTTTTCTATCCTTACCCACTGTATTTGCTCATGTAAAATTACACATCCAAACCACTTTAAAATCTTGGAGTTCATTTGGTGAAATGATGTTAGATAGGAACAATAAAGAATGCATTTTCCATAAACTGGTGGTTTTTTTTTCAGTCCTAAATATAAAGCTTGTAACTTTATCATCCACTTAGGGCTAGCTATGGGTAATTACATATTTAAAATCAATAATAGAATTTACAAGTTCATTAAAGTGCTGAATAATTGTTTTCAACAATTACTTACAACTCTATTTTCATCAAAAACTTCAAATAAAAGCCTGTTATCTGAAGGGTTAACCTGAAAAACAAAGAGAAGTGAGTTTGATAACCATTGTTATCAATGATTACTTATTGGCAAAAGAGTTAAAATAATTGGTGCATCATGTTAAAACAATAAAGGGATTTTATCATCTTTAAAAAACCTCATTCAAATATCAGGGTGATTTGCAAAATTTGTTATTGCAGACTTGAGACACAGTCAAGGGTTTGACTCTTCAGAATTCTCTCAAGTTTGAACTTAGATGGGGCTAGATGTAAGTAACCACAATTGTGCCTTCTTAAATTATTTGCAAATCATTTGTTATTCTAATATAAATCACAATTATGTTTACATGTACATGCTTTTCTCCATGAACACCTAGAAAGGTGTACCTGTAAAAGCCACAATTGCATCTAAGTATGCATATCAGTGTTAAAAAAGAATCCTGAACTCTTACCCTAAAGAAAAATCCCTCATTCCAGACAGGGTGTAAGGTCTAAAATGAAAGAAGAGGAAGACCTTGATAGTGCATACACTGAGGTCCAAATTTTACTACATATGCATGTCCAGTGTATTTGAAATAGCTCATTCTACAAACTAGAAATAACAACTTAGAAATAAACTGTTTACCTTAACCAAAAGGATAATGTCCCATTAATACTGAAAGTAGTTTCAATTACATAAACAGCTGCTGGTGAGAAAATTTGTTTTTCACTATCAGGTAAAATTTTAGGCCCCTAGAATTATCCTCTGTTAACTGGGCACAATATGTACAGGAGCATGAACAGCATGGTACAAAGCTATGCTTTTAGAGATTTCAATGGGACATTGAAATCCTGAGTAATCTGTCTGCACAAACCTGGAATACCCAGCTCTTAAGAGCTTTGTTTTTTAAGCAGCTTTACACAAAATGCATAAAAGCAAAAGTTGCAGTTATACAGTAGTTGCCTGTAGCCCCAAGGCCATTTTAGACTGCAGCCACGTAGTAATACACACTCTGTATATGCTAGAGGTATTCTTGCCTTCATTTGAAAACTTGACTGAGCAAAAAGATCAAAAGAGTGCTCAGATCGTAGATTTGAGATCTTATACTGTTTGGTAGAGAGTAAGGCAATTCCTAGATAGTAAAAACTCAATATCATGCCTTCCAATAACCTCAACTATGGTCCAAACCCCATACTATGGACCTGTACCAAGATACCTACCCCAAGGATGTCAGACTAGAAAAATAGGGTGTTGATAAAAGAGAAGGGTAAGACAATTGAAGGAAGTCAAAAGAAGACCTGGAACTTCTGGTGAGTAAATTACATTTAATTTAGTTATTATATACAATGTTTACGCATTCCTCTATAATGGGTTATTCTGTACCTTTTCTAAGCCACAATGTTATAACCTCTGAGATAACTCACAAATACTTGTCCAATATTATCAATTTAAAAACAGTACTGTATCTATGCTCAGCATCACAATTCAAAATCAAAATAATACACTTTACCCTTACCTTTTTGATAGTTTCAGTAACAACACTATCTATCTCTCCAAACTCCCGATCTCCTCTGAAAAGTTTTACTTTACAGTAAGGATCACTAAAGAGGATGAAACAAAGACAATATGATTCTACAAACAAAGGAAATCTGAACCTGTAAAGTGTGCAGCCACATAATACTTTTTAGTTTAAATGTCTTTGTGGTTTAAAATTTAAAATTTAGTTTCTTTTTTCTTGGGTTATGGTCATGAATTACCATCATTAAGCAAACATTAAATTTTCATACATTGTAAAAATTTGCACTAAAATTTTAAATATACCCATTAATTAAAATGTGGCCATAAACGCTGTAGAAAAAGAAAGCCAACCACTACAGTTCTTTTTGAGTATCTAAAAAGTGTATTGATCTTCACATTGAAGAGTTCAAGATTTTATTACAAGGAACTTAAGTCAGAGAGGATAGGATTTCATACTTTTCCATGATGGTCAACCTGAAAAAACAGACTGAGATATTATAAAGTTTTCTTGTCAGAATTATGGCTGCTAGGCTCTGCTTCTAAATCAACACTATTAAAATGGCTTATTTTAACATACAGGAGATAACCTTTGGATTTTGCTGAGGACCACAATATGACATAATTATGTAAATTTTAGGGTAGAGACTATCATATGTGTGACAATAAATATTCAATGTAGTAAATAATTTTTGGGAAACCTTTCGTGTTCCATGTTTTCCAATCAATAATGCAAGTAAACATTGAGACTTATTACGTTCCAACTAGAACATTTTGACAAGTCCAGATGGCAAATTTTAGGTTTGCAGTTGTGCAACTACGTAAACATCACTTACGTAGAAAACTGAAAATACCTTAACCAATTACAAGTTCAAAATTGACTCGCAGTAAAATGACTATAACCTACAAACCCTGTGACTATACGTATTAAATTTTAGTACAAAAACGGGTAATAAGGATATTAAAGCTTGTCAAAGTTCAATCGCAGAACTCGCAAAAACCTGAAACCGTGCTCAATGATAAGCTTAAAAAGCTTAAAACTAAAGGAAATTCTTTGGGATAATCCCTTCAATACTACACTACGACAGATTTCTAACGTTTTACACATCAAGATCGCTGCATCTATGAAACATTGATCAGCTATACTCTACCTTAAACCAAAAATGTCCTTCTTAGCCAAATCAACTCCTTCAACGACTATTACTCGAACAATTTTGAGGTTTGGATTCTGCAATAAACACAGACATGTAATTGACAATGTGGCTTCATGCTTAGGCAGATCTAAAATGCCCAGAACTCGACGTTAAAAACATTTTCGCTGCGTTGAGATATTCTCAATAACTTACCCGCGAAGACTTCAACCCATGAACAACGGATGGACCTCTCGGAGGCAAATCCATGGACTCTTCGGCGATAAACACTGAATATACTATCTAGACGCGAATGTTACGGCCATTTTAACAACGCAGTGTAGATCCAGTTCCCACGCGGATAGTTTGTAGCCCAAAGCACGAATCGAGCGTAACTGCGGAGGCGGGCGTAATATTACGAACACTAAGTGATCTGTACGTCAGCGTTTTCTTTTCTTGTATATCACGTAGGCATAAATTAGCTATGATTGTAGATGACTCTAGGCTGAAAAATGTAAATATTTATAACTGTCTTAGCAATAGGGAAACGCCACTGATGAAGAAAATATATATATTATAATTTTTTTAAATTCCTAATCTAGTGGGGGATAGACCCGTGAGGCAATTCAACTGAACACGAGAAAACCTTGTGAGATGCGTGCTAATCATTATTCTACCGATTACTTTCCAAAAACCTTTCGAGATGGAAACAGAGGGAAAACTACAACCACTCAAAGGACAGGTAGCTTCTCCTGTTTTTTTTGTTTTGCTTTTTTGAAGTGTTTTTTTCCTCTCATCATCAAGATCAAATGTCTTAGTAAGATTGCCCCGGCATGCATATTCGCCTAATCCGTTAAAAACAATTACCGCATATTCAACCGAAACGTGTACCGAGGGGAAATTTCGTTGATGCATTTCCCAAAACTAATTTTATTCTTTGATTTGCCATTTTGAAATAGTGACATTCAATTCTGCGGAAATATTAAAATGCTGAGAACAATCATAAAGAAAATTACCTGATTCACTGCCACCAAACATCTACTTTAAAAAAAAAAAAACATAAAAGATAAAAGGGTACATTATGAATCTAAATGTGGGTAGAAACATCTTATGTTGTTCAGATCCTTTTTGACAAAAGAAAACGCAATCACTCTTTCCGTGATAGCGGTAAAAAGCGATTCAATATTTTTTGTATAATTCATGCTTACAAAATGATGTCTGTTGATATAGGATCCTCTAAACAGTACTGTTTGTAGGCAAGACTCAATAGAAACAGTACCACCAAATCAGAATTGAGACACTGACATAAGAATGTAGCAATAGATGTACTGCGTTCGTTCCATGCGCTGCATGAGATCTTAAATACGTAAAGCATTTAATTTGTCAATGGAAAAGTAAGTGATCACTGTTTTTTAAGTGCTGAAGAGCATTTTGATGTACGGCTAGCGGGTGGCGCCATATGCCTCGTTCATGGCAAAAACTTATAAATATGCTCATGTTGTTTTGCTGGGTCTCATTTAGGAGTCCTCCTGCTGACTGCCTCCTGAGTTCTGTAGCCAAGTCTTCTCATGCAGGCTTTAATCCGTCTCAAACAGAAGCATATCTGGTTAAACAAACTACATCACGTTTGTAAGCTTACACGAGACCATAGGGTAATACACGTTTTCTGATTTTCTCGCAATCATCTCAGACATTTGCTCTTAATACTTCAATCACGGAAAAGTTACGTCATCGAGGGAGCTTTTTACGGAGCCAATTCAGTTATCACTGAGAGCAAACTGCTACAAGTCTTGTGTGATAAAAAAAATAACATTAAAAAAAAAACAAAAAAATGAAACAGCAAAAATTAGAATTTAACTTTTTAATCTTCCGCACAGCTTTTGGGCAGTATCCGGATGGATCCGACTTCCGAAGAAAAAAAAAGAATTTGATCGATTTGATAGCTTAATTTCTCATCTTAATTCATTTACATTATTCAAAATGAGCAGCAAACAAATTTACGACGTGAAAAATCATAAGACGGAAAGTGATTATATCAAAATGTGTGTTTAGAACCTTTCCTTCATTCCTCTTTGGGAGGTTCTGAGATAATTGGATGAAACAGTTTTTCTGGTAAATATTGAAAATTTTGATGATTTAGCCATGCTGCCAAACTCTGTTGTTCCACTACTGGAGTTAAACGGTCAGTGATGGGCAACTGGGTATGTCTGGTATCCGGGTGGCTGTGTTTTAAGTTAAGGAGTTAATCACTAACAGGGTATTTACTTGTAATGAACAGTTTGGTAAGCTACGTATAATACAATGCTAAAGATTTTATGGACCAATCTATGATACATTAAAATGTCAACAGCCTTATGAAACATTAGCCATAAGAAAGGATATTTCATGCAGTTTCTCTTCCTGAAGTTGCGCCACTGATCTTTCGCGCCTTGCAACTGCATACGAGGGTATAGAAAATTGCCCAGTAACTATCTGTGGTAGCTGTAATTCCGGTATAGACAGAAAAGTTTACTAAAACAGATTGAGTTGATATACATGATGCTAAATGGCGATGCAAATTAAAATTACATGACGAGTTGTTTGTTTCAAGAGACATCCACGCGTCTGCAATACATTAATCACTGATTCGTTTTAGGTGTCTTACAATCTTAAATCGGCCATACGAACAGCCACACTGGCAGCGTGAATACAATGGGTAAGGAAAAAACTAAACTTGGACTTTCAATTGCATTATTTCATTACTCTGATTAAAATGAATGCTATGGTGGACGTAGTTGTTACTACTATAAATCTCGGTGCTGTAAGTGTATCATTTCTTTTTTTAAGTTGTATTCCACTAACAACAATTTTCATATTTGTATTCGCAATAATACAACTTGAGACTGTTTTCATAACTCGTGTAAATGCAAAGCATAAGGATGTGTGTGGGGATTCGACTTGCAAATTTCGTGGCGTTGTCAGCTGTGACAGCGTTAGTACGGAAAAGGAAAAGGAAAAAAAGGAAAGTATGCATCTTATCAAGGATGTCAGTGCGATCGTGTAATGTGTACATCAATTAGGGAGGACTTTTGTGGGAATGACAGCTCAATTCTGTTTCTAGGAATCACAGGATCATTGGCTTATATTCTGCACAGTATATCAAAGAGTTAACCCGTGTCACTTTGATTCATGTTGTAATGACATGATTAACTTTAACACTGAAAAATGATTTTTTTGTGACTAATGCCAATATAATTTTTTCCTTTTTCATGCGTGCTTAAAAGCAAGCAAGAACGTATTTGACTTTATAGCAATATTTTTAAAGTTTTTTTTTGTGTTACTGTCCCTGCCTTCAGCTTTGACAGACAGCATAAACCTCAACTTTTACTTCTCTATCCTCTGACAATTATGAATGTACTACCTGGTAGTAAGAATTAAAAAGATCCATAGCCCTCTCCTTGGAATTGTGTGAAGTTGGAGGTAGATGTAACTCAAATGATTCACTTGATAGTAGAGTTGGAGTGCTGGGAACACATTGTGGTCCTGTACTACCAGGTGGAAATGGCTCTTCCTCTACTGAGTGACTTGAAGATGCTAAGTCATCTCTTTGATTGGTAGGAAGCCTTGACAGGATGGAAATTGTGCTATGAGTTAATATATTTTACATTTATCTAGATCCTCAATTAAAAGTAAACCACTGGGCATGCATTTTTTTTGAGTCGAAGCGCTGATATTCCTCTTACTTGAAGTAACAAGAAGGGTTGTTAGTACTCTCCTTGAATGGGATGCTCATCTGTATTAGGTTAAACTCCCTGCCCCCAGCATTTCAAATAGTCTCCTAAATAGTTTACTGAAACCAATTAATACTTCTGGGTATAGAAACATACAGTTTTGTCTGTGCACACATGCATTAGTCTGAGCGCACTCTATGCGTTAGAACCTGTAATAACACTCTATCTGTGGTCCCATGTACTAACCTTTCGGCCAAGGCATGCTCTTGAAGTAATATTAATACTACTGATTATATCTCTTAAGAACTTCTAACAAGTCAAAAATTAATTAAAAAATGACAAGAATTTAATGGAGAGATATAGTCTATAAAGGGAGATTTAGTTATTATGTGACTTTTACAGGCAGATCGACATGATTTCACTATGTATACAAGGTCAGCTACTGAATATTATATCAAAATTTTCAGAGCAATTTGTTTGTAAGAACAACTGTTTGAGTGCAAACATCCCACAAATCCAATGAGCATAAATTACGCTTAGGGTTAGGCATGGCTTGGAAATATATTTTACCAGTTGAATTCCACATGTTTCCTTCTTAGCTGAGCCACATGAGCTATCACATCGAAACCTTGTTGACTTTGACGCATTCTTGGGGGGTTGTTGGACCGTTTCCGTTTCTTTTTCTTAAGTTTAGAGGGATGTGGAATACTCCCTCTGAAAATAACTCCAGTTATTGGCTTTTTACAGTCATTCAGCTCAAGAGAGCCCCTTGCTACAACCTTGCCACAAACCTAAACAGCAACGCAAATAAATCAATGAGATTATTAATTTTAAAAGAGCTAATAATAGTTAATGCCTTAATGTGACCCTAAACAACCCAGATGCTTGTTAGGATTTTCTTGTATTGTCATCAAGCTCTGTGTTTCAATATGGTATCGTGAGTGGAGCATTTGAAACAGCAACACTATATTTTGATGGACTTTGACCAGAAAGCGAACCTTTGAGCACGTTATAATCAAAATGATGATGGTACTCTTGTACTATCAGCTATTTAAAAGTTATAATTTGCTAACTCAAACTTCATGTAGAAGCTGAAGAACTCAATTCCCACAGTAAATCACTTTCATTTAGTTATGCACATATCTCACCCCAACTGATGATGGCTGAAGACGAGCTCTTGGGCACTCACTGAAGAGGAGGAAAAAACACCAATGAAAGAAACATTCTGGCTAAAGAATTAATTTGTTCTGGTACGTTATATTACTAAACATTTGTATATTAGGCATTTGAAAATATACTGGAAAAGTTGACTCCGAACTGGTAGCTGATAATTCTATGGGCTAACTGATTAAAGCATATCAATTACGTGTTGGTGTACAGTGCTAGATTTCGCAGAAGTTAGTTTCATCCAGGGGTCCTTCAGGCAAAGAGCTTGATTCACCGCAAATCTTACAAACATAAAAAAGGCAATTGTCAAGTCACGTCCTACTAATTTTTGTTGTTTAGAATGATTGACGAAGGTCACTTTGATACTTGCCTATTCAGATCAGTAGTTGATTTCCAAAGCAAATTTTCCATAAGGCCTCCACTGTCTGTTTCTTGTCTCCTCACAGTTTCTGAACTCCTGCAAAGAAAAAAAAAACCGTCTTAACCTACGTATACATGAAGGCTAGAAAATCGTAACAAACATTGTGCTGTACATGCACAATCCACAGAACATATGGTAAACTTGCCTTGCTGAGGGAATAACCAACAAGTTTGCCTCACAACCTTCAAGAACCTCATTTTCACGAGGAAACGTTCGAGCTCCTGCCGCCATTAGGATCATCGACACTAATTAATTAACCAGTAAATTGTTTTAAAAATTGGTAGAGATAAAAATCTCCTTCAATTTCCTGAACGTTTGCATTTGTCGTGGGGTACGCGCGCCGAGGCGGATGCAGTTGTTTTCCCGCGCATTTTTTCGCGCCATTCTCTCAAAGACTCACACTCAATTCCCTTGCACACTGTCCTGAACATTTCGAATAGGGAAACTGCAAGGGATTATTAAGTTTATATTTTCTTGGAAACAGTAATCAAACGAACACATCCACCCTCTTCTAAACTTAGCATCCCCCCCGATTGATTAATTATTCACATATTTCACTGATGGGAAACGAAACTGACAAGTTGGTTCACACTTTCGTTTTATTTTCAGGCTCATGAATAGGCCATTTGTTTCCGCAGAAAGTAAACTGTCAGTCTTAGTCCGTAATTCTAAAGTAAGTTGTTAATTTAAGTCCATAATTCTACTTCGAGGATTATTGAAGAGAGCTGTATGTAATCACCGGAATCACTGCAGAGCTAAGAATTGCAACCTTCCATAACAGCTGAGCAAGTTCCTCGATCGGCGTTACGGATTGGAGCAGGGTTAACGTTGAGAGTGGATATATACCCATTTCACTCTTTAACTTGTGGATACACGAAGGGTAAAAACAAGTTTTTATGGTAACACAGATATGCAAGTGAGTCATTCATTCACTAAGATGTAGACACACTGTAATTGGTCGTTCTGACGCTCAGTCGTCCTCCCATTTTCTTCAGCTCTGCGCTTAACGGAATAGTAACCGCGCATAAACGATGGTAAGCGCACTTTCGTCGGGCGATTTCTCTTTAATCAGTTATGCTCTCCTTGAGCGGCTTCTCCCTCGCCCACTTAATTTCCATCAAGAAACTTGCCTTCGTTCGTTCACCTGTTCTGCCAGTTGGGCAAGAACATCTTGTCTGACCTTGTCTTGTGAAAGATATTTATTACGTGACAGATTTCTCTCGTGACGACACTGTGGCGTGAGAGTCTGGAACTAGCGCATGTCACTTAATCAACGATCTTGCATAACGTTAAATTGGACGACGATCACGAACATCAGGCAATTCTGAAGAGTCGCGCAAACTTTTGTCGATAAAACCCCGACAACACATATCACAATTCAAATGTTAAGGATTGGAACTCTTTCCAGGGCTCTAGGGAGACCTGTAAGTATTTCTCTGTATGAAAAAATTAAATCATATCTGATAAAATTGATTTTTAAGAACGATTGATATAGATAGTTCTCGCAATGAGTTCAGGTAACATGTATTGTATTTATTTGTTTGTGCAAGGTAAATATATTTTGTTTCATAAAGAAGCAGACAGATGCGTAACTGTTGCATAATAAAAATTGTATCTTTTACTCAAAATGGATTGGCCCTGAGACAATTTGATTTCAGAGGGTGACTACTTTAAAGTGCTATTTACTGACTTGAAGAGTCGTCTCAGTAATTGAATCAGATCTTGATTATTTCTTGAAGAATCGAAAACGCAAGATAGATATTCAGCGAGTCTTTCTGCGTCGTTTTGTAACAAGTGGAGATCAAGATATTCCTTTGAAAGAAAGCACAAATCTTTCTGAAACAACTAATGGTAAAATTTCTGCACAGCCCCATCCTACATTATGCATTCAGTTCTTGATTGAGAAAACATTGATAAAAACAATACATTGCCATCGGGAAAACAATTTTGTTTTACAATAGTATGGGGCTCTGTGGAAATTTTACCTAACTAATTGTGATCGGTGGATTTGATGCACAATTTGCTCGTTTTGGCTTTTAAATGTCTACAATGGATATCAGAACTGCTCTAAGTCCCCTTAGAGTGACCAGCATCTAAATTCTCCTGACAATATCACCCCTGAATCAAACTTTAAGATCACAAGAATAATGGAAATGATCACCAACTGATTAAAAGAAGCTCTTGATTGTCAAACAAATTCTCCTTGCCAGTCCCTCAGGAAGTGTACAGAGAACAGCATGGAGAATATGCATAGTGATGGTAGGGTGTAAAGGGTTAAGGCTTTCATTATGAGTCAGTGATTGTTGAAGTTCTTTCCTTAATTTTTGTATTTATATACCTGTTAGGGAAGCTCTCTGCGATGTCTGGTGTCAGGTAGATGTGCATCTACTTTGGTTGTTGCAGAGCACAACAACAATTCAGTTGTTCCTATAACTCTGCATGCAATTGCAGCTGCTAGTAAACTTGGTGGTGAGGTATCAGCCCTTGTTGCTGGAACCAGCTGTGGAAAGGTTAGTAGTTGTATGTGAATATATTTGAACTTTTACAGAGAACTACAACTAAATTAAATGTTATCATCGCTTCCCTGTGGAATTAAGTGCTATTACACAGTCAGGCAATTTGTAGACTTCTTTTTAACAAACATTTGTGTGCACTGGTTGTAGAATCTACAGTACTTCCTGAGTGTGCAGTTTCATTCTTACGTTTTGTTTTTTCTATATACTGCATATTACCAGCAATATTTAACTGACTACACTTTGATTTAAGAAGTTACTTAAAACACCACTTTAATTTTGCTTGAATTACAAAACTATGTGACTTGAAAAACTCCATTGCTTACTGAAGTATTTGTACATTTTCCACCCTTTTATTAGATATCAAAAGAAACTATAATTTATGACATATATTACTCACATTTACAGTACTTTCAAACACTATTAACTGAGTAGTAAAAAAATAGCTCAGCATTATAGCATTAAATTGAATGACTTCATGCAAATTCTACCAAATTATTGGTGTGTTCTGTTTCCTTTACAGGTGGTTGAAGAGCTGAGTCAAGTGGAGGGATTGAGCAAGATTTTAGTAGCTGAGCATGAAGCATACAAAGGCTTCTTACCTGGTAATTAAGGGAAAATTTTGGCAATGAAAAGCATGGCCATTACCCAAGTCTCAGATTAGAGGGTTCAGTTGGTGCATGGATTGATTTCACCCATTTATTGTCAGGCATTAAGTGTGCCAGAGCACTTTATAGATGTTTAAAATGTGTCTGTCTAAATGTTGATTGAAATCTTCTAGGTTTGTGATTTAAGACTTCTGCACCTTTTATCTTTGTACAGAGGTTTTAGCCCCACTTGTCGTTGGAACTCAAAAACAGTTCAACTTTTCACACATAACTGCTGGTGCAACAGCCATGGGAAAGGTACAGTACATTTTACACTCTTGTTGTTTCATTGAAAAAAAGCAAGAGCCTCTGATTTCACCAGTCTCGAATAAAGTAATCTGAGCAAACATCGAGAGAAGTGGCTCACAGCATCCTTGTTTGAACATGCTTATCCCATAGTGGTAAAAATTTCCTTTTCTACCAAGCAAATTTTTTCACAGTCTTTAAATATTTTTTTCCAGAATGTTCTTCCTCGCGTGGCTGCATTGTTGGATGTGGCTCAATTGCAGGATGTGATAGAGATTCAGTCAGAGGACACGTTTGTGCGAACAATTTATGCAGGTACATGTATGATCAGTTTGGTTTCTAGCTCTGAGACTTACTTTACAGGCACTTTTGCCTTGAAGCACATATTTTGCATGTCAGAAAGTACATGTAAGTATTAGTCTCACTCTTGACTAGTTTGAGATGACATCATGTAAACAGGGGTGCAGTGTGTTTATTAAGTGGCTAATGCCGCATTCACACCAAAGCTTAAACATGTTTAAAAGTTGTTTTGTTAAACACAGTTTAATTTTTTTTTGAACATGCTTTTAGTGGTAAAAATTTCTATTTAACCGAATATTTTTGACTTGAATGTAGCACATTGGAAATGCAAGTTAGCAAGTACTTGAATCCAATGGAAAATCAAGTTTTTCAGTGCTCTGTTTATAATTTTCATTCAATGAAAACCAGTTTAACAAAACATGTTTTGTTGGTGTGAATGGGGTATTAGACAGCCAGTCAGAAGTACATTTTAAGTACATACTCACACTTTAAGATCAATATTAAATAATTTTGTTAGATTTTTTTTAAGTGACTCCTACATGTACATTGTAAACCATTTAATTTTTGTTTTCTTTTTTGTGTGTGTGTGTGCTAGGCAATGCTGTGTTGACATGCAAAAGCAATGACAGTGTGAAAGTGTTTACTGTCAGAGGAACTGCCTTTGAAGCAGCCAAAGCTTCTGGTGGGGGAGTTGCAAGTGAAAATGGTATTGAGTTACATTTAGGGCCATTTTCATAGAATAGTTTTAATACTGTATTGATAAATATGAATGACTAGATGCCAGTAATTGAGTAATAGTGTATGCACATGTAGTACATAGGACTTTAGGGAACTTTTTCTTGTTAGGTGTGGGGGACATGTAGAACCAATGGTTAGTGTGCTAGTTCCTGGAAGGAGAGATCTTCCACAGCTCCTGGGGCAAGACTCCATATTCTCAAAGTGACTCTCTTCACCCAGTAGTATCAATTGGCACTGACAGTCTCTCAAGAGAGCCTGAAAAAATTCTGGGTTAAGCTGTGATGAACTGGTATTCCATCAAGGGGGAGAGGGGAGGAGGGGTTGGGAGGGAGTAGTAAGTAGTAGTAATTATCCTAGCCACATTATGCTACAGAAGCTAAAATAATACCAGGCCTGATGAGTCACTTGGCCCCCCAAGTGCTTTCTTTACCTATAGCTTGTTAAGAGGCAGTGTGCAGCTAACTTTATTGTTACACTTGCTTACAGCACCTGCGGCAGAAACAAGCAATGATCTGTCATCATGGGTTGGGGAGGAGTTGAATGTCAGTGACAGACCAGAGTTGACAAGTGCCAAAGTTGTAGTGTCTGGAGGTACGTCATTAGTTGTGTTTTATATTCTGGAGGTGGTGTTGCATATGATGTTATTCTTATGCACATGATGGCTCAGTTGGAAATTCATTTCCAAACTTTGAAATTGAGAAAAATAATGACTGATATGGGTACATATCATTTCATAAATGGTACTTTATTTCAGGCAGGGGATTGAAGAATGGTGAAAACTTTGAAATGCTCTATAAACTGGCTGAAAAAATGAATGCTGCAGGTAAGCTAAGTGATTGTTTTACATGTAAATCCTTGTTTGTTTTGTTTCAATGTGGCATTGCAGTTTACTGCCTAATAAGGATACAAGCTACTTGTATGCTGTCAACAATTCTTTTTTTTTTTTTTTATTCTCGCAGTGGGTGCCTCAAGAGCAGCTGTTGATGCTGGATATGTACCTAATGACATGCAAGTTGGACAGACAGGCAAAATGGTTGCCCCTGTAAGTCACCTTGGGAAACTGCTCTTGCAACTGTACATACTGTATTCAATGTAATGATGGAACAAATGAAATGCATTTCTGGGGAAAAATTAATGCCTTGATGAACAATTACTGTTCACCTTGTGACCACATTGTTTATGTGTATCTCTATTCATGTGTTTTATAGGAACTGTACATAGCTGTGGGTATTTCTGGTGCCATCCAGCACTTGGCTGGGATGAAAGACAGTAAGGTGAGAGACCAGGTTTTTTTCCTTTATGTATGTTTGAATTTCAACTCTGTTTTATGCATTTGCAAACTAACCTCTGTTACACTGTTTCATACCATAGACTATTGTTGCAATCAACAAGGACCCAGAGGCTCCAATCTTTCAAGGTTGGTAATAACTATTTAGAAATGTGCTCTAGTATATTGTGACTTTATGATGCCTGCATGTGGCAATCATTTTTACAAAAATCTGCTTGTTTGTAGCAACTTAAGTATAGTAGAATAATAGACTCAGTGTTAGTCCAAGGTGGTGCCACCTGCAGATTACTGCCCTTTGGTGATGCACTGTAGATGTCTCCTTCATTTCCCTTTCTTTCCATGTTTCACTGCACTTGTGGTGATAGCTGTTTGACCACCAGGCTTGACCACTAGATCATGAACCACTAAATCATGATTGTATGATACATCATTGTAAAGGTATTTTTTGGGGTATGCTATAGAGGACACCAACAGGTGTGGAGGAGGTTACTGAAAAGACAGAGAAGTGTCCAAAGTGAAAAATGAAAAACAATGAAATTTTTCATTTGCCTTGTACATATGGGGTATAGCTCTAAACTGTAGCTTAAATTGCAGCTCTCAGAGAATTGACTGTGGTGAGATATCACCAGAACAAAAGTTGCAGGGGTGGTTAACTAAGTCTCATATTGGAGGAGGCCGTGATATTATGCCTTCAGAGTGCAGATCTTTCAATGAAATTTTGGTTGTGAAAATTTCAGAAAAAAGGAATAAATATTAACCATGTAATGGTGTCTTGTACCATAAGGCACTCTCTGGCATTAAAGGTTTAAGGCTGAATTTGAAATCAGGAGGGTGAAGGTTCAAATCCTTCACTTTTCCGGCTCTCAATTGGATTAATCTTTCAGCAGGTGGACTCCTCTGAGTTATTTTTGGTGCTCTGTAGGCCTCTAGTTTGCCTCCACTGGTTGAGTGTGACTTTGGTTTACCTGCTCATTTTTCTTTCCTCTACTCATGCCACCATGTACCTAACCTACAGTAGTTCTACCACATAAATGATATCAATCTCTTTATGCCCAGCATTCCTGCTCCGTTAAGTTTCAAAGTAACTTAAGTCCTAAATGGTACTTTGTTTGCTTTTTATCAGTTGCTGACTATGGTTTAGTCGCAGATTTATTTAAGGTATGGAACATCTGTCTTTTTGCACCGTGTAGATAGCACGTCACAATGTAGATCTCGTAAAGAAATAAAATAACATGTACTTTATTCTTCGTTACTTATCTGGCTCTGCACATTGCTAACAATATGTGGGCTGTAGATTGTTTACTTTATCGACATTGCTATTCTTGAGTTGCAGTACAGTATACTAAGTGTAGCTTTCTTTATTCGTTTAGGTCTCTAATTTTGCCATCATTACTTCAACAGGCGGTTCCTGAACTGACGGACAAGATCTGATTTATTAAACAGCATGTTTTGTAAACAGGAAAACCCTGGTACTGTACAGCTCTGTGAAAAATACTGCACCGATGACGATGATGCGCGCTTCATTTTTCGTTCTTGAGTGTGACTAAATTAATGCTGAGGGTTAGCTTTTGTTTTGGAGAATAAAATATTGACTCTGTTTCTTTGTGTGGATTTCTTCTTAATGCCCGCATCCTCAGCCCTTGGGAAGGTGTAGACTCCAGCAACAAACGCGTTGATATGACGATTGACTGTTAGTCAATCAGGTAAAATTTCCGCACAGCCCCATACTATTGTTAAACAAATCTGTTTTCCCAATGGCAATGTATTGCTTTTGTCGTTATTTTCTCTATCCAAGAATTGAATGCATAATGTATTATGGGGCTGTGCAGAAATTTTAACGTCACTCAAACTTTCACAGTCGAATTTTCTTGTCATATCGCGAGATATGGAGGTTTATAAGACAACTGAGATGCCATGCGCACTCCAGGAGCTTAAAAAGGCAATTGTTTCTTATATAAATAGACCAGTAGACAAATGAAACGTTTTATTGTTATTTTTCCAAAGAAATATGCCAGGCTTTCTACTGATTCCGTGGCATATAGCTCCATATGAAATGGTACCAGGACGGTCGATGTCAGCGTAAACTGTTCTCTCTGTCTTAAACAAGGTCTATGAGCGGCGGCCTAAGGCGGGGGCCATACTTTCAAACTCGGGTCTAACGTGTAAACAATCGTATTAGCCTGTTGTTGTCCTCAGTCCTTCCCTCGTTTTTCCTCACGCCTGCCGAGACTCGAGTACTAGCCCAGAAAATCGCAAAAAGGAAACGAGAAATGGTACAATTAAATACAATCAAGTATGCAATAATAATGAGGCACTAAGCGGGAAAATAAAGTCTGTCCTACAGGCCACCGTTGTTTTGCTCTGCCAGAACCATCAAGGGTAGCCTACTACCAGGCTCACAACGAGCATGCGGTGCGACTGGCGAGGCAGCGAGAAGCTAGGTATAGATTATGCCGATGTAAAAAAAATATATACAAAGATAACTTATTGTAATCATTTGTTGATATTTTGCCTACAATTTTTGGTGTTCTTGGTTTGGTGCATTGAACCAGCTTGTCAAAATAGTTACTCCTTCTGATATGTCGGACTCGGAAAACACTTCGCAAGCATTCAAGCTCTCATGCGCTGCTGCTCACGAGTTTACTGCGGTTTTGCGACACCAACAGCAGTGCTTCTGAGAGCCCAAACTCGCGGTCTATGTGGCGCTTCAAGAAGAATGTCAACGTACGTAAACGAAGAGGTGTCACTTAAATCTTGTAAAGATGAACCGGATTCCGCCCTGATTAAGTTAAGGCCTTATCTGTCAGAAACCTATTTGCGAAGCCTACCTTTTCAATTAGCACGCGCTCGAAATTATCTTTACGCGTTAAGGATAAAGTTCATCACTCCACGTATTGTGATTGGCTGTGATCCACATGTAGGTCAAAGTTATTCTTACGTCAGAGAGCGGGATTTAAATATTTACCCCTGGAACTACCACAGACGATCCAGCTTAGCATGAAAAAGGAATCATGGCGATTTTCCTAAAAGACCTTTTCGTGGAACCTGTCTCTACAGATTGGCTTAAATTTGCCGTCATTTCAAATACGCTTTGTGTGTTGTGAATTTGGTAAAACAAATCCCGGGAGCTACGATTTTACGAGAAATTATACCCTTAAAAAAACACTAGAAGAAACATCAGAAGATTGAGGTCAGTGACGAGATAAGAAAAGGCAGATGTCTAAGGACTCTGTTTTCCAACAGACGTTGATGCATTTTAACTGAAAATCTTCGTGTCTTTCATTCTTCAACAGGCAAAGAAATGTCTTCTGTTCCAATCAGTACAGCTTACGTTGAGCGAATACGTAAAAGTGCAGCGGCGAACGGTAACAAAAGAGGATCTTTTAAACAGAGAGAAGTTGCTGGAATGGAAGATAATCGCCGCGCGACGAAGCCTCACTTCAATCATTATCTTGCGGATGCGCAAATGAAGTGGAAAGCCACAACAAAGAAATTGTTTTCGTTTATGACATGAACAGGACTTGGATTCGTCTTCGAACGGTTTTATTTTCCATTTAATGTAACAACATTTTGACGATCTCTGAGGAGGACCCGACCTCTTCAGTATAAATATGGCGACAAAAAAGCATCGGATTAACTACCTAATCTACATTTTAAAATTGAAAATTTGCTTGCTATAGGTAATGCAAGAGCGAAAGTGAACTCAAATGTTACCTCAAGAGAAAACTAAAAAATTCATATTGGTATTAACCCGAATTTATCGCGGTTGGTAAACATCGAAATGGGAAGGGTTTGCTTTCCCTGTTTGTGCGGGGCGGAATGACTGCCGTGATCTCTGCGCTGGGAATCTTCTGCAGTGGTATCAACCCAAATTTGGCGCGGTTTGTAAACATCTATTGATCACAGAGGAGAAAGATTTGTATCCCCCATTTGTGTCAGCGAGATAATTGCCAGGAGTCGTGCTGGGATCCTTAGGCATTTAAATAAAATGTCTCAGTCTATGTTACTCAGTTTTCTGTTTGTTTTTAAGTATAAGTATAAGTATAAGGCAAGTTACGAGCGCAATTTTTGCCGAAAGGAAATTGAAAAGAAGGAAATGTTATCCATGCCACAATTTACTTGCATGATTTTTTAACAAGGAGTGAATCAATCTTTACTTAGGTTAGAATTTTGTTGTATGACTGGTAGAAAACGGAAGAAAGCGCGATCTAGATACATTATGTTTTAGAGAAAAACTCACTAATAGCTGATGAAGATTTGTTACAGGCATTAAGGTTTATGCTTATCATAATATATGATAGGAACCACTTTTTCTTCTAATCTAGAGGTGTTCGAATTTTTTCGTCGGCAAGACTGCTCATAACTGATGCCCATCAAAGATAAAATTTTGTTAGCTGCAACGGTTGAATAAATCATACATAATTTGTATCGTTGTTGTTTCATTTTGTTGGCAAATTTATTCGATAATATTTTTGTGCGGTTACGACCCTTTTCTATCGGAGTACTCGTTTCCTTGTGGGTATTAATCATTTGTTTACGAAAAAAGTCCAAGGTTCGTCAAATTATGATGTTATTTTGTTTGCGGGATGCGTGACTTCTTTTTCTCTTCAGTGAACCATATGGTACCAAAATGGTAGATCTGCAGTCGGTAGTGAGATGGCCTTTTCGGTGCGCTGAGTGTGAAGAAAATTATTCGTAGAAGCACGGCCGTAAAACAGAATCTCCGATTTGAATTAATGAAGCAAAGGACCTTTCAATCTTAGTGTGAAAGTCTCCTGTTTCTTTACCTGTAGAATTTGACAGCAATTCAAATGCAAATTTTCAACAATTTGCAATTTACATTTCGTGGAAGCTCTGTTTCACCTTGTGGTTTGTATTAACACAAAAATCTTGATCACTAACGATCTAGCGTTTTCAAAACGACGTCTATCTAACATTTCTAGTTAAATTTATAGGAAGTGAAAGTCTTTATTAAAAACCAAATTTTGTTTACATAGCTTCAATTTGAAAGGAAAATACAGAGGGTTCTGTACAAACAATGGGGGCTCAGTCGTTTCTCTACTAAACAAATACATCATGTGCTTGAGATTCTATCAGGCGATAGCTGATGACTCAGACTATCTCGCATAGGAATCGAAAGTGGATAGTCTAATTGTCTCAGGGTCGGTGATAACTTAACAAAATAACAAGCTCCCTTTTTTTTAGTCTTAGACAGCGAATAGCGTAGCTAATTAGATTGCAACAATTGAGGTGAGATGCTTGTAAATTTATGCTAATTTCAAATATTGACGAGGGAAAGCCCGCGAGAGGTGCAAGGGAAAGGAGAAGTGGGGGGAGGGGGGGGGGGAATGATCGGAAGGGGGGAAAAACGGAAACCCTCTTCTCCCCTCACACACATGCTTGTCTATCGAGCACGACACACGCCAGGGACCAAGGTGCAGTACTAGTCCCGGCCGGTATGGCAATAAAACCGGCAAACCAAGGTTCCACAGGAATCCCCCGATCAAACTGATTTGGAAAAGCAAAGCTTTTAGTTGGGATTTGCTCTCTAACAAGGCTAGGCATAAGATATATCGTGGACACTACTTGAGAATTTATGGCAACGACAACTAAGAGCACAAGGTTAATTCACTTTCTTTTCGTTTTATTAGTCAATCTTCCCTAAGTTTTCGATTCATGGCTATTTTTGTATCCGGATTTAAGACAATTCCTTCAGATGAATAAGTTAAGAAACACAATTGTAAATACGCTAAAACAGAGCACTAAAGATATAAAAAAAAATAATGATAATAATAAATCCAAAAAAGGAAAAACAAGAGATTCTGACTCACATAACTTGGTAAAATAAGTACCTAATTATAAATCTTACTGTCGGATTGTATCTCTAACGGTGTCACAGTGTCATCCCAAAAGTGACTACATCGTGAGGCAATCGATAATACTAAATAATTATTGCGCTTTCCACGATGAACAATCAAAATCTTTTTAAATATCAATTTTTGATCACCTGCATTATGGGTCTCGGAGATTAAATTCTTATTTTGCTCAGCTCGTAAGTTTGCTACAATTGTTGAGATTCATGTAAAATTATATACCATTCTATTTTCATTTAAGACCACCAACTAAATTCTAAAAGTTATTACTGAAGATCTTAAAACATAAAGTGAAATCATAAAAACTATGAGTTGAATTCTGCTTTCCTTAATGGGCTCAACGTCTAATATTCGAAACTGAAAGGTAAAAGGGAATGCTTTGAATGACTGATTTACGACACTTTAGAGGAGAAATCTAAGGTATAATAATCCTTTGTCAATGAACTGTTCTTTAAAAAGCAGCACAATGACACAAGAACTACTTGGTTTAGGATAATGTGTTGATAAAACTTAAGGATTAATATATTTAGATAGAGTTTGTTTCGGGAAGAGAACAAGCCTAGTCAGTGGTTTCAAAAACCGAAGAAAGATGACGGACTCGATTGACAATTGGGGTAAATATATCGCCAAAGAATGAAAAGCTAAAATTGACACTTAACCGAACAAAAAGGCTGAAGTTATAACTTTCAGAGAAGAAAGCAAATTAGCCAGCTTTAAAAAAAACTCTTTACGGTAGCCAATTTACAGTATCAATTCAGTTGATAAAGCCTAATTACCTTTTAATATCCCTTGCCGAGGGAGCACCACAGTTTCTTAAAAACGTTGTCCCCCTTTAGTAATTTAAGGTTACCCCATTGCTTCTCTTACGCTAGATATATGTCATGTTGCTCGATGCAGTTTTATCCCAGAAAAGATACTCTTGGTTTTAAAATCGATATCTGTATGACTGATAAGTCCGTCGTGTAGTCTTCAGTTGCACTATGTAACGAATCAAGACTTGGGACTCCTTGTACACAACATACTCGCTATGGTTATTATAAATTTCCTTGTTCTGCGTGATACGCACTCCTGCAGGGACTACAGCACCGTATGGAGTGGTGACATCTTCGCTTGGATCCGGGACCTCTCTGCTGGCCAATAACACGCTGTCAAATCCCTCGGGCGCAGTCTCGTAATAATCACGATCGTCTACGCTTTTCACGTTACCAAGGGCAACCTGATGAAACCGAGGGAGATTTGGTTTGTAAGGAAAATGGCTCTTTTCCATAAAATTTAATATCTAAACAATGTCACGATCTTTTGTTTCCATAACTACACAGTAGTGAGGTGGGAAGGGGAGAGAAGTCCCCCCCCTCCCCCTCCCCTCGTTTCACCTCCCTCTGCACGGTCCCTTCGAAGTCTGGCAAACTCACCTCACAAAGAAAGACAAATGCAGCCCCATCTCTTCTACGACTCACGTAACCCATACTCTTGTCCAGGCTGTCAGATGTGTAGATTCCCTGCAGCAAAGGGTAACACGATCGACATTAATTTTGAAAAAAATTGCAGCTAACTTGGGTAATCCGTATTGCTTGGTTCTCAATTACTTTGTCTATTACTGGTATGGAAAACTCGTAAAACTGGATTTCATTGCGTCTAGGTCACTCGTGTTTTCTAGCGCTTTATAAAGTCTCTATTTAGTTCACTTTCTTGAAATGCTTCCTTCGTTCGGATTGATATTGCTTAGGTTCTAGTCAACGACTTAACTGAACAGCGCACTGACCCCCTTTTTATATTTTGTAATTCCGTTACATTTGAATTTTAAAATACAAGGAAATTGTTTTTGGAGTCAAAAGTGTTTCAAAGGCGTTTCTTTCAAGGGGCCACTCCTTTCGAAATTTTCAGACAGATAGTCCACAGTGCATATTCAGCTAGAGACCGAGTGAATTTACATCGTCGTACGTAGCAACGCATTTTTTAAGAGTAACACTTTTGAATGGACCTCATCTACCAACCTTTCCTAAGGACCACCCTGAGCAGGGAGCCTCTGGAGGAGCAATTCTGAGGCCTTGTTTTAGGATACCTATCATGTTGACTGTATTGGTGCCATGCCATAGCAGGCGGTGGTTACCAGGCACTCCACAGGATTCAAATCGGTCGGCCTCTCCAGAACGAGAGACCCTGAAAATACCGTTAACTTCAAAGCTTTGGCAACCACCTGAATAAAAAACAAATTTTGTTTCAGTTCTAACGGTCCGTTTGTCCTAAAGTAAAGGAACTTAAGGCAAACCCAGCCAAAGGGTAAAGATAAAGCACAATTAATATTGTAGCTTACGTGAGTTATGTATGTACTCCAGTATAAGCTGACATTCATCAGAGGTTGGATCCAACAATTCTATGCGACATCCAAGGGATTTGTACACGTAATCCAACGGATTTATCTCTGAAAGAACAAAGCGAAGTATTTCCATCCACTCATTTCATTTTTGCACAAAAATCGTAACTTTCCCTCCAAATAGGAAGTCTTGCTATGAAACGAACCTAAAAACAACATCTGTTTTTTGGAGGGAAACAGCACCGGCATAATTAATTCTTCAGTTGCTCTGGTATCGAGTAATTGAATATTCGAAGTTGCCAAGCCATTTCACCATGGTATAGAGACGAAATTCAATTCGATACAACCAGAACAGTGACCTGGTGTAACAATCTTTTTGATGAGGTAGAAAATTTAGAGAACGCATGAAACCGTGACATAATTCATTAACCCTCTGACTCCTTAGAGTGACTAACATCTAATTTCTCCTTACAATATCACCACTGAATCAAATATTATGGTCACTAGAATAAAAGAAATGATCACAAACTAAAGAAATACTTTATTGCTAAAAGAATTCTCCTTCTCAGCACCTTAGCAAAGGTATAAAGAATGGAGAATACGCAGACTAATTTTAGGGTGTAAAGGGTTAAGAACGTAATTTCAAAAATTGCCTGCAAAACCTCATCATACCTTTAGTCTTATATTGTGCACCTAGCAAGATCTTGCTGGCAAGAGCCAGTTCAGTCAAATTGTAAAGAGCAGTCAGGTGAGTCTCGATGTCTGAAGCTTCATTCAGCGGTTTTATCCGTTCATATGTATACCTTGCCATTGGCATCAACATATAATATGTGTTACTAAGCTCGGCAACCTGAAAATAGAGAGGAAAAGTCAGCTATAAATAATGTTTAGCCTACTGCTTACGTTTATGCTAAGGCTTAGAGGAACTACGAAACGAACAAAATGCCTATCCATATTTTAATTGAATAATCCGGCCATCCAGTACTGACGTATGATGAGCAACTTCAGATTTTAAGACAATAACATTGCACCTTTTCAAATTTCTCTTCTGTTCCTTCCAGATTAAATCGGTCGATGGTGTCCACAATAGCTCTGAAAAGAGAAAAAGAGAAAACCACGTTCTAAACATAAGTTGCCGAGGGAGCTCGGAAGTCTCTACATCTTTCACGTTATAAATCATAAAATCAGTCCTCTTGGCTATCCTCCATACATTTAGTACGATGTTAGTTGTGAGAATTGCATGTGTAATCAGGGGTTTCGATAAAAGCTGGTTACGGGTGGTCTACCGCTGCTTATAAGATCTCTTACCGCTGTCTGTTGAGCCTGCATGCTGGCTCTCGCGTTGGGTTTTGCCTCACGGACCCTTTTCCGGGCCCGCCGCTTATTACACCATCGGCAGCCGCTTATGGAAAAATTATGAAACCCCTGGTTTAATCCAAACAACATCGCCGCACAGATTTTTTGACTTCCATCTGATAACTAGTGTGCTTAACGAAGTGTTATGTTGTGGGGAGATAACACACAATGGTTACTCTTGAGACTTAAACGGCGTTAAGGCACCTTAACGCCAGGATTATACTTGCTTTCTATTCTTTCGAAAACAACTGCTATCAACAGATTTATGCCATGCACTGCTCTTTATTTACGTACTTAATTTCTCTCAGTATTTCACGAGCCTTCTCAATAGTTTCGTTGGAGAGTCTTCCAAATGGCATGTAGTCGAGATCGAGTCTAAACGAACCATAATCCATTGAGGACTTAAGCAACGCAACATCGGTCTGAATGAAAAGAAAAGTATAACTGAAAGTTTAAAATTGTAGCCCATAATATCCATACGTTATTTAACGTTTTGTAACATCTCTATTGCAAGTGATTCAACAGAAGTATATCAGCTACTTACAATGTTCTTCATGAACGACTGTAGCTCTTTACTCAGGCGTGATGCAGGACACTTAGTCAGCTCAAATGGTTTTAGAACCTCGCTCACTTGCTGTCGTTTGTTCTCAGGATTCTTTTCTGGCATCACCAAGGCATACTTCTTAGGTTTTTTCTGAAATCTGTGGAAAGAGCCACAAAACCATAACCTTTCTCTCACGCCTGAATTAAACAAGTGGTTTACAGTGCTAAACACTGCCTTAAATTCAACGAGAAAGAAGACTGAAGAATAGGAGGTAAAAAAATGAAAATTGAAACAAGAAAACGAAAAAGCGCAACACAAAAAGTAAAATCAAATTTTTCTTTGGTCCAAAGGGCGAGTGTCCTGTTTCTGCTTTTCAAAAGGTCACTTCGTTATCCTTTTGGTCATTCGTTCAGCTCTTCTGTTGGCACTCGAATGAGGAGAAAAAGGGATTAAGGGAAATCTTGGCGAATAAAATTTGCTGTCTACAGAGACCAGCAACTGAAAAACGAATAACCATTGTGTTGACGACAAGAATGGTTGTTTTTTTGTTCAAGACTTAATTTTGACTTCCAGTAACTTTTTCTCTGAACCTCACGACTTGTAACGGAAGAGAATTAAGGACTGTAGTATACAAAGCGGACGGAATCGCATTAAGGACAAGTATATCCGGGAGCTTGGCGAGTAGAGAGCGAGCGGTAAAGAAAAATAGACTGCCGTTTGTGTGTTTGCATTAGAGCTCTTGTTTTGAAGCCTTCGTGGCTTAAAGTTCAACAAATCGCCTTACTCGTCTTTGTTTTCCCACTCATTTCCAGTCTTGCTCTTGAAAATCTTTTTAAACTCGGCCGTAGCCATGTGTGCATCATTATAAGGTGTTCTCTGATGTTGTCCTTTGTCTCCAACACGCCCCCAGCGATTAAATAACACCCACAACTCCTTAGCTTTGTGGTAGATAATCTGAAATCGAAAATGAATATTTCGTGATTAATGTGTACTAATTGACTGAGAAAGACGGCTACACCGGAAAGGAAAATATTTGGCTTAATGTCATGACGTCGTGTCTGTACTTGTAGAACTTACCCCTGTACCACACGTAAAGGACTTAGCCATTATACTTGACTCAAACATGTCATTTAATGATCATTTATCTACACTTAGCTCCTCTTTGTTTTCTATACTATGTCAAATTAATAGAGTACGACACCTTTTCTCTCGAGAAGTACTACACACAATTTTGAACTCATTGGTACTTAGCAAACTGTTTTCCTGTTCCACTGTCTGGGCCGGAATATCGAAGAACAATCTTCACAAGTTGCAGCTAATGCAAAACTTTGCAGCACGCATTTTGACAAACACTAGAAAGTTTGACCACATAACGCCAGTCCTTAAAGAACTTGGGTGGCTTACTATTGAAAAGTTGCTAAGCCTTCGGGATGTCACAATCTTATAAATGTTGCAACGGGCTAGCCCAACATATCTGAGCTCCTAGCTAGTCAAAAACTCGTACATTCATAAACACTAAACTAGATCGAAAGACCAGCTTAGAGTGCCGAGGTGTAGGATAGCTACCACTCAGAACGTATTTTTTTTTATAGAGTTTAGAGCTATCTAGACATGGAACACTCTAACGACCGAAACAAGGAATTCGAAATCACCAGCACAATTTAAACAAAAGGCAAAATGTGAACTAAAAGAGGCCAGCTAGATAATATATTTTAACACCCTAAAGCGTATATAATTATCGATATCTAAATGTAGATGTTTTGATAGTTAAACCTTTTAACTTTTGAACTAGATTTTTAATAATAATATTTTTAAATTGTAAATAGATAGATCCTACATTTTACCTTGTAAATTGATTTTGAAAAACCCACTTGGGAAAATCAATAAAGTGATTGTATTGACGTACGGAGCGTGAGCAGCGACCGAATCATAAATATCAACCTCTTCATATTTATTCCTAGCATCTTGCAATTTGTCTCAGTTGGAATAGAAATAAGCTTTCATTCGTGCCAAAATGCACGATCTAAGACTTGCGAATAAACAGCCATGCCTACCAATAAATATCAAAATGGTTGTCTGACCTGCATCTTGTAGAAGTTATTTAATCCGAACATTCCATACTTGACATCTACTTTGGACATGAGGATGTTGTAAGGGACATTTGTTTCAGGGTCGACATAAACTTTCCTGAAAAACAAACAAACAAACACTCAGGAAATGTAACTTTGTGAAATATGTATGCCTTGACTACTAACTACGAATTGTTTATTCCTATTTAAGATGAGGAAAACAGTTTTCAAAGCAAGAATTGCTTTACGCGCTAGACGTTGTCGAGTATTGAAAAAATCTACGCGAGGAAGAAGATTAAAGAATTAGGATTTAACCTTAGCAGAGAGACAATTCTTTTATTATTCTTTTACTTTTTTTATACATTTTTTTGACTAAATCTTTAGTTTTGTTTACTTTCGAGATTTCTGCTAATCAGAGGTGTAACATTGCAGCTAAATCCCAGCATGACGTTGATCCAACCACAGGCGACCCAAGCTCCAGCTGTGAGGTGATCATCTTACGAAATGAAAGTTATGGCGAAATTTAGAAGAGTTTGTATGGGAATATTTACGACCTCTCTTAGGAATAAAAAAAACACAGTCAAATTCAATAAAATTACCTCACCTTACTTCCGTAGTGCATTGCTCGTTATCTGACCCCTTAAAAATGGGTTCTTTTCAACAAAGTAAGCGGTCAGACAACAAGCGATGCACTGTGGAAGTAAGGTGGGGTGTTGTTATTGAGAAAAAATACGTAAATATTCCCATACAAACTGTTATAATTTCGCCATGACTCTTAAAGAGGTTTTAAAAATTCATCAAAAATTACTTACCCTGCGCCCTCCATTCTGAAAGCTGGGTCTACACCAACTTCATCGTCGTCGTCATCATCAGCAGGCTTTTCTTGTCTTTTGGCTTCTTGGAGCATGTTTTCTGCATCAGCTTTCGGGTCCGGTGTTGGACCTTCCCACAAATCATCGCTGGACGTGACAAAAGTAAATCCCAAGTCAACTTCCATTGGCTCCTCTGTGTCCTGTTCAAATGTAAGGTGTAAGGGACCATTCAGTAGATATCATAAGGGGGGGGGGGTGGGTTTTTGTTTTGCTATTATAAAATTTACCTGATCCAACCCTAAGGCTCCGTAATATTCTTACGACTTCCCCTCTTTGGCAGTTACTCGGCATACAATTTTCTGTAGGTCCCTTTCTTACCCTGTTAGCGACGACTTGTTCCCTCCTCGGTTCCTTCGACATATCATGACTTTTCCCGAACTGAGGGGTTACCTTAAAGATTTACACGTTTTTTGCCTGCTAGAAAGTTACAGACAGATCTAGTGCTTACGGAATAAAATTCGTTGTTTAAGAAAGCTTGTGTTACAGCATTTTACTAGGGCGCTCGTGGTTCGCTCGCTAACCGTCAAGTTTGATTCAGGGCTAGCCAGGATAGGGAGGGTGTGTTTTTGCTCACCTTAAGCTTCTTTGATCTTACCAGCGTTATTGAAAGGAGGGCGACTAAATAAGCAATTTTTACCACACAAAAAAGGGTGAATACTCACCTTACGAGCCTCCTCTTCTCGAAGAAGTTCTTCCAATACTTTTCTCATGACTCCAGACCCCTGTCGTTTAGCGTAGTACAAAGGTGTATGACCCTCAGAGTCTCTAAGTGCAAGTGGTGCGTCAAAGCCGGCCAGAAATCTTAGTAAATCAACATTTTCTGCCGATCCATACTACCAATAAATAGAAAAGTCGCAAGTTAATAGTTAAAAGTAATTTTTGACTGACCCATTCTTGTCACTCCAGCTTGCCTTACAGACACAAAGTTACCAAAACAATTTTCCTCTTGAACATTCTATTCTAAAGAAAAAGTCAAACAAAGACAGATAAACAGACAGACAGATGGATAAGACACAGACAGACTGACTGACAGACAGACATACGGGCAGAAAGACTTACAGACAAGCAGGGAGGCAGACATACAGGCAGGCAGGCGAGCAGACACACATACAGGCAAGGACGTAGGTAGACATACAGGCAAGCAGGCAAGCAGACATACAGGCAAGAAGGCAGGCAGACATACAGGAAAGCAGGCAGACAGACAGGCAGACATACAGGCAGACATACAGGCAAGCAGGCAGGCAGACATACAGGCAAGTAGGCAGGCAGAAATACAGGCAAGTAGGCAGGCAGACATACAGGCAAGCAGGCAGGCAGACATACAGGCAAGCAGGCAGGCAGACATACAGGCAAGCAGGCAGGCAGACATACAGGCAAGCAGGCAGGCAGACATACAGGCAAGTAGGCAGGCAGACATACAGGCAAGCAGGCAGGCAGACATACAGGCAAGCAAGGAGGCAGGCATACAGGAAAGCAGGCAGACATAGAGGCAGGCAGGCAGACATGCAGGCAAGCATGCAGACAGACATATAGGCAAGCAGAAAGACAGACATACAGGCAAGCAGGCAGACAGACATAAAGGCAAGCAGGCAGGCACACAGACATACCGGCAAACAGGCAGAGGGACATAAAGGCAAGCAAGCAGGCAGCCAGACGAGTGGACGGAGAACAAAGGGAGGAAGCAAGCAGGCAGTCAGGCTGCCAAACAGAACTAAGTTAGTCACAAGATCTGCATTACCTTTCTGTTGTTGACACAATGGTGTATAACAGACTTCCCGTCTTCATCTTGTAACGCGAGATCAACATCAGTTGTCTCTTTTGTCGCCCAAATGGTCCTGTCATCTGTGCCAAACATCAGTACTTTCACCATGTCAACCGTGTTGTTACGTACAGCTTCCATGACTGCTGTGCGACCATTGTGCTGAAATAGAAACAATGGCGTGAATTAGTGTCGTCAGTCAATTAACTTTAAATGCGAAACTGCTTCTTATCCAAAAAAAGAAAGAATAACGCTTTCTAAAACCTAGACGACCTCTCATGACATCATTTCTCGCTTTCATCTGTGCTGCATGGCTTTGACGCGCGATCAGTAAAATTAAAGTTTGGAAAAAGAAATGAATTTTATTCCAGGGGAATGATTGTTGTGCACGAAGACCTATAGAACTTTCGTTTCCGAATAAAGAAATTTCTACGAGAGTTATTTGAATTGATGTTCAGACAACAACGAACTGTCGTTCTCAAAATGGCGAATGATAGTTAGTGATAGTTCGAATTACGCGCGTCTTGACCAGGCTGGCTCGCAAATTCTAAGACAAGGTCACCATATTTCGCTCGAAATATACGTGGCATACCCGTAGAACAGTAGACGAGCTCTGACGAAGTTCGTTAAACCCTACACCGTTTTCTACACGATAGTGTCTTTTTCACTTATTTTTCAACACACGAAAAGTCGGTGGCCACAGTTGCTCGCATTATTCTGCATTTGTTTTTAGGAAAAGGTACGAAACATGAAGGAAGTTACCTTCGGAAAATTGACGGAAGCTCCATGTCTCAGCAGATCAACAACAACTTTCTCACTGAGTGACACTGTAGCCTCTATCAAAGGAGTTGTGGTGTCGCCGCTGTCTCCTTCATTGTTATCCCTGACTTTGTAACACACATCCAAATTCTTCACATTACACGTTGATGGGCTCACAAAGAACCTTGCAAAGATAATATAATTCACAAAAATGTCTATAAAATTATGATCATGCATAGTTACAAGTACTTCTTCTCCGTTTGGCTCTTTTCCAAGTGAATGTACTTTCTCTTAGTTTGTCATGATGTTTAGGTTAACACTGACATCCCGTAAGGACTTACTCAACAAGTGTTATGATTCCAGTGTCTGTTTTGGAGAACACGGCGGCAAATGGAGTCACACCATCATTGTCGGCTACGTCCACAGAAGAAGGAGAATGTTCTAAAGTACATTAAGGCAACAACGAAAACCGTTATCAAAACAAAATTTGCAGAAGTTTTTTAATTTGAAACGGAGTTTAAGGAACCATTTGAAAGGTAAATGTTACATGGTTACATTGATCAACACAGGCTACAAATTATGAACAGTGTCAGATGCTTACATCTCCGTGCAACGGGCTGACAAAGGTAGATTGTCGAAATAAAAGTAGCCAAATTAAGCTGGCTGTATTGCATGCGGTTAAGTCAGAAAAGTAAGAGAAGAAAATAGGTAATTGCGATATCGAAAGATTCGTTATCAAGACAGAACTTGGGTAAAACATACAGTGCTGATAGGTTTGAAAGAACACACTTATCAAGGATTCGACTTATTTCCTACAGGTAACGTTCATCATCAAATAACGTCTATTATTATCATGGTCAACGGGAATTCAAAACACTCGCGAAGCTTAGCTTTTTCTCTTGCACTTGTAGCAAATGACTTTAAATTCTATTTCATAAGTTACTTTCATGAAATTTAACATCTACGGATGCTGCACTGTTTTTCTTACAAATAACACAAGAAATATACAAAAAAACACAAAGCAACCATACCCCACAAAAACCTGCAGAAGGCTAAGTTGTGATTACATGCCGCGTAATGCAAAGGTGTCGCGCCTTGCGAATCAACAGCATCAGCAGGGACTCCCCTCCGAACAAGATAATTGGCTATCTGGAGGAGAACAGGACACTTACTGTAAGTAGCTGCTCTCAGTCATTAAAGTTATAAGATTAAAATTCGACAAATATCAAGTACATCGACCGGAAGTGTTTACGCAAAATTTGCCATGCGACATGCCTCAAGCTTCAAAGGGAAAGGGCGAAGTAAAGGGGGGGGGGGGGTTGGGGGGCGTAGTACTGAACCTCCCCTCCTTGTATGAAGAAAAAGTAGTTTTTTACGACACTTATTTACAATACAGTTATAAAACGACTACCATGTTCTCAGACTGCAGCCTTACGGGTCGTGAAGAAGGCGGGATGCAGGGATAAGAAAATCAAATTACCTGAATTTTCTATCTAAAACTAAACGTCAAGTGCAGTAGTAAAGATGTTCTTGACAATTCAGGCGACGTGTACAATTTTGTCTACATACCTCTTCCACCACCTGTGTCCACAGTTTTGCAGAATGAATAGCTAACAAATGCAGAAGGTTGCGGTCCTTCTTGTCAAGTTTCTGTAGAGACGCATCTTTTCTCTGTTTTCTGAGCAGTGTCCACGCAAGGTCCAGCTTGTTGGATTCCAGCGTTGCCTGAAAAGAAAACCCAAACACGCTTGAATCGGGAGCTAAATTTGTTCACTAATCAAAACTGAGTTTGTGAAAAGCAATACTTAAATAGCTCAAAGACAAAGTCGCATTAAAGAGCACCCTGAATTCACATCTCAGGTGGTAAACGCTCTAGACAGAAAGCTGTTTGTATGCGTTTTCTCCTGCGCACTGCAGAAAATATTTGAAGCACACTAAGCACAATTGCCACTATGGAGTGAAACTATGCTCGGTAGCCTCTCGAAAAAGACAATTTTGCGGCGAATGGAGACTACTTCCCATGGAACCCCCAAATTTTTTTCTCCACCTTTAAAAGTTTACGTTTTTTGCTCAATAACTTTATTTTTCTCTGTAATGATTTATTAATCCACGTCATTACCTGTATAGCTTCCACAAAGTCCAGACCAGCTACTTCAAGCATCAAGTAAGCGATTCCTTGCCAGTTGTTGTCAACGACAACACGGAAAGCTGTCCTTATGTCAGGTTTGGGTTCCTTCAAGTCAACAACATTTTCCCATACCCACTTACACTTTTCCTTCCTGAGAATAAGAAAATAAAAAAAGACTTAAAAAGGGTCGTCTTCTTCATCATTCAACGATCATCCCGTTAGAGCACCCACATCATCGCGCAGAATACCCCTTGTTGTCAGAACATTAACTCGCATTGGAAAGCAGATCTGTAATAGTGGCAGCGAAAGGTAAACGGCGTGGATTTCAGTGGATGAATGTATCAAGTAGTTTTCTCCGCATAAACTATTGCTCTGTTTGAATCGTCTAACGTTGTACTGCGACTTCACTGGATAAGACTCACTCTTTTTCATAGTCTATCCAGTCCTGAGGAGTAAGAGGCTTTATAACAGAACAGGATGCTGGTGCGTTACTCTGCATAAACATCATGGCACAGCTAAAAGAGAAAAGAGGGATCCTGAATGAATGAGCTTTCATGCCGTTAAGTAATGACATTTAATTAAAATTACCCACAAATAAAAAGTACAGTACATTTTTGTTTTCCTTCAAAACGAACCGTCCTAGGCTTAAAGCGGTTATAATTAAAAGGCACTCGCTCAAAATGATAGGACCTTTCCTGTATCACATCCCCCATCAACCCCCCCACCCCCCCCCACACTGCTCTTATGCCTCCGAAAATCTCTTCCCTCACAATTCTAATTTCTCGATACATAACCGGCATTTTTCTCCCAGTTTTTGACCCGAGTTTTGCAGTTTTGACCCTTGTGTTTTTTCGATGTCGACCATTAATCAGAGTCCGGTGTTCAATCGAGAATAAAAGGCTTACCCTCTCTACTCATAAGTTCCTATACCTTACCATCTAGCACCAACCCCCACCCCCCCTTTTCATCAAGCTGTCAATGAAAACACATATAAGTGGGCCTATTTACAGCACTAAGGAGGAGATCTGAATGACATAACTACACTTGTTTAATCAAGGTCAAGACGCACCTACCACATTCAGTACAACACTAAAACAAAGTCGCACCGAACTTGACTGTTTCATAAGTCTTCCGCATTCCCCGCTCACCAGAAAAAGACCAAAACACAACATCCCACAGGATTCACGTTGAACTTTTACACATAACAATCGAGTACTAAGGAAGTGAAGTAGTCATATTACCCATCATGACTCTCGCGCAGAGCCAGCGACAAAGCAGTGTTGCCGTCGTTGTCTTTTATCTCCAGAGATGCTCCTTTCTACGAAAAACCAAACGGCAAACGTTAATTTGTGTAATCGATGATCAAGGACAACCAACCCTGTTACATTGTTCAAGAAAAATTAGATCTGTGTTAACAATCAAAAAGAGTCTCCAGCTTTTCTTTATTTTTCTCGGTCAGCCGGTCGAGCGCAAACAGATTGAGAGGGTGAACTGGTCGGTGAAAATTGAGCGAAAAAACAAAGACAACAAAATTCTTTCCTATAAGGAACTATAACAGGGTTTATGTATTTTGGACAAATTTCTCTGCTCTCCGCGTCATTCTCCTCCATTCGCAATCATACTTAATCTTTTTTTTTTTTTACTATTCGAATTTTGTTATATTTCAATCCGACTAAACTAATAATATGTAGTTTCTCTAGCACTAGAGGTAAGTTTGCAGGTCGAAGAAAAACGAATCTAAAAATTATGGCGTTAGCCTTAAATTATGTTGTGTAATTTTTGCATAAAAAAAAAAAAACAACACAAAACTTTGAACACTTATTCAAGAATTTGTCTCCGAATCTAGTTTTTATAGATTAATGTCAAAGGGATACTTCGGTGTTAGATTCTAAAGGTTTACAATGTGTAAACCCCCCCAAAAAACGGCCTTCTTCTCTCCAAATGCCGCCTCCCCAACATAATTTTTATTTCGGAAAAACTTGATTGTAGTGCTTACAAATTTCAAGGGGATGTTTTACCTGAAGTAGATTTAATGCGCAAATCGTTGCACCTCTGAGTGCTGCCCTGTGTAGCGGAGTCTGCCCAAACTTATCGCGATGATTCACTTGCGCCTTAACATCCTTTCCCTGTTCAGCCATTGCCTCACACAGCAGGCTCACGATAGATATTGGATCGGACATACTATAATCAGTGTGCCTGTGAAAACCGAAAAAAAAAAGAGAAAAATTAAATACATTCATACAGAACGGTTTCATGCCCAACAGGGTAATTGGTATTATCAACTGAGTTGATAACGTAAATTGGCCACCGTAAAGAGTTTAAAAACTGACGCTTCAAGCGTTCGCCCTTCATCAGAGCGAAAAAACGAAGGGCTAACGCTCGTAACGTCGAAACGAAATCCTTTACGGCGGCCAATTTACGTTATCGACTCGGTTGATAATACTAAATTACACTGTTTTAATGTTTGGTTAAAGAAGGTGCACTTCAATAGCTAACAAAGGACATTACCCATGGCACGCCATTTAGTGACCATGAAAAGTTTGGTTTTGGAATGCGAAGAATATTGAACTATTGGAGGACTGACAAATAGATGACATCACCGTTCACAGCATTTTGCTTTTTTGTCATATAAAACAAAAAGAGTCTACGTAGCCGTGGGTCTTGATAAAGTTTACAAATAAAACAAAACAATCACCACGTCTTGGTAAAGTTTACAAAGTGCACAAAATTCAACATTGTTTGGGGAGAAGTATAATTTATTAAAAATTTAGTAGTATCACGTCAATTGTCCCGAGACATTTAACCTCCATTGTAGGTTGGAACAAGCTTACAACCCTTCATTCTCTAGTCAGCTCACCTGTTGCCCATTTTCACAAACCCATAATGAAGAGGAATCCTTTCATGTAAATCTAGCGCCACCGTGTTAGCTCCGTACTTGATCAGCAAGTCCTCCACCTCCGTGAGTGTCTCAAAGCCTCCAGTGGTGCAGTTGACAGAGTAATGAAGAGGAGAGCGCTTCTTGGTGTCTGCGGTGTTCACTTCAGCGTCAGCTTCAAGCAAGGCTTTGCAAAGCTTTAGAGGCGTAGAGTTGGTGTCTGTGACGAAAATTGGGATGGAGCAGCAAGACAATTATAAACAATTACACTTTTTTAAGAGGGATTCAATATGTCTGACAATTCTTAAATGGTCTCGTAATTTAGATAAATTTAGATAGATTAATCGATCGATTGTTGGTTTATAAGTTAATTGATAGGTTGATTGATGGATAGACTGATTGATTTGTTAAATGATAAATCGATCGATTGATTACCTGATTAAAATAAGTAGAAACAGACGTACTCACCAGGTTGGTTGGTGACTGCCCATGACAAAGCAGTACGTCCAGTGTCATCAACAACATTAGGATCTGCTTTAGCATCTAACAAGGCTTGAAGGATGACGAGAGATACGTTTGCTGGCCTAAAAAAACAGAAGTGTTATCACATATCACACAAACCAATACTTCATGATTCATTTCATGATTATTTCGGATGCTTCAAAACAAATCGTTTTTATGGATAAATGTGTGAGGTTTCCTTCTTCTTATTCATAATAGGGGTAATAGGAAGAAAGGAATTTCTACGCCAAGACCGATTTGTGACATACATGAAAGATCACCATTGTCTTTACCTTGCAGCCAGAACCAAAGACGTCGAAAGTCCATCTTCTTTTACATTCAGCGACTTTATGTTTACATCAGCACCATACTCAATCTGGATTAAAGTTAGAAAAATATCATCACCAACAGGGCAATCTTCTCACGTCGGCAAATTGTTAAAGGTCATTTCCAAGATGCCCATAATCTATATTTCATACGAGACCAAGTGTAAAGACTTTGATAAGGAGACGAGACGCCTTAGGATCGTTGTTTTCGATCTATACGCACGAGAAAGTGTGAGAGATGGAAGGTGTATGGGTGTTTCTGTGTCATCCATGAGACACTCCGGAGCGAAAACTATACAGTATGACCCATTAGCATATCACCATGTTAAATTGTTACACACAGTGAAACGTAAAGAGGTAGGCTAGTTCCCCGCCTCAAAATGTATCTTTGATGTCGTGGGTACTGGAGCTCGTCGTAATTTACAGAGCACAGCAGATATTTAATTTGTGAACCAGTTACCAGAGGGACGCTAGACGGACGAGAGGGGGAGAAAGAGGCGGATAAATCATGTGTTACATTCAAAAGTATACCATTAGTTTAGCAGCTCCTGTATTTCCCCACTTCACTGCTAAATGAAGAGGCGTACGCCCATGACAGTCAAAGGAGTTGATAAGCGACTGGTCTCCTTTCACATATCCAAGAATTAACTCCAAAAATGAATAGAAATTCCAGCTCTCATAAACGAGAAAGTGAAGGCAGGAGAAGAGTCCTGAAAACAGAGAGATTAGCTTAGCTCGTTTCTCTGTGACTATTTACTTCAACAAGCTAAAAACACCACAACCTTTCAAATCTTGTTCTCCGTTCATCCTGTTTTCATTTTAGTTTACCCTTCCCATCCTACACTTTTTCCTTATTAAACAACTGATATTTTGTAATTTCACTTAAGATGAAAGTAACTTTGCATATCGCACAAAAAAGCCTAAAATATAAATCAACGTTGATTCTCGTTGAAGTGATTTGAGATTGAGGTAGTTTAATAAAATAAATGTTCATTGGGTGATTACCAACCTGTTACACCATAATCTTCTGCAGAGTCTTTTTCTGTAGAACAGAAAAATAAAACTATGAATCAATGAAATCAAAATAAAGAAAAAAACAGATTGTAGAAAAAAGAGGATTGGTTGGTAATATTAGGCGGTTAAATTTTGGGCATATGAGACATATGCAAAATGAAATATCTCGCATAAAACATTTTAAACATATTCGTTAATGGGTCTCCTAAACGCTGCAAAAATTAAACACGTATGTAGGAGATGTGATCTCTTTCACCTCTGACAGCTTTGAAAGAAACAAAAAGTGTTCATCTGTGTTCAAAACATTTATTTCTTTGATAAATCATGAAAATCTGTTGATAGACATATTGAAACAAATATGGAATGGCCAAATCGTTATGTAATATACCGTTAGGATTGACGTCTTTTTCACCATCCGAAGGAAAATGATTTCCATCAATGTCACTTTCATCGACATCCATATCATCACTGAAATCAACACTGTTATCATCGTCATCGTCCATAACAGTGTTACTGTCATCATCGCTCCACGAGCTAGGCTTTCTTTCCGACTCCACTTGTTTACCTTGGTCTTTTTTCAAACCAAATGTTTCAGGATCCCTCAAGTGTGCCTACAAAAAACAGCGAATAGTGACAGAAGGCGTTTCAAATGAGTGTTGTGGGAAAAGAACCGGAGTGACAACAGCTTTTAATCATAACAACAGAAAATAACACAAGGATCCGATGAGAACGCGACTTAAATATACATGTGACCAATCGCAAGTACAGAAAAAATGGGAGGGGACCCGTCATCGCCCGGCACTTGTTCGTGTGGGAAGATGGCACAAGACTACTGGACCAAACACAGACTGTAGTAAATTTTTCAGGCAATTCTCTCAAACTGGCTTTTAAAGGGTTTGCAATCCTTTGTCTCACACACGTTAAGATAAGTAAACGAAAAAAAAAAACTTAATGTTCATGTTCACTTACATCTGAGGCTTTGTTTATCTTTCCAACTCTTGCTTTAACGTTACAGCCAAACTTGTCAATCAGAGTCTGTTTATCAAGATGAACAAAACAGTCAGATATGTGCACTGTAACATACATTGTTAACGCATAGCTGCAGTGGTAGTCAACAGTGGTGCTTTGAATGTAAGGGAAAACGAACAAACAAAACGAGAACCAAACAAGCGCAGAAAAAACAAATTCAAGCAAACCACCAACTGTTACCTTGAGAAATTCCTTGACAAATTCAATTCTTTCCTAAGGGAAGGAAAAAATAAAAAACTCTACAGTAAATAAAAAAGTGCAAGATTTGCTAAGAGCATAAAGGTGACCTGACTTATTTGTCCCTCTAAAAGATAATCGTAACAACATTCCACGTGTTACGCATTATGAAAAACAAAATTTCATTAAATACCTAATATACAATTCTATTGTTATCTGTTCTTTCGTTTGATGATGAGAAATCAATAAAAAAAGGTCTGAATGAACAGCAGATCCCTGAAAGGAATCGGTCCGTTACCTTACTGGGTGGAGATGAAGCTACTGTCTCACAAGCTTGCAGGAGAGGTGTGAAGCCATTGTTATCAACCGCATTGGCCATCTGATTAAGGTTTTCTGGACGGGTCTAAGTACGAATTTGATGGTTAAGTCAAAATAATCCATGACGCAGTAAAGGAAATAATTTTTTTTAAAATATCAAAAGGCACTTAATATGAAATTAGTAGAGCATTGCACCTTAGTAACAAAGAAGAGTGCCGTAACAAGCATGGTTAGCATATTGTAGAGGAATCATGTAGATATAGATTCAAACAGGTTTTGGAGCGGAGGTCCAAAGAGAAACATTTCCTGGCCTTCACTTATCATCAAAGTTAAGCTCTTTTAAGTGGGGCTCGTGTTAAGATAAGTGGCTTATTTTCGCGTGTGGAATAAACTGAGTCCTTTTCAGCGGCATCCGCTCTTGATTTGAGTACCAGTGAAAACCCTCTGCGTAGTTAATTTTCCTTTTTCCTAAAATACCAAAACTTTCTAGAGTCCTTAATTTAAACATTCTGAGCGTTCTCAATCTATTTTTGTGTTAGTTAGGCTGATTTTACTTATTTGAAATTTGGGCTCTCGGTAGCTAGCCAAGATCCATATAACGTCAAACCTCGATCATCCGGACTTTTCGATTATCCGGAATTGCTTCTCTGGTCCCATATTTTTTTCAGGAATATTAATAAATCACATTCGAGACCGAAGCACATGTGATGAAAATCTCGTTGAATTAAATCTGTTCTGCTTTTTGAAGCTGTTAAATGTTTTAGGACAAAACAATTTTGATGCAATTCAACTAAAGCAGGATCAGGCGACGCGCACGCTTCAACAGTATTTTAGGTCTATTTAATTCTTAAATAATTGTGCTACGTCTTCTTTTTTAGGCCATTCTGTTTTATTTTTGGCTCTTTGGTATCATGTTTTTGATTATCCGGAGTATATACGGCAGTTAGTTATTGAAAGTATATGAAACAAATTAACTCTATGCTTTCAATACCTTCCTCAGGATTGTCTTCATGTAAGTCCTCATGTCATGCTCACTGCATTCGGAGGCTAACATATGCATGACGTTTCTCCCAGTCGTCTCCAGTCCTATGCTGGGATCTGCCTCATGATCCAGAAGCATTGAAAACTGATCCATATATGACTGGAAGAGTAGTAAACTACTAGCTCAGGAATTTACATATCTTGTTAAAGGTTTTTTCAAGGGCTACACTTAAATGCATTCTATGCCCCTGCCAAAAAGGGTCATTGGAAATTCTAAGAGAAGGAAAAGTAGAATAAGAAAGTAAAATCCAAACGTAAAGTACCCAAAAGATGAGGACAGAGAGAAGGGGAAGGAGACTGAAACCAATGCAGATGAAAAAAGGGTATTTATTTCCTCTGAACAAACACAATTAAATTCTATCACAAAACAAACCCCGTGGTTGACAGAAAAAAAAGAACAAAATCTTGCAATAACCTAAAAAACCACAACTGGCTTTCTATACTCCAGATGTGGTTGACTACCTTCAGGATCCCCTCCAGCTTATTTCCTCTGAACAAACACAATTAAATTCTATCACAAAACAAACCCCGTAGTTGACAGAAAAAAAAGAACAAAATATTGCAATAACCTAAAAAAACCACGATTGGCTTTCTATACTCCAAATGTGGTTGACTACCTTCATTTCAAGTGAAAGATAAGATTACAGAAATGAAGCATTTTAAATCTTAGAAATATTCTTGTGACCTCCAAATCAAAAGCTCAACAGAGCAAACCAAAAAAGGAAATGTTGTTTTGCACAAGATATGAAATATGTACCTCTGAAAGAGCAACCATAAGGGGCGTGAGTCCATCTGATCTGATGCAATTTACTTCTGCACCTCCAGCAATTAATTTCTCAATCATTTCATTGCTTGCTCTCATGACTAACGATTTCCAATGCTTCTGTAGCTGTTCCCGCTGCTCCCATTTGTTACCAGATAAAGTCTGAGGAAGACAACAGAGTAGAAAGAGATCCAGACAAACTTCTCTTTCCATCATAAGTTAGACCATCCCATGCACCTTGAATAATTTAAATATTAGACTAAGAAAAAGCCTCTCTATTCAAACTTTTCATTATCAGACATCTGCAAGGTAAATTCTGTACTCAAGTGGCTCATCCAGCCACAGCTTCTCGCTGTTTCTATGGCATAAAGAGGATAAGATTATTATACTGCTGGCAGTGCCCGTGGGTAATACGAAGCGAGTCCTGCATTCCGATTGGCCACTTGAGCCCACCTTACCCGCTGAGGCTGCTTGCTTCAAAAACAGTTGGCTTTCTTTCCCGTCTCTCAAACAAAACAAGTCATTCTTTTTTGCATTTACGGACCTCGACTTTGTCTTGGTCCATAAAAAGACAAAAAAAGAACTCGACAGGCTTCCCTGACATATATATTTCTGGGTGAAGAGAGGTAATGTGAAAGTAAAGTGTTTTGGGTAAGTGACACAAACCAAACTAAAATAGTTTACACTTTTCTGGCACAAATGGCAAACATTTAAAAGTATAACTGCGGCATGCAATGCAATATTAAGCTTATTTCTAGATGTTAAATTAAGGTAAGGTTAATAATAGGGAAATTTTAATGACAATAAACAACCATTTTGCAGATATTAACGCGTAAATTGAGCAGTAAATTACTGCGCATGTCAACAGGTTACACAAAAAAATAATCAAATGTTGTAAGCTCCAAAATGCAAATCCCTCACTTGCATCATTGTACAAACTATACTTACAACTGTGGCATCTGGGTACAGCTCTGATAGGTCGATATCATCAGCCTTTTCTGCTTGCAAATGCAGCACTTGAGAACCATTCGTGTTAGTTTTTCCCACCGAACCATCAGCTCCCAAGTCTAACAATGTCTCAATCAGAGGGAAATTGTTCTGAAGAAATGAAAAAAAAAACCCAGATACAATGCAAGAGCTGGTGAATACAAGAACTTACTTCTTTGGTGAGATTTCTTGTCAGCAATGTTTTCCTTCATAGCTGTAAGATCTAAGCACTTGCTAGTTATTTTTTGTGTAATTCGTCTTTATTTATTTCCTTCTCTTTTTTCATACCTCCTTGATGGTGTTTTTTGTTAAGTTTATTAGCATCTTCCTTCTTTCTCTTCTTTTTTCACGTTTCTCATGCTGCATGTTATTTTGCAGTCCACTTGTATTTAAAGCCAGTTTCTTTTACGCACAATCACTTTTTAAGTCAGTTTTCTTAAATCACGCTAATGGCGCAGTTCTCTGTATTTAGAAGTTGATTTTTGCAGAGATATATTAGGCATTATCAATGTGAGTATACACCTGTTTAATTAATAATTATAGATTATTTATCGCCTATACCCCCCCCCCCCCAGCGCTGTAAAAACTCCTAGCTAGCAGGGGGCTTATCAGTTGTTTAATTACAGACCAGAGCACAGCTTAGAGAAGAGTAAAGCTAAGAAATTTAACTCAGAGCAGTGAGGAGCAAATCGTTAGCAGGTGGCAGGGTTTAAGGGTTTGGAAAATTGGCAGCTCTCCAGCCTCTCAGTCATGTTAACTCCATGCTGCGATGGAAAAGTATGAAACACAAAGGGTTTAAGCCTAAGGGTGGATCAGCAGTTATCAGAAAGAGAAAGCTCTGCTGCAATATATCACAAAACAAAACTTGTATAAACCTGCAAGACAGCAACCATAAGTGGTGTTTGCCCCTCTTTGTTGAGAGCATTCAGATCTGCTCCAGCTGACACAAAGAGCTTAGCAAGCTTGCATGAAACATCAGCAAGATTCATCTTCAGTAGTGGTGGTTTGGTGTATCCCAAGTCCCCATCCTTTTGAGAAGAAAAAAAAAATAGAGAAAATCTTATCTAGGGAGAGGGAGTCAAAGTTTGGTTAACATATATATATAGTAAGTAATTTTTTTCCTCTAAATGTGGTGATGTTAATGAACACATCTTGCTTGTAATTTGAGCTGTAGAGAAAAAACTCACAGAAATAATAAACCATTTCCCTTGATGGCACAACAAATAGAGACTGTGAATATATCAAAATTATATAATTATGTGAACTGCAGTTTAAGAAATGAATATGAAAGCGATCTTCACAGTAATGAACTCTACTTAAGCAGTTAGTAGTGAAAATAAGGCCTGAAAAAAACAGTTCAGGCATGTAGGAGACAACAAATAGTATTGTTTTCCCAAGTGTCAAAGAATCATACTCACCCAATTTCCACTTTGAAAAATGGAGTTAGCAGCCAAATAATGAAGCTGTAAAAATAAGAGTTAAAGAGATTATTTAAATTCAGTTCCCATCATAATTACAAAAGGGCACACAATGGGGTTGCATGGAAACACAGGAGGAACCTACAGGTGAGCATTGTTCAATATCAGCTTTGTTGATATCAGCTCCTTTCTTGTCAATAAGAAATGTCACCATCTGTAACAAGGTCTCATTGAGGGTTGAACAGTTGAGCTTTTGACAGAGTAATGTTCGGCCACAGTCATCTGGAAAATTTACATCCACATTTTCCAAACTGAGGAGATAATCAGCACAAGGGATTTGATCTTTCATGAGTGCTATAGCCAAAGGAGTGACCTAGAAAAAGAATTCACAAAAGATGAGGAAATATTTCTGAACTCTATATCTAGGTGTAAGAATGGAAAAGATCTAAGCAGATACAAGTATTCAATCTGAAATCTACAAAGTACATGCCTTCCACTGGTTGGCTGCATTAGGATCCCCTCCAGCTTGTATCAGCATCTTTAAGCAATGTAGCCAGCCATAAGCTGCTGCGTAGTGCACTGGAGTATTCCCAGATGTGTCTGCAGCACATGGATCAACACCAAGCCTCAGGAGATATGCTGCAACTGGGGAGTGGCCATTCTTTACAGCATACATAAGGGGTGTCTTCTTCCACTTTCCTGTTTCGATTTATAATAATAATAATAATCAGTTTATTAAAAACAATGCAGTATGAATCATCACCTTAATAATGTTGTTAATAAATTTCTTGCCCAGATTGTACATATTAAATTTCACATTAAACGGAGCAAAAAAAGAATTGCTTTCCAAATTTAACAGTTTAAATATGGTTTCTTTGAAAAAGATGCTAAGAAGAGGGAGAGGGGAGTACATACATTGTATTAAAAAAATGTTAAAGGAAAACCAGTGTTCCCTACCCATACAAATGCATTTACAGTGTTAGGCTGCTCCAACACTGGATCATGCCAAAATTTCCCTTTATTAATTGAATTCAAAGCTATAATCTAATGTTTTGCTTAACCTCTTTTATCAGGTGAAGCTTTGAGTTTAACAAGTTCTTTTACAGTATCTAGATGTCCTCTAGCAGCAGCCAGCATCAGTGGTGACATGTTTCCTCTTGCTGCACCAGTCTGAAGGTCAACATTGCCACCTGCAGTAACAACCAACTTGACTATGTCCTGCGTCAAGAAAACAATTTTTCCTGGTCACCATACTCACTGATAAGAACATGACCAATGAACTCTGCTTAGACCTTAACTCCTATGCATGACCAAGATAGAATATCTCCTTTCAATTTCAATACAATATCTAGCAGACAAGTGATGAAAATAAAGAAAAGTATCAGTTAGGAAATTATTAGTTGATCCAATACCAAAATCTCCAAACTAATATCATAAGAATTGTATGAAAGAAACTATAGGGATAATTATTAACGAGATCCCAGTGATCATATAACTGTGTAATTATGCACATTACAATTTACTGACCATACCCTCTACTCTAAGGTCTGACGCCCATTGTCAACAGCACTTACCAAGTGCCCATGCTTAGCAGCATAGTGGATTGCAGCCACAGAGTGTTTGTTCTTGATATCAATTGCAACCCTAGGCGCCACAACTGCTCCAGATTCTTCTTCATCATCACCATCACCATCACCATCAGCCTGATTGTCACTTGCTAACAGCTCTTTCACATTCTCTTCTCGTCCATGCTTACAAGCAATCATTAGAGGTGTCAAACCTTTAGGTCCAGGGTCATTTGGATCAGCTCCTCTGGAAAATTACAAGAAAAATTTAACCTGAAAGATGTTTGACAACTTCCATCAATGGAAGGTGATGAACATCCTAAAAAAATCAAGACACTAGGGATAGATTTGAGAAGCTACAAAATGCAGTGGAGAGATTGAGCCCATATTTTTTCACAGTCACTTGACACCTTTATTAATTACCGTGTGACAAAAAGGAGAAACAAGGTGAAGGACACACAATATAACCCTAATTGATTTAGAGCAAAATATTCAGTTCAGCTGATCATAATTTTTGGAGAGAGACACCATGAGCAATGTCCTGAACCCTATTGTCCATATCTCACCCACACTGCAGTCTATTAAAACAGTTATTAGTGACCATAATACCTTGCTAGTAACACCTTCAAGGGGCCTGGACCTTCACATGCTGCAGCATAATGCACTGGTTTGAAGCCATCTTTGTCAGGAATACTGTACTCTGGTACTGAGTTTAACAAAGCTTTGAGGTAATCTTCATTTGGATTAATGCAGGCAGCATGGATTGGCAAGATCTGCAAAGTAGAATTATTTACAGCTTTGAACCTCCTTTAATCATAAAACTTCGACCGTGTTAAATGATTATTAAATCTAAATCGGATGGTGATGTTGATTGTTGATAACAATTTGGGCATTGATTGTCTTCTTGTGTTAAGGTACTTACAACTTTATTTTCCATGGGCTTTTTCTTGACAGACTGGCTTCTAAACTTGGAAAGCTCCTGATTATCATTCAACAAAACCTGAAGGAAAGCAATGTTTGATGCCCTAATTTCAACTGCGTAAAATAACAACTTAAGGAAATGTTTACTTGTGATAACCTTATCTGGCTAAAAAAGGGGTTTATAGCTCTGTGTTAACCCTTTAACCTCTGAGTGATTATAAGAATTTAATTTCTCTTGTCAGTATTACCCCTGAATCGAATATTAAGGTCTTTAGAATAAAGGAAAATATCACAAGGTCAGAAACTCATCAGTGATTATTACACAAATTCTCCTAATAAGTACAATAGCAAAATTAATGTATGAAAGACAATATGGAGAACTTGCAAACTCATGTTAAGGTGTATAAAGAGCTTACTATACAGAGTTGTTCACAACTTAGCATTGACATACTCATATTTTTATTTACACGTAAGTTTGTTTAAAATCACATAAATATTGGCAACCCATTCCACTCTGCATGAATTACCAAATGAAATGTATGTAGGGTGTAGCCAATCACATTGCAGCACTTCTCAAAGAATGCTTATAGATTTATACTACTTAGGGTAACCATTAGATTTCAAGTGATAACTGGTGTATTGTTCTAAATAATATAATCTGCTTGACTTGACCAGAAGTCATTTTTACATCATTATTTCTCTGTTTAACTTAATGTCAAATCCAGTGGTGTTGAAGCTTTTGTCTGTTTGCTTGCTTTTTCCTTAAAATCATTAAAGATTGAAATTTATGAACTATTTTGTTTTAATTTGTTTTAAATAAATATTAAAAAAAAAACACATACATTCACAGCACATGTTTCATAAAAGAAAAACTGCATTTATTTACTTTTTTACCTCCTTGTGCAAAAAGTTGAAACCAAATCCAAATTTGTCCACACCCTTATCAACAAAATAGCCAGCCACTTTTCTGTTTCCACTTCTGATGGCTACCCAGACACAGTTGATACCTTCCTTGATTGTGAAAGTCAGATAACAAAGGTAGTGTCATTATAAAGTTGTTTTTCAATCAATTTCACCATAATAATTCTTGTACTCCAAAATTTCCCACTTCCAGATAACACTATTTTCCAGCAGAACCAATTTTTGTGTTCCAGAAAAAGACAGAAAAAGTTAATTATTGCTATCCATCTTTGTCTCCAACAGTCTCCGTAAATAGTCATGCGATAAGGTTCCATGACAAAAAAAATCGAGAAGTAACATTTTAACTGTACATGTACCACATATGTGGACATCAATTTCTTTTAACCGAATAATATTGACCTCAACTGCAACTTCTGCAACAATTCCCATGCAATATGTTACTCATTCCTGACTTTGATGTGTTAAACATACATATCTATATATATATATATTTGTAAGATTCAATTATCATTTATTACCTGCATATTTCTCAATAATGACCAGCTTAATTCAATAAAACTGTTCCTATCAAAACTCTCACAGCTAACTACCAGTAAGGCCTCTTCAAAAGAGCAGCAAATTACAAGAACAACACAATCATAATATGGTATTTCTAAACTTTATAATTACATCAACATAATATTATACCTGTTCTGCCTCATGAAGTGTTGATCTTTCCAATGCACACACTTCACTCATAAGCACTTTCACTGTCTCCAGAGGAACTCCCTTTTTGAAGCAGAAGTGGAGAAGTTCAGACAGATCATGGCCCCTTCCACCAAATTTAGTCTCATCCTGTAAAAAGTTAAATTCAAATATCAATTCAATCAAAAGAAGACTAGAAGCTAATGAAAAATACTTGCACTTGTCAACAAAATCTACAAGAGGAATGCATTTCTCATTTTTTTTAATATATAAACAGTCCATGACAAGAATGTGCTGGCCAAAGTGGAGATATAAACTTTTTGAGGTAAATACACAGCTCTCCTGATTGATCAGGTATGGTATTTGCATGTCTCTCAAAATTTTGCATAAAAAACAAATCGCACTTACTTCAAGAAAAGCATTATTGCCTTGTCTGGATCCTCTGCTTGAATATAGATCTCTTACTACATGACCAAAGGTGTAAAAGTTGTATCTGAGTGCATAAGATTAAGTTAATTAAAAATGACTTGCAGAATATAAAAAACTACTTACAATAAGTAATATTCCTTGGATATGTCACTCTGCAAAAAATATTGAAGACATGTTTCCAACTTACGTTCCTGTATCCATGCGATCAAGACTCACTGTAGGTTCGTTTTTGCGTGGTAGATATGGCTCTGATGTACTTAGACTTTTTAAATCTGTCAGCAAGAGTTTCAATGCCTCATGGTTTTGGTTTAGAAGTGCATAATGTATTGCACCCAGCTGAATCTCGGGACTTCTTGGCCAATGAACCTGCCAGAAACAAAACAAACATTTTAAATAAGTCCTTTGGAATCATGGCAACAGAACTGATTACAAATGACATATGTGTAAGAAATGATCATTCATTTAACTATCAAAATCAAAATTTAACTGTACATACTGAATAAACATTTTCTCTGTCATCAATGACTTCTTTCAACATCTTCATGTCATTAAGCAAGACCGCTCTTGTTGCCCATTTGACAGGCATCAAGGAAACATCATCTCTATAAAAATTAAATCACAATGAGACTGTGAAACAATCACAGTGAGACTGAAGGTAATGAGATCACCATTTAATATACTATGGGGGGTATTGTGCAAAAAACATACTAATCATACAAAATACCCCTAATGCTTACCACTTAGACAGTAAAACCACTGGACATATAACCGATACTTAGGTTTACACCATACAACAATACATGTGCATGTTACTAAAATTAACCAATTATTAATTATAAATGAATTCAAAATAATGATCAGATCAGTGTCACCTACCCCTCCCCTAGCCCAACTTTAACCCTACCTTGTTATCATTAGACTGTCACTGAGTTGGGGTTGGGTAGGTGCACATTTGCTTGGATATTAAACATTGATCCTTCTAATCATCAGAAGGAAGAATCTCATATCACTGTGCCTTGAGAGAATTTACATGCAAATGCAAAAGACAGTTAAGAAAATTATTTTTAACCAACCTTGTTTCAAATGTGGGATCTTTCTCAAGCAGTTCAATATCTTCATTAGGAATCAACACTCCAGCACGCCTTGGTTTTTCTTTTTTCTCTGCAACTTCCTTCTTCTTCTTTTCCTTCTTTGGTTTAGACTGAACTGATTTCCTTTTCTGACCTGGACTCTTTTTGGGTGTGGGTGTGGTCTTTTTCTGTCCTCTCCTCCCTTTCTTCTGAGGGGTAGGGGTAGAGGCAGCCTTGGATCCACGCCGAGTTCTTTTTGCAGGAGGTTCATCCTCTTCAGGTTCACCTTCCTCCTCTTCAACTGCCTCCTCCTCATCACTTGCAGATTCTACATCATAACCACATAAACTATTCATAACCTGAGATTATCCAAGTTTCTGCCATATAAAGTAACAAGAAGCTCTTTCCCTCCCCCTTTCCCTCCCCCTCCCCCTCCCCCTCCCCTTCCCCCTCCCCCTTTTGACTGAGCGGAAGTCATCAACAAAGTCAATTGACCCTGATGAAGTCAATGGACTCTGATGATGACTTCTGCTGAGGTTGTCAAAATGCCAGTCATCACCACCTACAACAGTCCTTCTCAGGACCACAATCACATGGATGATCAAACTACACTAACTCTTATTACCCCAGGGTTCAAACCATTTATTGTATTTTCATTACTGTCATTGTTTATAGCACCTTCTTCAGGTATGTCCTCATCTCCATGTTCAGCAGCCAGAGCTTCTCTTAAGAGTTTCCTGGTTTGTTTTATGTGCTGTCTGGAGATTGCAAACCTTTCTGGTTCAAACTCTGACATTGCCACACGAGTGATAACTGAATCCATGTGACATACATCATCAAAAGAAACCTGCAAAATGGATTCCCCAATTAAATTCACAATGACTGTGGAAATACTCAGATTAATGAAAATCTAACGTGAGAAAAATCCCATGACGATTCCTTTTCAACTCTACAGAGACATGTCATCTGAATTTTGATCGACAACTCTGTGGAAAGTTTCTTTATTAAAAAATATTGCTGCATTACAATGAAACAAATGATAATTGAATCTGCATGTGATAATATATTATACAGTATATGTAAAGAAATAATCCTTGGAAGTGAATGGCAATTTTAAGAAATTGCAGTTGAAGTAGCCACATGTCGGAAGCATGGTAAATTTGCCACCCTCACCAACATGTGCCTTTGTAGTTCAATTAATAGTAGTGCAGCTGTATTCTTAATCTGTGTTGTATTATTTTCAATCACAATCAAAACTCGTTTGATGAAAGCTTTCATCATAAGTTATATTGAATAATGCCAAATGTAAATGCCTAAAAATAGACGAAACCGAGAAAAAAGACAAACAAACTTCAGAGCCATTCGAGGCTACGAAAACAAAAAACGATAATAGTGGGTGTGTTAGAGTCACGCAATACTAAACGGTCACAAAATACAAAGTTGAATTAAACTTTAGTAAAGCTTCTGCTTTGCAGCTTTTGCGGGAAATTGTAAGAATTTTACAATCACTATCCATCTATTTCTTAAAACGATACGCACTTTCATTTACCAAAAGGTAAACTTGCTTTGTGATACAAATCAAAGCAAATTCATAAATTTTGATTAGAAATCAGTAATTAGCGTCACCTCAATAATGTCAGTCTCAGGATAAAATTGTATTCAAAACATTCGCAAACTTCTTGAAAGAAATAACGAAAATATTGCTCCAGTCTCACCTCGTACACATTATCATCCACTCTATTGAACCAAGCCACACTGAAGCTCGATGCGCTCTCAGGAACATCTTCTAGCACACGGCAGACGTAGAAATCATTATCCTCGCCTCGAACGGTTAGAAAGTCACCTGCATTAAACTCAAATTCTTCTGTAAGATCAATCATCGGCAGAGCTTTCCCTCTTCTCTTTATTGACATTAACCGTCGGGAAAGGCGAATAGGAGGGTCTTCTTCAGCCGCACGTGCTTGTCCTTCGCGGACATACACGGAAAAAGTTTTCTTGTTCAAAGGTGAAGCAAGGGAAACTGCAAGTGGCTCATTTTCGTCCTCACTGGAAACTGGAACATCTGTATCACCTCCTTCGTCGTCTAGGTCGCCTTTATCCTCTGGTAAAATTCCGTCGTCTTCTATGTTTGATTCTCCTGGTGCAGGAATTTCTTCGATCTCACGTGCGTCATCTAGGTCTTCAGTACCCTGATCGATCTCAGACGGCGGACGACTTGTAGATTCACAAGTTTCCCTTTCTTGCTCAACCAGGATGGCTAGAGAAGATTGTCTTTTCAGAAGACGATTTCGTAGAGACATTTTAAACACTGCTTTCTCTCTTTTCTATAAAAAAATACCTATAACCGTCAAAAGACACAATTTACACCAGGGCAAATCGTGAAGCTTCGGGACTGATTCACTTGTTCAATACTGTTCTCTTTTTATAACAAATCCAGCGAACGAGGAAAAATCTGTAGTCAGCTGTTTTTGGACAGTAAACACAAAAGCGTGGGTTGGAGTTCTGGGCAAGCCCGATCCACCAAATTAAAGACAGTATTTGCAAAGAGCGATTTCCGCTTTCCTTTAGAGCCCAGTAACACGAGAACAGCCTAGAAGCGTTGATTCTGGCCTTTGTGGTTGCCGTGACACTTTCCGCTGATTTGGTTAGTGTCACGTCACGACACGATTAAGTAACGTCATTTGCACACGACGTATTTGTGACTTCGATCGAATTTTTCTTTCCTTGAAAGCTGCATTTAAATAGATATCACAAGTATAGATATTTAAATTCCTTGCAAGAGCAATCATCTCTTTCCTTTTCTTAATTTTCAGTTCGCATTGTTAGCTTTCATTGGGGTTGACAACCAACCCCGCCTACCAGAAGATTTGGATGAGTTGCATTTGCAAGGAATCATGGGTGTGACATTGTAGTATAATGGCGGAAGGAGACAGCATCTTCGCCAAAATCATTCGGAGAGAGATTCCATCTGAATTTCTCCATGAGGATGATCAGGTAAAAACCATTGTTGCAATTTAGATCTGAGGCGTAAACTTAAGCTTGAAAACATGCGGAGAAATGAATCTTTGAGGCCACAATCTTAAAGAGAATTCTTTGACTCGCCCACGTTCTGCAAAATTCTAATTTCTTTTCACTCATTATTAGTTTACATACGATAAACATTACTCTATTTATAAAACTGTTTTGGACCGATACATTACAACCAAGTATGGACCTACCTTCGTAATAGATTCGAGGAACGATCCATTTTGAAAGAAATTTGCACTTGAACTATACGCAATGCGTGAAAATTTGATCAAAGTGAAAGTAAATTTTTGCAGTGAGGTTACGCGCTCAAATCTAAAATTTTCCTGGTAGTCTGCAAGAAGCTTAATCAAGGTTTGTTCAAACTATATCATTTAACTGAAGAATTTCGGTTTTTTTTAAGCTTTAATCTTCACCTGCCACGAGCCAATCTCATACCTCTTGGGCGTTATTTTTTCTTACCTCTTATCAGCTGTTCGACGTACTTTACCCTTTGTATTCCCAAGCAAATGACATTGTAACCCTTCAACTCAAAGAAATGATTAACATATAACTTCTCCCTATGATATTCATACATCATCCAGCAAATAGGTAATAAGAATACTAAAACTTATTAGATAGAAGTTATCTTGATCTTACACCAAATTCTTGAAACTAATTGATAAGAAAATGTACACAGCTAAAAGGGAGAATTAATAATCACATCTTGGAAAGTAAAGACCTAGCCCTTTAACTCCCAAGATCTGATTGCTGATTCTCCCCTGTAGCTGCTACACATTTACTTGTAGATTAGTTACAAGAATTTGGTGTTAGATCAAGATGACAACTTCTACCTGATAAGTCTGAGTATTCTCATTACCTTTTTGCTGGATAATGTATAGATGTTATGAGGAGAAGTTACTCGTTAATCACTTCTGAGAGTTAAAGGGTTAAGGGATTATGTAACTGAAAGCTAAGGAGACTCAAAAATGATATGATTTAGCTTCTCTGCAGTTTCCTCATGTCTAAATATGTTATTCTTTCCATTTTTAATTTCTTGTTTGCTTGTTTGTTGTTGTTAGTGTGTTGCTATCAAGGACATCAACCCTCAGGCACCTGTTCACTTCCTTGTAATTCCAAAGAAGCCAATACCTCAACTGTCACAAGCAGAAGACTCTGATGAACAGGTAAGACATGGAACAATCTGGCTTCTCTGCTAAACCATCCATCTTACAATACAGTCCTCCAAGCTGAACAGTTTTGGTCCCAGTGGAGAATTATTGGCCATAAGGAAATCTGTAACATTTTCGTTATTTAAATTTTACTGTTCTGCTTTTCTTGTAGTTGCTTGGCCACCTCTTGGTGGTTGCCAAAAAGGTTGCAGCTGAACAGAATTTGGCCAAAGGTTTTCGTGTTGTAATCAATGATGGAAAGGAGGGAGGTCAAGAAGTGTATCATCTTCACATCCATGTTTTGGGTGGACGCCAGATGAAATGGCCCCCAGGCTAGTCAAGGTTATTAATTCTACACCTGTTTTAAATCATTGAATCTGCAGGCAAAGTGACCCATGCTAGTGATTCTGTTGCTTTCATTAGTTTCTTCTTTCCTTAGTCATACTCAGCCCCTCTCCCCTCCCCTCCCCTCCCTCAAGAATGGGATACCATTCCATCAATACCCACCGTTTTGTTGATACAGTAGTGGGTAATTTGGTCTTTTACTGTTCAATACTTAAATACTGTTGGAAATTTTATGCTCAGTAACTTATCTCAGTGCCCTCCCCTCCACCCCAACCCTCTTTATCACAGGGCAACACAGGATTATTTATAACTCTTTCTTTTTCTCCTTCAAATCTTGTGTGATGATATGGTTGCAAGTACTTCTGGTCAACAATGTTATTGAACTCTAGGGAAAGCCAGTGGTGAAGATGAAACTAAAAAATGTTATTCCAAAAGTAGCATGAAGTAGACTTAATATCTTGGAAGTATTAACAGCTTGTTGCTACCCAGTTTCTAGTACCCAAGCTTTGTCATGTACTCACTGAGTGTAATATGCTTTAGCTACATATACTATTAATAGTAGTTAATGTATATTTGGCAAAGGAGAGACTTCTTTTTTACTTGGCATTTTTACATCTTATTCTGACTGACCTCCTGATCTAAACTGATTTTATAATTGCAGATCAGGTTGTTTCCCCCAGACTATGAGCCCAAGGTCAGTCAATCATTTATTTTTATTGTTAGGTGAAAACTTAAAGCAATGCAGCCAGGTGGCCTAAAATGGCATCTGAAATTCCCCTATTTTGGTTGCAAGAAATAAATGGGTGTAAGTCTACTCCACATGGAGTGGATGCCAGTTCATTACAGGTGGCTCTCGGCATTTTTATCAGGTGCCTTTCTGACAATTTACCTGTAGGTAAATATTCCACTCAATATCTGTAAAACATGTTTAATCTGACTCGTACAATCTGGTTTGACTAAAAGGAAAACAATACAATCTGATTAAAAGAGACTTAACGAAATGAAATGAAACAAAATACTACTTAGTATGAGATTTGTAAGCCTGAGAGAACACATGATCTACAAAACCTAAAACATTACTCACTGGCGAGCACATGCTGTAGACCATAGTTTATGCATATCTAACCCAGTATCATGCGGGTAGAGCAAACCTAAATAAGACATATTGCAATCAACATTACCCATTCCAATTGTGGCAGTTTGGTGAAGGGGGAGCACTGTGAGGGAAAAGTCATATCCAGACCTCTTAGTCCAGCATCTAGCCATTAACTACCTCATCATGTCTCCCATTTTATTATTGGTGGGTGTTAATAAATCAGTGCTAGAATCCTAGATCATTAGAATGCTTACCGTTTTCTAGGGAAAACTGGGCATTTATCTAATTTTCTTCTGTTCCTCTTCAGTCTTAGGTAGCACTAGCAACCAACGACTCCTGACGTAGCAAGAACGGATGGTAGAAAATTCATGGCACAATGAACTAAAAATTTTAGAACATAAGCTGAGAGGCTTTTTGAAAGTTACAAGATTTTTTTGTGGAAGACTGGCTCGTAAATTTTTTCACTTGTATTTTCCCTAAATTGAAAAGGCAAGGAAATAAAATAACATTAAATGTCATTACCGTCGGATACCGTCTAGTTTATTTTGTTAAATATTTTATTTGGAGGGTTGTACTACTTTCAAAAAAGGTACACGTGTGTTTTAAAGGAAAGTTACTACTCCAGACAGGTAGCCCAGGAAGTAGTAACCTACAAGACTGATTTCTGAGGCCAGAAACAAGACTAAGAGGATAAAGAAGTGATTTTAAGCCTACATCATCATCATAATTCACCAAATAGCCAATAAAATTCGAGAATGTCACCTAAAGTTACGTTAAGAGTGAACCTCTATTTCCGGGACCACTGGTCCTATGAATCTCACAGAACTTGTCGCTCTTAAAGGTAGCGCGAGAGAGTTTGTGCACAAGTAAGATTTTCAAAGCACGATGAGGAGAGGTTTAGGGTGTAAGTAGCGGTTGAGATAAGTCTCATGCCCAGACCTTCCACGGCCAACCCAGGCCTGCCACGGCCAAATACTCGGTAGGATCTGCATTAGGTTGGAATTTCGTGGCCCTCCGCGCAATTTGCTAAATTTTACCCAGTGTCTTCTTACACGCGTGGCTAGAGCCATCATTAACTAGGCTCGAATTCCGCCGCGCTCTCGGAATTAACGAATGACTCAAAGGCATATGATTATTTTTTTTCTTTTAGTTTGGCCTTTTCATTTTTTTTTTTTTTTTTCAGTCGTTTTGCTGTAAGAAAACTTTACGGAGTGTATTTAACCAGGCTTTAACTAGACTCGAATTCCGCTGCCCTCACGGATCTAGCGAATGACTCAAAGGCATATGATAATTTGCTTCATATCAGTGATTCATTATTGATAGGTTGATAATTAAGATATGGCTCGTTGGCAAAATTACAGATATGCTACTCGCACCTTTCACGCCATCGGCAGCTCACAAAACCACGACGAGGCTCTTTCAATTATCGTTGACCACGTTTCAGTTTCAAAATTAACTCTTTAGGTAACATTTCGTGTTTGTGGCGAGGAAAAAAATGGCTGAATGCTTCAAGCAGAAATCTAAGGTCATATATAAAGGAAGCTAAGTGGCTACTTTCTAAAATTTACATGAAACGAAAATAGGAGGAAAATGACGATATTTCGTGAGTTTGCCAAGGTGGTCCAACATTTGGTTTTCGTGTGTTGTGAAAACAATAAAAATCTTACCAGCGAACAACGTTTTTACTCCTACAAATAAAATAACGTTTTGCAAGTTTCCAGTATGATGAAAATATATTTTTTGACAAAAAAAAGACTCATTCGTCCTACTTTGTTTATTATCATATCTCAAGCGACATTTAAAAAGACGGCAGAGAAAGTTGCCTCGTGGTAATGATGAAAAGCAAAAAGGATTTTGATACTTTGCATGACAGATATTACTCCAGAAGTCTAAGCCTCAAAAAGTAGTTTGAGTTGGATATTGACCAATTCCCAAGTTGTAAATTTTCATTTTTGTCGCATGTCAAGGGAACAATTGCTTGCATTCTTTACTGGCAGCAAAAAAATCTGTGAATATTGTCATGCATCCTAGCGAACAATTATCTTATTAACGAAGTACCACTCTTAACAAAGACGTTAAAAGTTGTATATTTATCAATATTTTCCAATATCGTAAATTCTTCACCTCACTTTTTCAATAAGGTTATAATTCTTACTAGTCTTCAAAGTCGTGAACGAACAACGAATTTGGGTTAAAGGGACATTTTTGCTACGAAAGATCTGACTATGTGGCTTATGGATTTAGAGATATGCGACACGATTGTTAATAAGTAGCAGAGAGAACTAGAATCCTTGTCAGAGGAAGTGATTGTTCAATCTATATTCCTGACGCATAAAGTGAATTGTTTCCAAACAAAACCAATCTCAGTAAACACAGTGATTTGCATCGTGGCCCATTTCTGAACGATATAACAAGTTACAAGTGAATGGAGTTGGTTTTTCAAAGCATATGTTGTCTCTTTATTTCCTTCTCCTTCCTATTCAAGTTCTTTTATCAATCGTTTTTACTGTAAGAGAGAATTTACGGAGCGGATTAAAGACCTCATACCATTGCTTCGTTGTTGTTGAATTGGTAGTAAAGATTGCGAACTTCGTCTGGCGTGTTTGCAAAAATTGAGAAGTGTGACTCGCATCCTTTTTCGTCGTCAGCTGCACTCAAAACTACGACGAGGCCCTTTCCTTTATTGTTGATCGCGTTTGCTCTCGCAATGACCTCTTTGGGTGACAGCTCGTGCTTGTTGTACGAAAAAATTGCCGAGTGCTTTAGATCGAAATCTAAGGCCATGTACTTAGCTAGCAGTAAATGAGTCGTGTCGCTACCGATTCTTGGGTTTAAATCGACCAAGTACTTTCCCTGATCAGTGATGATAACTTCAAACGTGACCAGGCCAAAGTAGCCATGCTTTTGGAGGTAGTTCTTAATCGGAACGGTAAACTCTTCGTAGACTAGCTTCTCATATTCTTCGTGTTTGTCCCAGTCCACTACGGCTCCTGTCCAGCCAAAGCCTTCGAATCCACCTATTGTGGTCCCCAACCAGTATAATTCGCCTGATTTGTGCAGGTAAAACTGAAAGCTGGGCACTTCTTTGATCCGTGGGATGACCTCTTGGTACAATACGTCTCCGTGCCAACCACAGTCTTCTCTAATGTTCCTTAAAGTAGCAGCCAGTTCAATTTGGTTCTTTACAAGCCTATTTCCCCGTCCACCGCTGCTCATGTCAATTTTCAGCAAGCAAGGAAAGGTTAGATGGTTTTCATCCATGTGTCTCGGAGTGGGTGCCTTGACATCCAGTAGAGAACTCTTCAGTTGAAGTTCGTACAGAATATCTGGATGTATAAAGTGCTTGTCTTCAGGGATGGCTTCCAGCGCCGCTCTTGTCACGATAGGAACGTCATCATGTAATCCTTCTTCCGGGGATTTTACAATCACAGTAGGATAAGCAGGGAGCCATAGCTTCCAGTGCTGCTTTAAGAATAATTCTGGTCCGCGCTCCATCAAGACCGGAATTTCATCGCCAGCAGCAGCAAGGTGGTAACATGGTGATACAAGCCGGCGAAATGTTGCTGAAGACGTTGGATAATCGAAAATTCGGTATTTGGTCGAGTTGAAGAATTTGTATTCTTCTATATAAGAGGACGGCTTCTGTGGAAGAAAATAGGCCTCTGTCAGGTCTTTCTTTATCAGACTTCCAATGGTGATCGCGTTCATCGACGAAGACATCGCTACACGTTGTATTGCTTGGCTGAAGGTCTCGAAGGCGTTTGGAGAAACAGGTCTGTCAAATACTTGATAAATAATGAAGGAAATCATGAGTATATAAGATAGCATTAAGATTGTAGACAAATATTGATGCACTTGAAAGTCTTCAGTGGCCCTCACGTAATTTTCTTAATCTGAATAATTATTCATATGACTCTTTTCTATCCATTCTTTTAAGAGACTTGTCGCGTCTACTCCTGGGATTTTCAATAGTTTTCAATAGTGACTATTGATCCTCCGCTTTGTCCTTTCTCAGAGCTGTTTTAATTGAAATAGCACTTACATTGTCCGTGCAGTAGCATAGACGTTGAACATACATGTCCAGTGTAGTTGGTGTTGATTACATCAAAGGATAGTGGAAAGGTGACTGTGCCTGGTTTCATCTTTACTTTGGGTGACAGTACGAGGGACGGCTTCCGTTTGCTGATACTCCACGAGGCTTGAAGTCGCTGCGCATTTTTTAGGAACCGCGGAATTGGTCTAGCATATCACATCGGCTATTCGAAAGGGTGTCCTGAGGAGTGAGCGGACTTCGTACAGTCACATGTGTGTATACGCCTAGCTTAGACTGTATAGTATTGAAGGCTTTTGTATGCGCGTTTTTCAACACGGGCACGATTTATCCACTAAGGAGAAAAGAGAAAAACATTCAATTTTGAAATTGAAGGGATTTCATACGGAGACTCTCGTGATTTCTTTTTCTGTACTATTGCATCAAGCTGTGTTGTATATTGATTTTTGGTTCTTAGACAATATGTGAACATTGTCAATCACTGCTGATACTCGCAATTCAGGGCATTTTGATTAATTTTTCATATTCTTCGGTAATACAAGACTGGGATTAAGAAGCATTTGACACTTTGTCTGGCCCATTGAACTTGGTTGCTCATCTGAAGAGTTTGCCAGTTTTAAAAACTTTAAAAAAAACATTTTGATGAACGGAATCAAAACACTATAATGCTCACCAAATCCCCGGCCAATTGTCATAGCTATTGGAGCTAAAAACAATATTTTGATATTTCACTTATCGTGCAAGACAAGACAGAAAGTTCTTTTCTTTCTCGTTATATTTAAGTGTTATGTACCGTATTTATCAATCATGATAAACTAGCAGCTCTCCGCAATAAGATATGCAGTTGTGTCAGTTTGCTGCACAAGAAAAGCTCTTTTTTTTTGATATACAAAATCCTTTTTTTCTCGGCCTCGTAAAAAATATATCTGAGGAACTGAAAGTGCAATATATAATGACAAGGGGTATGTTAAAATAGAAAATTGAATGAACTCGGTGAGAGTTCCAAAAAAACCTCTTTGATCAATATTGGGGATGTGACGTCAGAAGTAAGCGAAAAATACGATGCCATCGAGATTAAAAATAAAAGTAAAAAAACTTGAACTAATTTAACTTTCAGTAAAGGTGCATTTTATCATTTTGATGGCTAACTGTCGTTACCTTCAAAAATCTCTCCATTAAAAAAAGGAAAAAAATCTTGAAGTTGATCCGAAGCGTTTACTTTACAAATGGTTTGCTTGGTACATTCATAAGGAATGTAACCTGTGAATAAAAAATATGACGTGAATTTACCCTGACAATTATCGTCCTTTCAAATCTCCCTTGTCATAAACTGGTTCCCTAGTTATGGGAAAAATTTTTCATTTAAGACTTCACGACCGAGAGAATCTGATCAAAACGCGAGATTGCGAAACCTGTGAAATTTGATTACAGTTTCGAACATAATATTGACCACCGATAGTAAGTTCAATTCATACAACTACTCATCGATATTTTATTTATCGATGTGAAGAAAATATTCCGTATAAGAAATATATTAGCAACTCATCCTCAAAATGTCGGTGTTAAAATGTATTTTTTTGATATCGTAAAGACCCTTGTTCTCTACCTTAAATATTCATTGTGAATAAACGAAACGCTGATCAAATGACCATTTCGTTTAAGCCAAAAGTCCATGTATAGCTCTACTAGTGTTTTATCAGAATTGCTACAACCTTAGTGGCTACGCTACTCAATATTAATCCTGCGATATTCATTGATAGGTGGCGAGCTGAGTTAGCAACGTAACAGAGTGGATTTGTAAATAAAATAAATCAAAATCCTGAGCCTATCTTGTTTTAAGATTTGAATGACCATGCAGAAAATTTAAACCAAAATGATTAAATACTTTTCTCTCGTTTTCTCTGGTGATATTTAATTCGGGCTTCGCCCTTATCAACCGTCACGCAATAGAAATCCCGAGCTCATAATCTAATTGTCAAAAAGAGTTACTCTGACTTGTGGAAATTAAGCCGTTGCAACCCAGAAAATGTTTTGTTTCCTGGTCGGTACAATTCCAAATAAAGCGTCTTAATTAAGTTTGATGTAAAATGACCTCCTCTTTATCACAATTCAGTAGCAATATAAAATGAGATCTGAGTGCTCCATTCATACATTGCGTATTCCAAAACACAGAAAAAAAATAGAGCGCCTGCATTCTTAGTTCTCGTGTGATTCAGCGAAACTGTGTCTCTATCCAGAGGAAATAATTGCGGAAAAAAGTAAATGCCACGGGCATTTTAAAAAGTCAGATATGATAACGGGAGAGTCGGGCCTGCTCTACAAGCCTATATCATATGTAATTTAAAACAACATCAATCGGCTGAATAGCCCCTGCATGAAATTAGAAAGCAAAAAAAGAGCCTTCATCTGTTCAGAGTTGGCTTAGCACGAAGAAGTCCATTTGAAAAGAATTGAACGCATTCATCATTCTGACGACTAACCAGAAGTCCTCAACAGCGTCGAATTGCCCTCTTTACTCTGATTATTTGCATCTTCCGCCGGCAAGATCACGCAACACGAATGATGTCATTAAATTATGCCTAAAACTAGATAAGATTAACGTAAATATCGTAAACGTGTACGATGAAACATTGAGGAGAAAATATGTCTAACTCCAGTGACGCAAAAACTTTAAGATTGCACTTTTGGAATGCACGCCCTCAAAACGTGCCAATATGAACGCCCTTCGTCCTTCCTGGCTAATAGCAAGATAAACCTTGGTCCTGAAAATGTCACCTTCGTTGTACCTCAGATTATCGTCCTTTCACCTTCCCAAAATGTCAAGTAGGAGATATTGTTTGATTTAACACCAAATACTCAGAAGTTTCACAGCAGTTAACATTGATTATGTATTTTTTACTCAATATAACACAGAAAAATATTTCCCCTAAGCCGCAAACGAGAATATCGCATCACCTGACCTTAGAACTCAATATAAAGATACCGTAAGATCTGGCATCAAAGTGATTCTGAAGTTCTCAATAAACACCTCAACCCTTTCACTCCCAAGATCTCATTAGTAATTCTCCTTACTCTCTGCTTTACCAATCTTATGAAGTTACTTCAGAGATTTTAGTAATGAATCAACTAACATTCCCTCAATTGATATTTTCTTCATTCTCATCACTTGTCTGTTTAATATCGTGTTGATACTGTAAGGAGAAATTCTGTCTTGGTCACTCATGGGAGTTTAAGTGTTAAATGTATATTTCAGTGTTAATTATTTACTCCCCAACATCAGTATGTATACTCTCCATACTACTCCTTAGACATTTCCGAAGGTTCTGACAAGGAGAATTTGTTCAACAATCAAGAGCTTCTTTAGTTGGTGATCATTTCCTTTATTCTCATGACCTTAATGTGTGATTCGGAGGTGATATTGTAGGGAGATATTAGATGTTAGTCACTCTTAGGGGTTAAAATGTTAATGGTTGTACGTTTAATACAGATATATTGATCAGTTTCCTTCTGTTTTAGGTGAATAATTAGCCACTTGCTTCAAAGGATATAGCCCATGCGCATTTCTCAGAGGTCTCGGTCCATAGCTAACCAAAAGTATCGTATAAAAGCGCTTCAATATATCGACTTGAGTTTGTCTTTAAACATCATCCTCATGAACACGTTATTGTCTTTTTTAAAGAGCGTGGAAAGATCTCGATGTAGAACTTTCAATTGCTTTAAAAATAGATAATATGAATCTCTCTCGCTAACGTTTTATTTCTTAGGGGTAAATATATATGAAGAAAGAAAAATGCCAACAATCACGGACAAAGTTGTTTATTCAACAAAGAAAACCAATAGAGTTTAAATTTAGGTTCATATATCCTACTCTCCCATACGCTTTCCCTCATTCATCGTTTCTTTGTGTGTATTATTTTACGTCGAAAACAATTTTTGTCAGAAAGATACAGTGAGATTGACAAGGAATAAGAGAAAGATTGTTTTTCAGGCCAAGAGTTAATATTTTGAACACTGAAGCTATCGTCTGCCTAGGCCTGAGAAAAAATTTTCTCGAAAGATTTCTTCCTTGATTGTACATTTCTGCCGTAAAACAACAACGACAACGACAAAAACAACAACAACAACAACAATAAAACAAGCAGAGAAAGGGAAAAAAGACCGGAAATAAGCTTGCGATACATCTAACCGTTAATGCTCTGTGAGTTAAACGTCGGCGTCGGCCTCCAACATCACCGTCGGCCTCCAACATCGCCTTCTCGTCATGTACGATTACACACATAAGAAAATGAATTGATAAATGAATTGCAACCTCATCTTTAAGGCAATATTTTTAGCTCAATGAAGCTGATAGGATACACAGTTGATTGAGACGACGGCTTACAATAAAGTATGGGGTTCTAAGTATATTTCATCTTAGATTAGGTGTACACAGTCGGTTCTACATGTTATCTGTTATATATTACGGATCAATGTTGGAGAACGTTGCATATAGAGAAGATTTTTTCCCAAATTTCAAGGTATTTGATGAGAATTTCGCATGACTAAATAGGGCAGGTTTCAAAAGAGTGGCTAAGAGGGGATTCATGAATAGGCCCCCCCTCCTTTAAACGTTTTCATTCAAAAGAGAAAGGTGAAAGGGAGACGAAAATAGTTTATTTTTTTGACTTGTTTATTCAATCTAAATATAGGAGAACTTGACTTCATCTCATTCGATTTCTTAACTCTGTTACTATGAAACAAAGTGTGTCGGTTATTTACTTTGTCCTCAATACTCAATCATTGTCACATCACTTTGTTTTGAACTTTCCACGTCGAAGTGATCGCCAAGCTGAACTGCACAACTCTATTACGTCGATTAAGAATAAAACATGTTTTTTTTTTTAACTCATTTTGGTTTTTTTTTAAGGAAGAAGCCAACAAAGGAACTGCTAACAAAACTTGGTTTTTTTCCCGAGAAATGTGGTAAGTAGTTCCTGTATGATTATCTTTGAAAAGCTCATGCCCTCCCGCTGATTCTTCTCCCGCCATCTTGGAACCGAAGCAGATTTCTCGCATCAGGCGTCCTTTAGAAGCCATTAGGGCTGGAATTTTTTTAATTTACTTTTCCTCCAGTCTTTATGTCCCACTTTTTTAAAGTGTACTGTCTGGTTTCTTTTTATAACAAAGTTAATAATCTAATTGATGTGAGGCTTTGAATCTGTGTTAACGTGTTTATAATTTCACTCACGTTTTTACTCACTAATCGCGTTTGCTCTTTGTTCTTTGAAGAGAACCAGCGGAAATGAAATTTCGTGGCGAAAATAAGCCTCTATATCGATAA